CTTAAATCGAGATCCTAAATCGTTTTGAATATAGTTTACTACATTAAGCATAAGTATAAGTTAAGATATTCTTTGGTATAAGCCTTAAATCGAGATCTTAAATAATATAGGTATTTTTTTTTAAGAAAACTCGGTATCTAGTTAATAAAACAATATTTTTAAAATTAGTGCGCTTCTTTTATATTTTTTTTAATACGTCAACATCTTTAGAATTTCATAAAATTAATTTTTATTATTATAAACCGCCACTGATAATATGAAATTTCAAGTCACTCCGCCAATGCAATAAGAAATATGTCAAGCATTTGACATGACAAAGGTCATAACCTAATTTTTTTCATGCGGGTTTAGATGGTGCAAGAAGCCGCATACGTTAAGTTACTAAAACGGCTGGTACCTCTAAATAGGTATTAAAAATACTATACCTAAAATTAATAGTTTTTTTAATATTTCAATTTGTTTAAACAAATGTTAAATTGCAATGTGGTAAAAAATTGTCAGTGATGCCATTGTTTCTGAAGTTGGAGTACAAAAATTTGATAGAGTTTTATAGAGATGAAAAAAAAGATATAAGTAAAGATATTTTAGTTAAATGATACAGGGTGTTCAAAATATATTTATAAATTTCAACTACTTAAAATTAAAAAATCTTAACTTTTTTAAATGGGCCACCCTATATATTATCATTTTTTCTGATAGATTTTACAAAACTCTTCAATTTTTATTATGTCATATACCGATTTTTAATAGTTTGCGATTTATTCCAATTTTTTCTATTTTTACACATATTTTTAATACAATTACCCTATAAAATCATAGTTACCATGACTAGACAAACCATTTATTACTTCTCTTTAACAACTAGCTTAATAATTAGTTACAACTGCTGGTATTAGTTAAAGTTAATTAACTTTACTCAAATAAACTAAAATCGCAGTCGTGAATTTCTTGGTGTATTTCTATATTATGAAAGAGAACACTTTTCCACGGGGTTTTCCGTCGGGGCGAATAGCCACAGATTAAGGTAATACTAGAAAACGGAATTGTTGAAGAATACTGATATAGGAATTTTCTTTGACATACAGTAAAGTTTTTTTCTCGTAGTAATTCTGGTTTATAATTCATTTGGTAAAGCCAATATTACTACTGCTGTGAAACCGTCCCATTACACACTGAAGATGTTTTCTAGATAATCTACATCTATTCTTATACTCCTTAGCAAAATACCATATAATATATAGTACTGAACCAAAAAATATGTTTTTCTTGGCTTGTTCGTGTAAATCAGTCACATTCACTAATTAATTTCAGGACAATCTGTAACTATTATCTCTTCCATTTATACTTATTACAACAAATTAAACTAAAATTCAAATTTTGTTCTTAACTTGCTTAACAGACATGAAGTTTTGATAATGCTTACTTTTTGTTATGGCAATGATGTTATATAGTCTGTCCAACGAGAAGATCCTTGACAGTGATAGATGTGTCTGTCATTTTAATTTCAAAGTAGTTTATTTTATTTTACAAAGAAATAAGTTGGAACAACTGGAACGCATAGCAGGAAATTAATATATGTATTTAAAATTTTACTGACAAGTGATTACTTTAAAATATTGTGAAAAAAACTGTATAAAACTGAAAAAATGTAATCGAGTTATTTTATTTAATAAAAAACGGTATGTGTTAATACAAAACAAACAAAAACAAGACACCACATACCAAAAAATATAAAAAAGAACTATTTCTTACTTTCAAGCTTTATGAAACTTCCCGCATTTATCATTATATTTATCAATATAACTTATGTACAAATACAAATTTGTAATATTCCGCAGGAATAAATAAAACAACATAAATAAAACAAACTACTTTATTAAGAATAACACTTACCAAATTTTATACCTCACAGGTTGATTAATTAACTTTAATCTTTTTTTTTTAAACCAGTACCTTTTGACATTATTTTTCTGCAGTACTAAAATCCATTATTTACCTATCGTGTGATGTCGATATTTTACAGCTACTCCAGTTTTTAGTATGTGTTTAGTATGGTCCTTCTACCATATTCGAGATGCACTTATCTACGACGAGATGGTATACGAACTTTATTGATAGTAACTTTATTGGTGTATCTGTATAAGACTTTCTGCCTGGGCAGCGAGTATTAACCATAAACTGTGCTCTGGGTTCTACAGTTAATTTTCACTCGATTTTTCCTCCACTTGACTTCAAAAGACACAAAACACACGTAATAACACGAATCAAAATGCATCATCTTCCAAAACGCAGGGTATTTGACAAAAGTTGTCACAAAATTATAACCTATAATTTGGCAAGACTTTGACAAACGTCAAAAATCTAAAGGCGAGTTCATACGCATCGGCGTCCGTTTGTCGTTCATCGTTCCGTCAAACCAATAAAATTGAAATACGATCTGTCATTTTTGAAATAAACCAATCAAACTGGTTAAAAACAACAAGTGACGACGCATGACGAATTTATATTTAAACCCATCCATAGTTAACTTAAAAATTATTAGAAACTTTTTTTAGTAAAATAAATAGATTGGTATGAGATGTCATCTGCTTTTCTTCTGTCATCGTCTGTCGAAATCTTACCTGAGAAAAAAAACAGAGTATAGCGTAATTGTATTAAAAATATGGGTAAAAGTAGAAAAAATTGGAATAAATCGCAAACTATTAAAAATAGGTATATGACATACTTAATAAAAGTTGAAGAGTTTTGTAAAATCTATCAGAAAAAATGATAATATATAGGATGTCCTATTTAAAAAAGTTGAGATTTTTTAATTTTAAGTAGTTGAAATTCATAAATATATTTTGAACACCCTGTAGCATCTTACTAAAATATCTTTACATATGTCTTTTTCTATATCTCTATAAAATTCTCCTACCAAATTTTAGTTGTCCAACTTCAGAAACAATGCCATCACTGACAATTTTTTATCACACTGCAATCTAACATTTATTTAAACAAATTCAAATATTACAAAAACTATTAATTTTAGGTATATAACATTATATACAAAAAAGTTATGGAATTTTACGTAGAATCTAAAAATAAAATAAAAAATAGGGTGATGCATTTAAAAAAACATGTTATATTCGCCACACTTTTTCGAAGCACCCTGTATACTCTATAATAATTTTGAAATGTGTATCTTAACCGTCCCTATAACTTTTATAACTGAAATCTGTGAATATAGAGGAAATTCAAAAAATTGGTCAAAGTCTAAAAAATAAACATAGCAGCGGTGTGGACGAGGTTCCAACATCTATAGTAAAATTCTGTTTGAAATATGTTGATGATATCTTGTGCTATATCATTAACAATTCGCTAAAATATGGGATCTTCCCAGACAGGCTGAAGTTGGCATTTATTAAACCAATCTACAAAAAAGGAGAGATCACTCTGATTTGAATAATTATAGACCAATTAGCTACTGCCAAGCTTTTCAAAAGTATTTGAAACAATAGTTGCAAACAGAATATTAACTTTCATGAATAGTTGTAAACTGTTTCAGAATATACAACATGGGTATTTGAAGGAGAAAGGTACCATTACTGCATTGTTCGATTTCACTACATCAATAATACAACATCTGGAAAATAAAGATCTGGCAGTGGGTATATTTCTTGATTTATCAAAAGCATATGACTCTTTAGACCACCATTTACTACTAATAAAACTCGAAAAATATGGAATAAGAGGTCCAGCACTCAAATGGATTACATCATACTTGACAAATAGAGAACAACAAGTTATTGTGAGAAAAGACGAAAAGATTAGTAAGTCCAGTATACAAAAATTGAATATTGGTATACCTCAAGGCAGTATCATTGGGCCACTACTTTTTATCATCTACTTAAACGATATTAGTCAAACAACAAGAAATGCAAATTTTAGCCTTACATGCTATGCAGATGACACTAATATACTTACTCACGGAACAACACAAGATATTCTGAAGGAGAATGGCAGCAAGGCTTTCATAAGAGTAGAGGAATGGTTTGATGCAAATAGACTAATGCTAAATAAAGAAAAAACTAATACACTAATTTTTCGAACACAACAGAAGAAAATTGAATTAGCGAGCAATTTGAAAATTGGAGAAATGGATGTCAGCCTTGGTGGTGAATGCAAATTTCTTGGTATTTACATAGACGAGCACTTAAAGTGGACCCAACATATTTATAAGCTATGCTTGAGACTTGGCACAATTTCCTACGGTCTGAGAATTGTGTCAAGTTATGTGAACCCAGACTCAATGAAAACACTATACTGTGGAAATTTTGAGGCACTGCTGAGATATGGAATTATTCTCTGGGGATCAAATTCAGAAACTGCAAAAATTTTTGTGATTCAGAAAAGAATTATAAGACTTATAAAGAAACTTCAGTACAGAGAAAGCTGTCGAGGACACTTTAAATCCTTCGGAATTATGACGCTTCCAGCTCTTTATATATATGAGTGTTTAATATTCATCTTCAAACATAAGTCCCTATTTGAAATGGAAAAATCTCATGAATACCAAACAAGGTCCAGTGATGCCAAGTTCCCCTCACATCGCCTCACCCTGACTGAAAAAAATCCAGTATACATGTGTGTAAAGTTTTACAATAGCCTCCCTGAAGACATAAGAGCAATCGAAAGTCAAGAAACCTATAAGAAATCGTTGAAAAAACTCTTAATTGAATTGGAACCCTACTCAATCAATGAATTCTTAATATAAAAGTCTCTTCATCGCTGACAATATTTCAATATGTCTATATATTTGTAATTTTATTGTACATATTTAGATCATTTTTGAAATAAATATTTTTATTATTATTATTATTATTATATTTAATATTTTTTTGTAAACCTTGAAATAAATGAGATAATGGACTTTACTCTACCGTTCACTCACCCTGTACACAGAATATTGTTCTACAGTATTTCAAAATTTAATGGATTGTAATTTAACTTTTTTTTAGATGTAAAACGAAGAAAAGTGGATGTCAATTCCTCCAAGGTTAGTATCGGAGTGAGGTAGCACCTGTGCAAGTGTCATGGTCCCTGCTCTAACCAAGCCACCAACCAAATTTATCTAAACCGGTTTATCCTAAGGGAGATTGGGCTGATGTGTTGTTTATAAATCAAAGTGCACCGCAATATCAAATCCACTTACCAACGATACAGTGATCTCAACATAAATAATTAAAAAATGAATGTAACTACTACAGACACTACAAGAACTTGAGTTTAATTGTACCCAAAGGATAACTTATCTTGAAAACTTATAATATGAAAATATAAGTTCTAGTATTACTGACTGCAACTCGTATGATTATTTGTTGCCGTGGAAACTCTATAGACTATATATTTTTATAATATGAAAATCTGAATACAAATTCAAAATGTAAATATTAAATCATGAAACCTATGGAATAAATATGGCACGCAAATCGTTTGGAATATATGACATGTTCAATTTGAGTGACTTAAGACAACTGCTTTTAGACTTAACTTATTAACTATCTATATTAGTATTCTATAAAATATTAACTGAATACCAGAAGAATACCAACAAGAAAATACTACATAATTGGAGTAATAAAATTATTACGTGCGTTTCTATTTATGAAGAATGTGAAACTGCGACAACATTAACAAACATTGCTGTGTTTCTCAAGACTAATAAGAGGAGATAATAATAAGGAAAAAAGCTCGTTATCAGAATGTGATGTCAAGAATCTTTACCACAACAAGAACAGGAACATTCATTGTGCACACCGACGAACACGGAAGAAGTATCATGCCAGAAAATTCAGAATGCATCCCTGATCCATAATAAATTGTTTCTTCTGAGTGCTGACTATTGTGCAAAGAACTTTAGCGTTATATGGTAGTTTGCGAATATGAGAAACATGATTGGTTCGCATTGTCTCCAATAAACAGCCCAATCTTCCATTTGTCCTTATAAAGTTGGGAAGGGGTATTTGAAGAGGAAAGGTAGGTGATTAGATTAATATTTTAGAGATTGCATTTCACATTTTCAAAGTAAATTTATTTCTTTTACAATAATATTGATTTCAAAAAACAACTCTAATAGTGAATTATATTTTGAAATTGTGCTTAACTTTATTCCTATCTCATTTAATATGGAACGTTGTTATAATGAAATCATTACTATTGATAACATAATGGAAGAGTATAACCGTCAACTTTAAATAATGGCTGTAGATAACTAACAACAGCGGTTCAGGTAATAACTTTTTTATAATAGACGCGCGCACACACCAAGAATAAATAGGTTACAATTTTTTTTTTATTTTTATTTGTAAACGTCGAGTGAGATGCACCCTGTACACTGCTACGCAATTCAGAATCTACGCGGATCGAGGGGCAGGGCGTAGGTAGATCGGAATGTATAGTTATAGACGAGTGACGGCATTTTGGCTTTATTATATCGCAATTTGTAAACAGCGCTTATTTGTAAACAACTACCGTTTTTAGAGAGGCATTTTAGATAACAATCGATATTTAGAAATGTTTTGATACCCTGGAAATACTACCACCGAGCAGGTCATTGTTGCAACTTGCAACTGCGTTAATACGCCTGGCGGTGACCGCCTCATACTCTTTCAGATATTTAGCAATAAAATAAAGAAACCTGTTATTTTCAGCTGTTTTTTATAAATAACTGTAACAGTTTCAACTGTTATCTAAAAATAACAGTTTTGCCCATCACTAGGTAGTTACAATGAATTATATTATACCACGAACTTGGCTTATTATTAAATAATGATAATTATTCGTCAGTTGATTAACTTTAAACAAAAAAGTAATAAAATTGAAACTACCGAAGTTTTTTTTGTAATTTTGTCACAAAAGGTCCAATGACTTTTGACCAGTCAGCTTGCCTAATCGAAACACTGTGCATCGCCGTGAATCACCCTGTAGAGTGTATTCTATTTAAAAAGATCATCCCGATCCATTCTAATGTCAAAAATTTCTAAGTTGTTTATTATAGGAGCTACGGATGCCCGACGGACTATTGCCGGACACTGTATACCAATAAGAAAGTACAGCTTTACTGTGACATTACCATGATTACAGCTTTACTTTATAGTCACGATACTAAAAAGGATGCAAATACAGAAAAAAATCCGGTAGTTCTCGAAATTTAAAATTTTTTTTTAAATTCAGACATGAATAACTTGGTTATTTTGGACTTACTTGAAAAACGGTAATGAGAAATTATTATGATTCTTTATCGACATCTACCAGCCCTGAAAATGTTTGCTCTTAATTAAGACTCGCCTTGTATATTCCCTGATATTGTAGCGTTTTTTAAACAACTACCACTGCGAACGGCAGCTTTTCATCGGAGAGCAGTCGTGGATAAGGTATTTCACTGGAAAGAAACTAATTAACAATAATAACTCGAAATTATAAATATTGGGCGCCGGGCATGAACAGAGAAAGAAAACACAGTTGTATATTACTTAAAACTAATGACTATATTTATTCATGATGTTCTTAGATGGTACATGACATTGTAGAGTTCTAATAAATATATAGTGGTTATATGTCAAAGAAAGTGGTGGTAAGAGTCGTACTAAATATCAATGAAAACAACTACGATAAAATACAAGACATGTAAAGTTTAAGAGAATATATGAAATGTAGCATTACTTTAATTAATTTGATATATTCCATATGATGCTAAATCGAAGATGTTGCAACCTGTAGATTCTAGAATCTATGTTTGGTTATTCATCTGTTAAAATAGTGCGATAATAATATCTATAAAAGTAATACCATTACAAGATGTAATGCAATGAAACCTAAGATCTAAATTATATTTAGTATTAATTATTATATTAAATATTAAATCGACATGAATGTTCTTAACAATCTAACCACTAAACATAGTCTGTACGATATTATTTAAGATGTACGTTATTGTTTAAGACTGTAAATGTTTTAAATGTTAAATGTAAAACTAGAACTTAAATCTACACTTAGCTGTTCTTTATGTAATCTTGCTTTAAACAGTAACAGCGTGAGGTGGTCTCGCATCTCTGTACTCAGCCATCCAACACAACCAAAGGGGCCAGAATGAGGACACCATGAATTGATACAGCCGTAACTAACTAGCTTATAGCTGGGAACGAAGCAGCATGGGACTCAAGCTACATCCACGCTGTGGCACTTATATGTAAGAAAAAATCATTCTTACTGGGGACACTCGTCCACAGGACATCCGTACATAAGATATGTCCATACATAAGACACTACCCGTACCTTGGACACAGTCCGTACCTTGGACCCTCGAAATACTTCCGAGGGCTCAATAAATAATAAACAAACTGTCCTTTCTTCCATGTGACATTCTGGAGGACAAAAGAAAAGGGACGCCAACGTGCCAGCAAAATACAAATACAGGTTGGGACATCCGTAACTCTACCCTGTTGCTTTGAAATAGCAGCTGATTCAAATTATACAGCAAGATTTAAATAATCACCATTTCTAAAAGCTGGGATACAACAGAGCGTCAAAACAAAGTGAGGTTAAGCACGGAGAGAGTTGATAGAAGCCAGTGTTGCCAGATGGAAAAAATAAAAAGTGGTATCGAGTATTTAAAAAAATGGTATTTGACTGAAAAAAAATGGTATTTTTACTTTTAAAGAGGATCTTAATATTTTTATAATTTTGATACTATGATTAACCGTGGATTAACCCCAAAAACCAAACGAACCTCAATTTGGTTGAAAACATCGTAGCTGTTGGTTGTCACATCAGTTTTGAACTCTTGCGCAAGGCATTTAAATTTTATTTATGTAAAATAATAATAAAAGAAATAGGTATAATTAATAGCGTTTTTCGTTTTCCTGTTATTACCGATTCTGAACCGTCCTAGAATTGTGATGCGTATGCGCAGAAGGAAATATGAAGACATTATTTCATTTGCGCATGCGCTGAAGAGTTCTTGGACGATTCAGAATCGATAATAGGAAAACGAACAGACCTAATATAATATAATAAGGTAATAGGAACATTTTAAATAGATAGGTAACATAAAATATATTATTAATAATTCAGCATTAATAATCTACATATTTGGCTCTGAAAATATAGGTAAAACCATAGACTTAGAATAAAATAGGTAAAACTTTTCAAGAAATAATACCTATAAAAAATAATAGAGATATGAGATATGTGTGCCTAATAGAGATGTGCTTCATATTTTTAGTAGATGTGGAAAACTAGATTGGTTTGCATTAAAAAGTTTTAAAAATGTAGATCGCTGGGATTCTAAAAAATGGTAGAAAAATGGTAACGTCTTCAAAAAATGGTAGAAAAATGGAAAATGGTATACTCAAAATTTTTGCAGGTATCAAGGAAGAAAAAATGGTATAGATACTATTTAAATGGTATATCTGGCAACACTGATAGAAGCGATGTTGACAGCGCCTCCTCAGAGCGATAACAGGGTTGTGTCGAACGATAACAGGGTTGGCGACTAGGGAACGTAAAAATTACGCGTCAAATAAACTATCCGGCCTGAATGAGAGGGAATCCGGTGATGATAGGCCAGACATCATATATTATATATAAAAAAGACATGTAACGAACTAAAAACGTTACAATATACAGGGTAATAGGATAGTTTATATCTCAATTTATAGTAGCAATATTTTTTATTGCAAACTTTGAATAAAAAAATTAAGGAAGGAGTATAATCGTAACCACCGTAATAACAAGGCCGGACAGCTGTGACGTAAAAATCTCGTGACGTCACCAACTGGAGGCTCAACTCTATTTAGCAGCGTTGATAATTACCCGATAAAAGTTCAAATTGTGGATCTTTTTTCACTCACCAGATATATTTCGAAGTTTTAAAATGTATTTTTCAGAGTTTTTAAAAATATTATACTATATAAAAATAGTTTTAATAGAATACGGAAAAAACCATACCAGTCAATAAATGTTTATCTCTCACTTTTTATCAATCAAATTTAATAAAGGAATATTTTAAGTTCACAATAGTGTATAACATGAGAAAAAAACAATAAAAAACTATATATTTTTTATAGTATATATTATGTATTTTATCGATATATGCCCCGTACTCCGGGGCGACGGCGCCTGTCGTAGCGTGTAGCAGAGTGGTATTGCCGCAGTTGACAGTCATCGATTTATCGGTAGGTGTGCGGACGTGGTAAGTGGTAATTATAATCGATAATAGAAAGGCGAAAAAAGTTATAAATCTATAAAAAGAGGTGTTTAAACTACAAAGCGATTATAAGTGTGTGCAATTATACAATTTAAAAGGTATAATGCCTTATAGTGTTCCGTGCCGCGCTGTAAATTACGGTCTAACCTCAAAAACCACTTTTTTCGCTTTCCTAATGATAGGAATATTCAGAAATAGTGGCTGCAAGCTATTCATCGTGATGAATTTGTGGTGACAAAATACAGCAGGATGTGTGATCAGCATTTTGATAAGGAAAGTATACATTGGTTTATCACATATACAGATGAAAGATCCGGATTTTTTTAATTATTAAATACATAGGACATTTAGATCTGAAATTAGAAATCTATTTATATGGCCAAAATACTACAGTCCAGGTAAATGAACTAAAAACACCATTTAAAAGATTTATAAATGAAATTGATAGTTTATTACTTGATTTGCTAGTTTAAAAAATCAAGCTTTCAAAGCTAATAGTAATCAGGGTTCGGATGTAGTTAATTAAGACGTAATTTACCTGAATAAGTACGTGTAGTTCTTCAAAAACTACCTTTTCCCGTTCATTAACTACATAAAAACTACTGCTTTAATAAATTACGTATTGAAATTACGAAAAAAATATTCCGTAAGTTAATTTTGATAGAAATAATGTAATGCATATGGCTTTTTATTTAAGTATAAAGAATTATGTATACATTCATAAAAAACAGAATATAACGGTTAATATATTAAAATTATTATAAAATATGAAAATTCAAAACATTTTAATATCTATAAGATAATCACCTAGTTAGTAATCTTTGCCAAGACTTTGTAGAAAGTACAATATGATTTAAAAAGAATTGCCGCCGGGAGGCATGTATAACAAGCCGCCCATACTAAAATATGTTAATATCTCGAAAACTGCGACTTTGATTGATTTTGATGTTATTACAAATTTTGTTGTAAATATTATTCCTAATCTTAATTTGAAAACCGCGTTTCGCTAGCTACTGTAATTTTGGAGTTATTTTTTAAAATTTTTAACCGGATTAATCTGGATGAGCTTCAAGTAAAAATACGAGAGGCTTTCCAAACTATTAGCTCTAATATGTTAGCCAATGTCACACGGGGATTTTACGACCGCCTAGTCTAGCACAAGAAGATGGTCTTTTTGAACACTTGTTATAACTTTTTTTTATTTAGAGTAATATTTTAGTTTTTTTTTTGGGGTTTAGAGAATTTATTTATTTTTAGTTTTGGCTTGTAAACACACTCAAATAATAAATATTTATGTATTTTTATTCTAAATATTATCTTAAGTGAAGGTAAACACTTAAAATGAAAATAATAAATACTCGGCACTCGCGTCGTATTCCTAGTCTGTCACGACCGACCCGTCCAAGCACAACTGCAACTGCGTACTGCCTGACCAGCCCACTAGCCGGCAGTGAATCTCGAGTATGAACGTAAATCGGGTAAGCGTAAATTCGTCCGGCAACTTGCTATGTTACTAGTAGCCTGGTCTTCTCTGTATATTTTTTATATCATCTCCGGCGATCCAATCCTTCAGTTCAATTTCCGTATGTTCATGAACAGACAAAAATTGTTGCAGCAGGTTGTTAATTTATAAAAATTCCTGTTGGTTGTTCGTGTAGTTCGGATCCCTAGTGATCCGGATTAGAAGGTACGCAATGTTAAAGTGCAATATTTCAATTTTTTCCGGATTACAAGGAGATCCGGTTTACCGGGCGTTTACGACTCTAATTTAGCGAAACGACTCTAATACTTTACGGGACTTTTAAGATAGCCTTTAACGAGTCCAATACTCAATTTTGACGTGAATACGCCCTGTATATAAAGTATAATATAAGTATAATACATTAAAGATCACATTTCCTACCGCATAAATATTAATATTTTGTTTTCTGCTACAGAATTCCAAGCATGAAGAACGCAAGTCCACTAATAATCAAATTGAGTATTATACAGAAAAAGTAGAAAAAAAAGAACGCGTTTTGAAGCCGAAGGAGAAAAGAGAAAAGTTGAGTGAAGAAGAAAAAGAACTGAAAAAAGAGAGGAAAATTGGACGTAAGAGGGTGAGTAGTAGTAGTGTTTGGTTTAGTTTGGTTTGGTTTCTCTTCACAATAATGTATTGATATTATAAATGGGCATTTATATTTTGATATACTGAAATTCCTGATCAATTGTGAAAATGAGATTTAAGTATTATCTGGATTGCAAATAGTAATATCGCAATAATTTTAAGGATCGCATCGATGAAGGTCAACAAGACCTTATTAAGCGACGCCGGGATGAAGAGAAAGGTAATGCTGGAATTATTTAAATTGGCTTAATTAATAATAAAGAAATGTTATAGCTGGTAAACTATTACCACCTCAAAATGGAGAACTGTTAGAATCTACTACAATGCCTACAAGAGAAAAACATCATCGAAGGGGGGAATTACGAGAAACCAGGGAAACAAGGGTAATACCTTGTTGACTTTTTGTAATATTATAATTAGTATTGATATGTTTCTGATATATTGGTAAATAGCATCCGTAATATTTAAGAATTTCAAATAGAATTTGAAAATATTTTTCTAAAGCAATGAAAATTTTATTTCTAACTTCTAACCACAGTTTCTCTTGACGGATGATAATTTTTAAGTATAATTAGTGGAAAAAATAAGTTTGTTAACTTGTTCTACTAATTTAAAAATACTGCCACTAATTTTGACATTTTGAATGCTCACATTGAAATTAGAGAAACAAACTTATACGCTAATTGGAACCACTAATTTCCAGGTTCTGAATGAAGCATAAAGCTACGTCTGGCAACTCTGTATTATGTAAAAAATGTCTATACCTATGTGGCGGATTCATCTCTCCAAAAAATCATATATGGGTATTTCGCCACTGCAAGAAAATCTACAAAATAAAATAGTTATATTTTGTAAACACTTTTGCGTTAATCCAAATGGAAACTACTTGCCAGAAGTTTGGTTTACAGATATACATATTTGCCGAACGAACAAAAAAATGCTTAACGTTTCGGAAAGTTTATCTATTTCCGTCGTCGGAAGCAAAAAAATACAAATATGTATTATGTAAAGATTTCATTCAGTGGCGCAGTCAGACTTTTTTTGAAAAATCTTTTGGAAACTTTTTGTTTTTAGTTTAAAAGAAACATCATTTCTTGATATGGCAATATAGGTAGTAGCACAACCCCCATGAGATACAGGCCAGAGACAACGATTTGTGACGTCACGGCAGTAGACGGGTTTTGAATTGTGACATATAGTATTGCATATAGTTTTTGCATAAATAATAGTATTTGTTGATAATTTTGCTAAATATGAAGATAAAGAAAGTCATATATAAAAATATTAAATAACTGTTACGTTTTTCGTCGGTTCCGTGTGGATAGAAAGTCTAATTTATTATTCGTATCTTGAATGGCGGCCGGCGGGGCATATGAGTCAGGTTAGGCCGAGTACACACGGGTCCGCAACACTGCCCCCTTCTTAGATACATGCTCGTCCCGAGATGTACACGGTGAATGAAGGTATTTGCAAAGCTGGCCTTGGTACATTGAGAAGTCTGTTAGAAATAGCAGTCTACAGTTTTCTCGCCCGATCTCAGCTCTGGATTGTAGCAGCAAACGAGGATCTCGATTCCCGTAAATCTAAACAAGACTTCAATTATGTTCCGGATTGTACGCCAACTCAAACTATCGAGTCCACACGCCAGCTTCAGAATGGCTAATCGTCTTGTTGTTTAGCAGGATTTCTATCAGTTCAATCAGGATCTTCCATAGATTGAGATAAGTCAGCTTACTCGGTGAACATTCCTTGGTGACCAGGTAGAAGATGTGTGTTGCTTGACCATGTGTATTGTCGGTTAGCCTCAAGACGCTTCGAACCTCTGGATCCTGTCGGCGTGGTTCTCCGACACGCCCAAACTTTTCATTGAAAGTCGCAGCTATTCCTCTGGACATTCACAAATCTCGGGCCACACAGTGAGCGAACGAATAATCAGGAGGCACGGAAAAGAGGTTCCGTGGTTCTTCTTTGGTCACACCATAGCGAGCCTTCTCACTGCTGTTGTAACGGGCCATGAAGTCGTCAAAGGGCATTTCCGAATCAGGGGGATCAAAGCTGCAGGTTCTCACGGTCCCAGCACGATCTTCTATTTCGCCTTGGTAGGGGCTCAAAGGATAGAAATGGACGACCCTCGGTTTTCCTTTTGGCAATTTTCTGATACGGTATACGACATCATTAATCCTATCCAATACTTCGTATGGCCCGTCCCACGAGGATTGTAGTTTCGGAAATAACCCACGACGTCTCTGCGGGTTGTATAGCTACACCAAATTCCCTCGTTGGTATCCTCCATGCTCAGCTTGAATGTCGTAGTGCTCACTCGCTGATGGATGTCGTCCATCCTTTGACGTAGTCTATGGACATAATCTTCTCCAGCGACATCTTCCCCCGGTCGGCAACCAAACTTCAGATCACAAGGTAGGCGCACTTCTCGTCCCATAACGATGCTGGCTGAAGTTTGCCCTGTCGATTCTTGGACGATAGGCCAACAGGAACAGGTGAAAAAATCTGACCAAATAACGGTTGATGGTTCTGTTCATGCGTTCAACCATCCCATCGGATTGTGGATGTAGGGCAAACGTTCGGGTCTTGGGGATGTTAAGAATTTCACAGACGCCTTGGAACAGATTGGAAAGTTTCTTCCCTGATCTTAATGCAGCCCTACGGGAACACCAAACCTGCAGATCCATTCCTTAACACGGGCATCAGCAATGGTGAACGCTTCTTGATTTGGCAACGCGTAGGCCTCGACCCATTTGCTGATGTAATCCATCACTACCACAATGTATTTGTTGCCATCGTTCGTCTCCGGGAAAGGACCGGCTACGTGTCGATCGTTATTCGTTCGAAGGGACTGCCTACATTGTACTGGCGCATTGGAGCTTTACCGTGTTTTTGTGGACCATTGATGGCGGCGCAAACGTCACGTTTCTTACACCAGGTCTTGGTAACACCAAGATGTCCACCGCTGCCTGGTTCCATTGTGAACTTCCTCCAAGACTTCCGGGACCCTCTTCTTTGGAACGACTGACGATCTGCCTTCTCTCTTCTTGTCCCTCGATCACACGGCGAAGTAATCCGTCATCTATTACCAAGGAATTCCACTGGGCCTAGTACGACTTCACATTCTGCGAATATCGGCAAACTTCCTCCCACGTTGGTCTTTGGTCCGCGTTTTTCCAGTTAATCATTGGTCCGCGTTTTTCCAGTTAATTACTGTAATCGTTCCAGTAATTGCCACTAGGTGCTATAATAAATATTACACTTTATTACAGTACACGAGTTTTTTGCGGATGAATTCGGGGGAAAACTAGATATTTTATAATTAAGAATTAAATGTATTAATTATTTTAAAAGTACTACATTGTTAATATTGTGTTTTAGGATATCTCACCAGCATACATCGGCAGAGAAAGATCTAACGAGAGAAGCGAATCGAGGGAAAAACAATATCCTTTTTATATTATCTCATATAATAAAATAGTTCCATAAGATATATAGGATTGACTCAGTAGACTTACTTAATGCTCATATTAATTTTACATACCGGGTGTTGCATCGTCGAGCGGGACATAGGAAATCCCATGTAAATTTTAATGGGGTCAATTATTGGCTTCCCTAATTATTTTAGAGAATAATTCTATTTAGGTTTAAGTTTCCGGAATACAGTTCGGACCACCCTGTATATCAATATTTTTGACTTAAATGCATTTCTATTCTTAATATTTTTTTTCCTTAATACTAAGTACTAGGAGAAGTTCTGAAAATAAGCGAAGATAGCTAATGGAGAACTTCAAGTTGGCTGGCAGACGTGTAATTTTAACAATTCCAGATCATAAGAAGTAACAGCTGCCTATAAGCTAATACGATTGTGTGATCATTTTTCTTAAGAATTTAAATTTTTCTTTCAAAATATACCATTTTTCTGAATCTAATATTTTATTTATAAACCTTGAACTGTATCTAGTCGCTTTCGCAGACGACCTTGCCATTGTTGCATGTGCAAGCGATGAAGCTGTACTAAGAAAAATATCCCCGGTGCATTTTTATATACAAGGAGCTGTAATTCATCCAAGTAATTCTTTGAAATATTTAGGAGTGTGGCTGGACACCAAACTGAATATGGCATAGACGTTTATAGGTTCTATGGTGGTTACAATATTGATAATATAAAAGGGTTCAAAAGGAATAGGCATAAAAACAATAACCAAATAAGACACTTTAATTTATCAGTTACAATTGTAATTTATAAGAACGCCTTCTGTAAAAATATATTGAAATAATATATGCAAAAACACTTTCAGGCATAACATGACATTACAAAATGCAAAGTACCTATATTCCATTTCCCCATTTCTATTTCATGACTATTATTGTGAAATTAGTGAACATTTCAAATCTAAAATTTAATAATACTTTTAAAATACAAACTTTGCTAGGGTCATATATGTATACAGACCGGACCACCGTAGTAGTAACATAGGCAGAACCGGACGAATTAGCGTATACCCGTCCGCCGGATAAAAAGCAGGCGAAAAAATGCGATAAAATAAAAATAGGTAGATATGTGATAAGAATGTTCCATAATTTGTATTTATTCGTGTTTTAATAGCCAAAACGAATACATAGATTCTCGCGACAGTTCTCGTGTAAGTAAAGGTCTCGTTTCAAGTAATCAAATTGCTGAGGTGGTTGTCCTGCCCACAATGCCCGTATTGTTCAAGAATATTTGAACAATACTTTTCCCAACCGTTTAATTAGTGGACATGGAACTATTTTGTGGCCCGCTAAATCACCAGATCTTTCTCCCAATGATTTCTTTTTGTGGGGTTATGTAAAACCCAAAGTGTATGGTCATAATAGGGCTAATAATCTGGATGAGCTTCAAGTAAAAATACGAGAGGCTTTCCAAACTATCAGCCCTAATATGTTAGCCAATGTCCGACGGGGATTTTACGACCGCCTAGGCTTCTGTCTAGCACAAGAAGGTGGTCTTTTTCAACACTTGTTATAACTTTTTTTTATTTAGAGTAATATTTTAGTTTTTTTTTTGGGTTTAGAGAATTTATTTATTTTTAGTTTTGGCTTGTAAACACACTCAAATAATAAAGATTTAAGTATTTTTATCTTAAATGTTACCTTAAGTGAAGGTAAACACTCAAAATGAAAATAATAAATACTCGGCACTCCTCGCGTCGTATTCCTAGTCTGTCACGACCGACCCGTCCAAGCACAAGTGCGACTATAGCCGGCAGTGAATCTCGAGTACGAACGCAAATTGGGTAAACGTAAATTCGTCCGGCAACTTGCTATGTTACTAGTAGCCTGGTCTTTGTATAACGTAGTACATAATACAAACATCTTAATTTATTGGTACTTATAGGGACTCTGTATTATACAATCTTAATTATCTCAGATCAAATATAGATAGACAAAAAGAACATGTCAAAAGATTTTAAAGATATACAATCTCAATGTCTATTTTGGATCGATTTTAATTGCCAGAGATTTTGAAACAATTGCGAATTTCTTTATATAGTTACTTTGTTTTTATCGTAATTTTTATGTAGGCTATACGGCCAGGAACAAGTGTTTACTATTTTTAGTAATAGCTGCCGTTGTGTAGTTATATTATTGAGAAGTATTTTAAATATTTTACACAAGTTCGTAGTTGACAGTCGTAAATTATACTGGTTTTAAAAAGTATAATAAAATATAATAAAAGTAATTTAATAAAAAATTTAAAAATTTTACAGTATTGGTGCAGTTTTTAACATTGTTAATAAAATCTAAACCCTATATTTTACATATGTCTGAAACTAACCAATACTGTTCTCTGTATATTATCTATCTCTATTAAGTCTGGCATAATTACCCTTAGATGATTTTAAAAATTAAGGTTTGAAGGTTAAAAATAAGTTACAACTAACATTAAAATATTGATAACAATGTATAAAAAATTACTACACCCATTATATATAAAAATTGAGTATGTTGCAACCCATTCTCACTAATATACTATATACAGTCTATAAAATGAATAACTTTGAATTTTGACCGTTATTTTTTACCAACATGGCAAATATAAAATCCCTCTGTCAAAAAAGTTACTGATATTCTTTAAATTGAGTGCCTGAACGAATCAGATAGGTAACTCTTTTTACTTTCGCGAAATAGAAAAGGAAAATAATAAACCAAGTGACAGTTCTTCCACTTCTTGCAAAAATCAACACGAAATGTCATAATTATCAACAGTAAAATTTCATCAGCTTGACATTTCTAAATATCAGACCAATGCCGTCTTTATAGAACAGCCTCGGAGCGAGATTTATGACGTCACGCTAGTTAGATACTACGGATTATTAAATTTAATTATATAATTTTTTGGATTATATTCGACACTATTTTTTCCATATGACACAACACTGATGAAGATTATAATGTTAGCCGAAACAGTTTTTTTAAACCAAAAAAAAGTAATGAAAACCCAAATGAAAACTTAATGAGCGTTTTCCCCGAACCTAAATCCCAAGAAAATCAAATATTTTAGAATAATTTTACAGATAAAATGACGATCTTTATTTCGTAGCCATCGCTGACTCCTTTTTTTCTATGATATTGTATTATTTGCAAATATAATTTTTCGAACATTGATACTTGCAAAATATACATATAAATTTTGTGAATGCAAATAATAATACATCACTATTAGTATATAGTGAATGTTTTTGTTAAATTAGATCGATTTTCAAACCCCAAAATTTAAAATATATTTTACATTTTACCCATTATCTTATGTATCTATTCATTATTTGTATATTGTAAAAGATTTGCTGCATTTGTATGGTTCATAGTTTATTTGCCAAAATATTTATTACTATAAATAGGTATATATATTGTATTTATTAACTGTATATTATATATATTTCATGTAAACTATATCATTTTTAAAATACAAACCAAAAATACGAGAAATAATTTTGTTTTCCATGTATTCTACAACATATTTATTAATCCGTGGTACCTATCTAACTAGCGTGACGTCATAAATCTCGCTCCGAGGCTGTTCTATTAGAGACGGCATTGCGTCAGCATGGCCGCAAGTTGCTAACCTAATAAAATTAACACTAGAAAAACCCGCGGGAACTGTCAAATTCAAAGTTATTCGTTTCACAGACTATACAAAGCATCCCATTAGTCCGAGAAATTCCAATAACGTCGTTGTTGACAAAGATATGAATAAACGTTGGATGGTTTATAAAGGTACCTTAATATATTTTATTGTATACAGGGTGACATAAAAAGTAGTGATTATGTTGTAAATTTCTAAATTGCAACCCCTATTTTTCTGTACAAAATCGGATTTAGTATAAAATTCTGCCAGTATTATACTATTTTTGAAGCATGATGCGACATTGCCATGATATTTTTTTATTTACTGACACTACTGTTTTTACTACTTTTTTTAAAAACAGTATATCCGAAAAGTTGTTAAAAACAGGAGTTTTTTAAAAACCAAACTTGGAATTAACTTTAGTTTAGTTTTTAGCTATACTTAGCTAAAAACTAAGAATAACAGAATGAATCTGTGAAGGAAAACTGACATTATCTTATACAGGGTATTTTTTACAACCCAAACGCATTGAACTTCCTTGGACTAATGGGCCACCCTGTAGTTTAATATCTAATATAGAAAATACAAAAACGGAATTATGTATAGCATATATTTAGAAAAATCAGCTATTCGATAGAACATCAATATTTACCTATTGACTGTGAGTTGGTGGTGCTTGAACTACTGGAGGAGCTAACTTGGTTGTAAAATTCACGATCCCCAAAACAATCGGCTTTACAAATGAAGGTATGTTGGGTTTATTAGCAAATTTTTCAAACAAAAGTCGCAACTCATGAAACATATTCCGCGTGTAAGGGTTTCTTCTTGAAGTGTATCTTTGTGACAAAAAATTGTAATATATGAACGGAGTGAGAAGACCTGCTTGTCCACTAAAAAAATATAAATATTATTGAAAACATTCTATTCAAACGCATTTCTAAATAATATGAACTAAATGAAATTAATATACATGTATGTTTAAAAAAAATATTTTAATTATCTAATTATTTTGTTTAAAATTATTATATCGTTATACACGCTCTACACTATTCGGAAAGTAGCCCGAAAAGTGCCAAGGTTGCGTTTCGTCGCCCAACTTTCGCCCATTTCGGCTTATCTCCGGTTGTCTTGACCTATTTCGATTTGTCTCGACCTATTTTAGTTTCTTAAAAGCGCATCAAAACTACTCGTGAAATTGCGGAGAAGGGACAATTATAATTGCGGTATTAATATACCCGAGGCAAAGGACTTTTTTTCATAAATCTCAGTGAAATAAGTAAACCTAGACATTTCTAAAATATCTATTGTTACGACGATATTTCGTTCATTACTTCCCGTTTTATGTTGATATACAGGGTGCTACAAATTCGAGGTACGAGCATTGGTATATCGGTAACCGTAATAGACACGAACATGGTTAAATTGCCATCAAAAGAGTTTTAAAAATGTTAAGGATTGCTGAGTTTTTTGGGAAAAACGGATTTTTTTGAAAATTAATTTTATTTCGAGGTCTTTCCGAGGTCAGAATAATAACATGGTTTAATATAAATCCATTCAAAAATAAGAAATAATTATTATTATATTAACTAATATTTCGATACTGAATCTACGATTTAAACGATAAATAGCGGAGTATTATAAAATGTATGTTTACAGAAAAAATAAATGCAATGTGGAGAAAACATAAATCGTTAGGTAAGAAGAAATAAGCCAACTTACGTTAATGCTAAAAACGCTATATAAGGCATCAAAATTATTTCTGTAAATGCTACCATTCTTAAAATATTTAGTGACTGAAATTCAACTAAAGAAATCAATAATCTGCAGCCCCACCAAGAATTCTGTCCTAATGTCTGAAACATAAAAGATTTATTATCATAACGTTTTAACATGACCATTTCTTAGTTAACTAGTTAATTTCACTTAAAATTAGTGATTAATGTCCTTCTCATTCTTCCAAAGTATAAATTTTTGTTTTATGTTCAATTTCTAAAAATAACTACAGTAATGTTTAAAATTGATTTAAACTTTTGCTATATAAAATAGTAAAAAATACTTACATCTAGTAATGTTAGTGAATAACTAGCTGCATGTAGAATAGCGAAGAGCAGAACTGGCAAAACAGCCACTAAAATCTATTAAGGACAATAATAGTGGAAAATTAGACTATACAAATTAATAAAAAAGTAAGTAATTTAAAAATGTGTCATTAAATTTTTACACATAAAATAAGTTGAAATAATATCCAACGACAGGGTTACAAATATACATATGAATTAAAATGGCACATTACAGTTAATATCTTAACCCAATAAAAAAACTGCCACTAAAAAAAGTTTAAAGGGTTAGGAAAAATTGGAAAAATTAATACATCTCATGAACAAGTTGTAAAAGGATACAGCTTATGGGCGCCACATAAATAAAAATTAATGAGTAGAACAGATAATGGCAACTGTCTTCCAAGAGTAGCTCCGATAAAAACTGTCTTGAAAACTGGACTCTTCCTAACCTTTGGTGCAATCTTAATGCACTGATAGCTGCATTGGCTATAAGAACTTTGTAATAAGCACTTTGTTGACTCCTAAAAAAATATAGTTGCAAATTATTGAAAACAATGGCATAGCAATTTTTCAGAAGAATAATTTTAAACAGATATTTACTAATACAACTTTGTCAAGCGCAGACATATAAAAGATGTACAGGGTGGACCACTTTGGTTGTTTCTATAGGGTATCTAGGGAACCGTGAGAAATACTGACATTTTGATACTGCAGTCTAGGGTTCTTTTTTTGAAAAAAATGGCGCAAACGGATCGTGGCTATCTTGATCGGTTTCGAAGCTACAGGGGGATTCTCAAATTTTGTACTTTTTGAAGATGTTCGATAGTTGGTTTATTTCAGCAACCACGGAAAAATGAATGATACATTCTAAAGGCACTTTTCTGTGTAGAATGCAGTAGCGTACTCAGACTTTTTTGGAAAAAAATATTTTTTGAGATATTAACTATACTTATGTTTTTTTTTAATAGAACCCCCTGTATATTTTTAAATTTTCTTATTCAGATTGGCATAAGCTTCTCGAAAATATATCACACTCTATATTTATTTTCACTATTAACCTCAACATTTCACATTTTTCTTAAAATATCGATTAAGTAGATAGCAGGCCGAGCCGAGTAACAAAATAGACGGTTGTCATGGTGATCGGGACATACCTTTGATCGATGCGTGACATTTCATTTCAACAGATTGAAGTGTGTGTATTTTAAATAATAAAAAAATTAGTAAATTTGAAAATTTTGAGAAATATAATATGTTAGAATGTTATATTGAGTCTAACAAACATAAGCAAATGGCGGCTGATTTATATTTTGAGCAGAATCCAGAGCGCGAGCAACCAAATCCAGCCATTTTTAAAAGGTTAGAAGATATAGTAAACGCCACGAGTGTTTGGGAGTGATTCATCGGTCGCTACCATGTGAACTAATCTGTTCAAGGTCACATAAAACTTAATTCCAGTGCCGTGGTCTTTCAAATCATATAATAATCAATATATAATCTGTTGTAATTTGTTGTTTTAACTGTCAAAGTCTTGTCAAAACATATATTTGGTTATAAATATAAACTGGAATGCCCCATTGGTCGCACTGCAAGCACACCAATGGACTAACGCACAAAAACGAATCAATCAAAGAACCGCGATATAGTATCGTCTTTATCAATCACGCTAACATTTTAGAATAAGTAGGAGGAGCGCAGGCAGATGATTAGACCGGGCCTTTAAAAACCTACGTCTGCGGTAAAAATTTACGTTTTTAATGTAAAAATGATAGCGCGCGTGTCGATTCTAACTTCATCAAGCGATAAATCACTCCCAAACATTCGTGGCGTTTACTATAGTTTAATCAATTTTGGATCTTTTCAAAAACCGCGTCCGAAAAATTATCAGAAAGAAGATGAAGAAAATCAATATGTTAATGTCCTCGGAGCCGAATACATGAATTAGCAATTAAATAAAATCGAACAATACGAAGCAAATAAAAAAAAAGTGTAAAAGTGAACCGTAACACTAGATCCAACAAAATCAAGTATTGAAATGCTGTTAGCGGCGGCGTGCGGAGATGGTATCAACTCTGTCTAGATATGGGCAGCAGTCTGAACAGTTAATGTAGTCTTTGTATTTTTATTTTTTTCGAAGCTACAGGGGGATTCTCAAATTTTGTACTTTTTGAAGATGTTCAATAGTTTGTTTATTTCAACAACTAGGCAAAAATGAATTATTGTATCTTGCTTCGTATTGTTTGATTTTATTTAATTGCTAATTCATGTATTCGGCTCCGAGGACATTAACATATTGATTTTCTTCATCTTCTTTCTGATAATTTTTCGGACGCGGTTTTTGAAAAGATCCAAAATTGATTAAACTATCTTCTAACCTTTTAAAAATGGCTGGGTTTGGTTGCTCGCGCTCTGGATACCGCTCAAAATATAAATCAGCTGCCATTTGCTCATGTTTGTTAGACTCAATATAACATTCTAACATATTATATTTCTCAAAATTTTCCAATTTACTAATTTTTTTATTATTTAAAATACACACACTTCAATCTGTTGAAATGAAATGTCACGCATCCGTCAATATGTCCCGATCACCATGGCAACCTTTTATTTTGTTACTCGGCGCGGCCTACTATCTACTTAATGGATATTTTAAGAAAAATTTGAAATGTTGAGGTTAATAGTGAAAATAAATATAGAGTGTGATATATTTTCGACAAGCTTATGCCAATCTGAATAAGAAAATTTAAAAATATACAGGTGGTTCTATTTAAAAAAACATAAGTATAGTTAATATCTCAAAAAATATTTTTTTTGAAAAAAGTCTGACTACGCCACTGCATTCTACACAGAAAAGTGCCTTTAGAATGTATAATTCATTTTTCCATGGTTGCTGAAATAAACAAACTATCGAACATCTTCAAAAAGGACAAAATTTGAGAATCCCCCTGTAGCTTCGAAACCGATCAAGATAGCCACGATCCGTTTGCGCCATTGTAATTTTTTCAAAAAAAGAACCCGGGACTATATATTTTAATATGGTCCGGTAGACATATCTTAGCTAATTTCACAAATATATAGTTGAGTATGCTTTACGCTTACCGTTTTCGATATACAGTGGATTTAATAATGAAATAAATATAAAAAATATATACAGGGTGGCGCACCTTATTCGCCTCGGTTGATTATACGAAAACGGAAAGATGTAGAAACAAAATTTGTATCGGTATATGTGGGAAGGTAATGTGCATAATTTAAAATTATTTTGAAATGTACAGGGTATGCCAGAACTAAGATCCACACCAAAGTTTTTTCTTATGGAACACCCGGTATTTTATATCATATTTGGATCCGTGGACACAAAATAAGGCATTTATTATAAGTGTTAAATATGTTTACAAGCTTTGTTTTTTAAGATATTTAAATATGCATGCTATAATAAAAAAGATTGTCAACACCCTGTACATTGGTTTTCAAAATTAATTCTTTAGCTGACTTTTAAGCCAAAGAAATAAACTTTACTGAAAAATTTGATTGCTTCGTTTAATGTATACAGGGGTATCAAAAATTACTGGTCTACTTTAAGTATTTATTTTACATAAAAACTTTACCTTATTTCAAATACAACACCCTGTATTTTTTAAAATAAATCGAAGCAAATTCAAATGCTATTTCAAACTATATTAGGGTTTCCTATACCTATCTAGCTCATAATACCTTTCTATAATATAGTATATTATATATTTCCTATACCTATCTAGCTAACAATAATATAGGTTTGTTAATAAGTAGCTGAACTTTAACAAGTATCAATGGTGTTGAAAGTAATTAAGTAATAATTATTTTTTGTAAAACAGTAGTTAAAGGTAAAATAAGTTTCGTCATTAACATGGCATGAACTTCGAACTTAAGCCTACAATTATTCACTTATAACAGAATTTGGAGAAAAAGGAATTCGGTTGAAAAAGTAAAAATATAAAAAAATACAAGGTACAACTTACCCAAAAATTGGAACAAAATATCCTATTGAAAAGAGAATGAGAAGCATGCGAGTAGCCCAAAGACTACAGTCAATTTTGTGGGCTATAACGTGTGATTTAAGGGCATCGAAATTTAAGCCTCTTGGTGGTTGATTTGTTGAATTTTCACTATTCTCACTCATTTTGATAGTTGTATGTATACTTACGTATTTAAATCTTTAATATAAAACGTAAAGAACTATAACTTCAAAATTTTAACAATCTAAAATATAATTGCGTGTCATTCTGTCATTATTTAACCATAGACACAGACCATAGATAACTTGACAGTCTTGACACCATCTTGACACTTGACAACTTGACTCTTGACCACGGATCTTGCGTGCTCTTGGCTGTCAATCAGAAATGCCACAGCACGGATGTATAATATGCATACTCAAACCAGAGATATGGAAGAGGGAGAATGAGCTTCGACCATAACAAACCAATAACCTCTACTCCAACTCTACTCTCTTATTCCTCCATACCTCCATGCCCCATGGCCAGGGTTCGGAAGTAGTTAATTAAGACGTAATTTACCTGATTAACTACGTGTAGTTTTTCTTAAAAAACTACGTCTTTTCCCGTTCATTAACTACATGAAAACGATGTTAATAAACTATGTATTGATAGTATGAATAATTTTCCTTTCTATGAGGTGTAATAGAGATAATATGATGTAAATATTATATTTAAAGCCATCTTCTGTTTTCTTAAATTCATTATGTGTTAAAGCTTCAACTTATTATAACCTCACCTCAAACTTTTGATATTTGAAAGTTACATACATAGGTTACCTGGTTACATAAACTACACCCTCTACATAAACTACATTAACTACATGTAATGTAGTTTATGTAGTTTTTAAAAGTAACATGTAGTTTTCCGAACCCTGCCCATGGCCAGGGTTCGGAAAACTACATGTTACTTTTAAAAACTACATAAACTACATTACATGTAGTTAATGTAGTTTATGTAGAGGGTGTAGTTTATGTAACTTATGTATGTAACTTTCAAATATCAAAGGTTTGAGGTGAGGTTTTAATAAGTTGATGCTTTAAAAACACATAATGTATTTAAGAAAACAGAAGAAATATGGCTTTAGATATAATATTTACATCATATTATCTGTATTACACCTCATACAAAGGAAAATTATTCATAATATCAATACATAGTTTATTAACGTAGTTTTCATGTAGATAATGAACGGGAAAAGACGTAGTTTTTGAAGAAAAACTACATGTAGTTAATCAGGTAAATTACGTCTTAATTAACTACTTCCGAACCCTGCCCATGGCCCATGCCACAATAACATGACAATAACCTAAGCCAATAACAGTCAACAGACCGTATTTGTTTATTTTTTTACTTAATTGTAGAAATTGTAGATCATCCGTATTTTTTTAGCTATGTACTAATGTATGCTATACATAATACAGGTGCACCCATAATACATATAACATAGTTTCAATTTTCAATTATCTTTGGGTAATGCCCATGTTTAATACCTGTGTTTAATACCTATTTCGATTTGATTTCGATGTATGCTTTGGAGTGATATAAAGTACAAAATTCGAAGCGAGTGGCAAGTGGCAAGCACCGTTTTATCTAATATACTACTTTTCTAGATGCCTGTTGAGAATATTCAGTATTCTGAAAAATATTGCGATGAATATTATGAATACCGACATGTTATCTTACCACCTGATTTAGCAAAACTAGTTCCTCGTCCACATTTAATGACTGAAACTGAATGGAGGAACTTAGGTAATAACTGTTTATTAATATATTTATCCCTAGAATACTAAATAATTCGTAAATTTTACGATAACTATCCGACTTCAACAATTGGAAACTATGTATTTGTCGTAGAATTTCGAGTGTCCGTTTAGCTTCCTTAATCGGTTGGATGCGCTGGTAGCGTGTATTACGACAACGATTAGTTTACTGCACAGGGTAGGCCAAATTGGACACTTTTAAAGGGAAACGTCCTTTTCTATAGGAGATAAACGAAAACTAATATCGGTGTCTGAATCGAAAACATGGATTACCAACTATTCCATTTAGGCGTCGGTTTTAATTCAAAAAAGCCAATTGGCAGAATTTTTCAAATGAATTGGACTCTATAGCTATTAATGACCTGAAGCCCACACCAAAAAACTACGAAAAGTTTATTGAACTGGTGAGGTTAGTGTCAAGAAACACCATACCAAGGGGATGCAGGCAACAGTATATTCCTGGTTTTTCCAAAGATTCTAGAGAACTGCTAACTAGATACGAAGAACTCTTTGAGAGAGACCCTTTCAGTGAAGACACCCTTGAATGTGGCTCAATACTGATTCAAGAACTGAGTAATTCCAGACAGCAGAGATGGATAGACAAACTAGAGCAAATTGATATGACCCACAGTAGTAAGATCGCATGGAATTTCTTTAAGGAACTTGATGGCGACCCAATTGAAAGGAAACAAATCAGTAACATCAAACCTAACCAGATTGCCCACCAACTACTGAAGAATGGAAAACCCGAAAAAAGAATTAGAATACCAAAATTAGAGAGAGATCGAGCAAACAAGATTAACATCCTGGAACATCCATACAGTTTAAAAGAACTCAACAACGCCTTAAATAGTATGAAGAATGGGAAGGCAGCAGGCGTAGATGAAACAAAATCCCGAAATTTTGGCGCAAACCAAAAATAGTGATGGCTCTCCTGAAACCAGCCAAAGATCCAGAACTAGCCAGTAGCTATAGACCGATCTCGCTGCTCTGCCATCTCTACAAATTTACTTCGAGCACGCAAATATTTTTGCGACAACAGTTTGCTCAATGCAGATTTTTATCAGTGTGTAATTATTTTTTAAAATATAACTGAAGGACCATTACAACATTATTTGAATTCCATACCAGTTATCACGCAGTAATTTTACTACCTACATTTTTAAATTGACGCATACTTTTATGTTTACTAGGTGTCCAGCAAAGTCCAAAATGGGTACATTATTTACTGCATAGTCCAGAGCCTCATATTTTGTTATTTAGAAGACCACTAGTTGAAGCCGAACTACAGTATAGATACAATAGATAATAATTTAATTTTAGTAAAGACTTAAACTGTGTATTTTAAAAAATAGTTATGAGAATATATATATGTCAAAGTACAGCTTGTATTTACTAAATAAAACACTGGATTTCTTTCATAACTCCTTTCATTATTTTATCGTACTACTCAGGATTACATCGCGCACATTGCCTGCGTACGAACGCCCGATGCCGACTGTCCCTGGGCGCGTATTAACATTAGCTTTGTTCGGGTTCTTGTTATTACCGATTCTGAACCGTCCTAGAACTCTGCAGCGCATGCGCAAATGAAATAATGTCTTCATATTTCCTTCTGCGCATACGCATCACAGTTCTAGGACGGTTCAGAATCGGTAATAACTTTGAATAAGAAGACTAAGGAAAGAGCATATCAAAATTTATTTTTAATTATGACATACACAAAAACACAAAAATACACCATTTTTTAAAAATATGTTTAATATCAATATCAAATATACAACAGAAATTAATTTCACCACAATAAATTAATAAAATTAAAAGAATAATGTTACAAGTAGATCAAATGACAAAATTAATTATAACAAAACTGAAAAAATGGCGTCATAGATGGCTTAGAAATAAAAATATATCATAATTTTGAAGAAAAAATTATATGGAAATGTCTTATCATCATTTTAAACCAACTGAACAATTATTTCAAACATACAAGACTTAGTTTCGTTTATAGTGTCGTTCTAAATTTAGATAAACAAAGAATAATAAATTAAAAGTATTCCACGGGGGTAGAGAGGAATAATTTGTATCGTCTCTGATATCTGTCAGGGTATTGTTGAAAGTGTCATCTTTTTTTGCTCGAAGTTTTTCAGGTCGAAAATAGATGACATTTACAACAATACTTTGCTTAACGTTCACAAATATCAGAGAGCTACATACAGGTATTGCGTCTCTTTTCCTCTGGGATGCTTTATATCTGTTCTTTGTTTGTAATAAATAAAGAGCATAAAAAATGCAACTACTACAGTATATAATTTAATTTCAATATCCGAGTTGATATTTAGGAAAGATAAATAGGAAGGAAAATATAAAATTCAATTTGATTTGATGATCCTTTTCTGTCACCTAAAATCAGGAGAACGACAATGAGCATGTTAAGATGAACAAAAATTATCAACACTTACCTACACGTTAGTCCGAGGAGTTTTATTAAAAACCTATATATTTGCCTAAATAATTTATGTATTAAATTTGCAAAGCAAAATGCAGCGATGTAAACAAAAGAAATAAAATGGCGACAGGTCAACGTCAACGACTCGACAAGGAGAAAAGTGGTGTTCGAATAAACAAATTATGGGTAACCAAAAGTTGTTTTATTTCACTCCTTTCAACTACCGCACGCTTTAGAAAGAAAAAGAGATGAACTGGAATACTGAAATAACGTCAAGGCTTTATCTGTCACTCTTGTCAATAATTAATCGGTAGAGGAAGATTCCTAGAAAATCGCTTGTAGTCAAGTTTTCAACCATTTCCAGTTCTCCCCGTAAAGAGAATAAGCCCCGTAAAGACTGACAAATCCACAAAATTTCAAATCAAATTCAAATGTGTCAAATGAATCGTCAAACAGAACTGTCAAGGATCCCCACCCTAGAGAGCTTTTATGGTGGCTTTTCCGCCCACCATGCATGAATACATGGATAGCATTATGCTCCTTCCTTAGTCTTCTTATTCAAAGGGTAATAAGAGAAACCCGAAGTAAGCACCGGCTATTGTTTACTACTATTCAGAGCAATTGTGAAACGTGATAACCTGCTAACTCCATCTTTTACGTTAATAAGTTTTTTATACCATTAGAAAGAGAAAAAAATATTCTATAAGTAGGGAAAGCAAATAATTTCTTTCTCATTAAAGAAAATTTGCTATTTTAACTCAATAATATCTGCTAACTTCCAGTGATCTAAAATTGTCACCGAAATGCTGCTATCTCCGTAATTTCCGTTACGATCACGCTAAAGCAAACACACGGATTCTTCCTCGCATGTTTCTTTAGTACAGTACGTCGATCCAGAGTTGCACTAGGCCAAAGGGGCCTGGGTGGCAATGTAAGGAGGGGCCCGTGTGGATTTCTATTGCGTATTTTTTCGCCTTATGTTTTGGTCAATTTTTCCCTATTATATACAGGGTGAGTCTTAAATAAGTGCAAATATTTTTAGGGGTAGTATACCGGGTGCGTCTCAAAAGTGGCTCACCAACTTTGAGAAACAACAAACAATTTTTTCAGATAAATAAACGAGATTTGGTATGTTAGTACATGACAAAAATGAGGATTGTTTGACGTAGGTTAGGATTGTTGGTAGGTACGTGTTTACGAATTTTATTTTTCACAATTAACTACTCATTTTATTACAGCTGTAATAGATTCTTACAGAACTCTTTAAACAGAAATTAGTATTATTAAATACCTTAGATATATTATCGTCGTTTATTATTTTATTTCTTGTACGAATCGGCAACACTGTATACTGCTTTTTGTTTTGTCACTTTGTCTGTCAACTGGTCGTATATATTTATCTCTGTCGTATGCATTAAAGTACAGACCACGGAAATAAAGTGACTCGGGCTAGTATGTACACGATGGAAATAAAACAAGTTACAGTAGACATCATATTACAGTTCGAGTTTTACTACATTTATTAATTTACTATTAATTACTACAACTATTAAATATAAAAAGTTTAAGCACTATTGTTTTAAGTTTAGATTGTATTTATTTTTTACACTTAAACGACAGTTTTAAATAAAATTCCGGTATTGTTATTGCTATCACGGTTCAGCTTTAGAAATGCGTAAGCATCGAACTGAATTTTCTACGCCTACTGTCGCATCGTTTTCATTGGATTTGCTAATTTATTTATAGAATTTTAAAATGTTTGATGCTTTATCAATTCACTAAAAACACCGTTCTTTTCTAACAGTTCTTGATAACTTCCTTGTTCTATAATTGCCCCATTTTGCAGCACAGCAATATAATCTGCATTTTGAATTGTAGAAAGTCTATGCGCTATAGTTAGAACTGTTCTACCTTTCATTATCTTCTCCAATGCTTCTTGAACAAATCTCTCAGACTGCGCGTCTAGTGCACTACAATAATATTATACAGGGATATGAGTTTTCTGAGACTTGAGTTTGAAAAACATTTTTTATTTTCCAGAACCACTACATTCTTTAATTTTATGTTTGCACAATGGCAAACAATGGGCTCTTTCACAAAAAATAAAAAACCCAATTCAAGGACAAAATCTGAAATAGAAGACTATTTTCAGTATATTTATCCAAAAAAAAATAGTTCCATGACATTGAATAATTTTTTTATAGGCCCTCAAAATTGCTTTAGTTTGAAATAATTTTAAAGCGCCAATTGATGACGTATGAAAAATACGCCCAATCATATTGCAGAACCGTGCTCGTGCGCCAGCCAACAACTGGCAACATTGCGATTTGATTTGACCAGCACCACCTCAACTCAAGGCCAATCAAAATGATATGGGCAAGGCAAATATGGCGGCGAAGGCAGCGCATTTTTAAATTGTTTACATTTAAACTGAAAAGCCGGTAGTGGTTTCTCGTTCCGATTGCATACCAGAAATAATTAATTATCTCTAGTTTGTTGTGTTTCTGCAACACGTTTGCTTAGTTCTTAGTGTTCAGTGCATGGTGTGATCAGAAAATTGTGATAAAATAACAGCGTAAACTTCAAACTTTTGTGCTTGTCGTACTCCTCTATTATTAATTATTTTAAGGTAAGGACTAGAAGTATTTATCAAGATATTACACCTAAATGAGTAAAAAGCCTTCACCGCCAGTCTGCATAGTACTTTATAATGGTTACTTACAATAATCAAAAGATATCTGTTCCAAATTGTCACGAGAATTATAGACGGGGTCCCAAGGTTTCTGCTTTTATATTCCCCAAAAATGACGAGCTTCGTAAAAAATGGTTGACAGCTATTAAAAGAGATAATTTCACTCCTACTAGTAGTTTTCGGGTAAGAAGTGTATTAAATATGCCTCAAAAAGGCCAAAGGCCAAAGCCTCTGTTAACCCTAGTGAGGATGTAGTTATGGCTACTGCTTACACTTACCTCACAAGATATTGACAACATTCACATTTGAAAATATAAATGGCCTGGATGTAAGTCTTTTTTTAGGTCACAATTGCCCCTCACATACGTCAGAATTTATTATTAAATCCATCTTGTTCAGAATATCCAATATTTTATTGAAGAACTATACAAAAAAAAGGAATGACGTTATAAAAAGGTATTTAGTTTTTTTTCTATATAAAATCTTGAAACACATATTATATTTTTTAGTTATCCTCACCTATTATAGTTTAAATTTATTCCCATTTGTGTAATTCTGCAAAACATAGGAAAAATATTCCATATTTTATGACCCAAGTCAGTGTAGTTTACACCAAGAGCATGTACCAAGGCTGTTACTAAGACAAGTAACTTCCTATACTGTCCATAATAGTATATATTTATCAAACGTGCAGTAAATTCTAAACTATGGTAGGTAAGTGTTTGCAATTGAATATTTAGTTTATATTGCAATTTTCTGTCATATATTTCTGGTTATTTCTTTTTCCGATGATTTTGAACACCCTATATATGCTACCTCAAGTTTGAATATTTACACACTAGTACACTACCTACCTATTTTCTGAGAAAGCAGACCTTTTTATAAAAAGTAACTAACTGATGTTTTCATAAAAGTAATAATACAAAAAATTCCATACTTATGTGGAGAGCTTTAGACTCCCTGTATATTAAAAAATGAGTGAAATATTATGTAATCTAAGCCGACATTTGTGTGAAAAATGTCTATTTGGAAATAAAACAGGTTTTAAAATACGCGCCAAATAAAGCACTTCTATCTCCGCCATATTGGAAAAGGTTGAATAGCCTTGTGTGGAGGTGGTGGTGGGTCAGCATGGTGGCCCGGCCGTGTTGCCACTTTTCAACATGCCAGGTGTGACGTATTAAAAATAAAGTGCGGATTTTTATTCTGGGCTTTTTTGTTTTTATTTATTTTCTTAAGAACGACTTCAAATTTTTCGAAAGTGAGATAGCAGAAAATTCTAGAATTAATTGCTTTATTCAATTATGCTAATTCCAAAATATAGTGAAAGAGCCCATTATATAAGTTACATACCTTGTTGCTTCGTCAAGTAGAAGGATTTTAGGATCCTTAATAAGAGCTCTTGCTATAGCTATTCTCTGTTTTTGTCCACCACTTAACATTATTCCCCTTTCCCCGACTATTGTGTCAAAACCATCAGGTAACTGCTTTACAAACTCATATACATTTGCCTCTTTCGATACTCGAATTAGTTCATCCTCTGTAATTTCGTCTGGATTCCTCGCACCATAAAGAATATTGTCACGTATTGAACTGAAATAAGAATATACTTTATTTTATTATAAACACTATTCCGTGTCAATCACTGACACGAAAACGTATGTACCATAGACTTAAAATAAAATATAGACTGAGCATCTCATTCATAAATAGCTGGAACATGCGGTCAGACAATGTCTTGTTATTGTTTTAGGTTATAACGAGTGCGACACGAGCGATAGATAGGTTGTCTCTGTCGTAACGGTCGTTCCCTGACGACTCTGCCGAGAAACACAACACTGTCTTTCGTTTCTCAAGTACACCTGAACTCTCCGTATCATAGCCGGGTAATTTTTTTATTTTAATGAAGCTATAATTAAATTAAAAATATATCGTATTTAAACTTTTTTATATTTTATTAAGATTTAGGACAGGTTTTTTAAATAAAAATTTAGAAAAAAACGTCTTAGAGTCCAAAAAGCATAAAAATAATAAAATACACGTTATAGAAGAAATTTTATAATCGAAATTACGTAATTTTTGAAATTAATAATAATAAATTATTAATTTTAGTCAAACATTTACAACCCCTAATATTAATCAAAACAGGATCTATTCCACAGATATAATAGAATCGGCGACAGGGAGAGAAAAAAAATATGATTGTTGTAATTTTTTTCTGGTTAAGTGATGTCTTATTATGTAAATTAGAGAAAATATAAATCTGTTCCATTAAAGCAAGGAAGGTGATAGGAAGTGGATAAAATGAAAACTACATTTATTTAACGCGGTACTGTCTTTATTATACCGGGTGCGTCCCAAAAGTGGCTCATCACCATAATTTTTTTATATTTTCAAATAAAAAAACAAGATTTAGTATGTTAGTATATGACATAAATTAGGATTGATTGGCGTTTCAATGTTTTTGGTCACTTCCTGTTTCACCGGAAATTACTATTTGAAAACTTTTAATTTTTAAACGGCACCCGCGGTATATTTCTACTTTATATCGAATAAAGTAGTAATATACCGAGGGTGCCTTTAAAAATCAAAAGATGTAATCATTTCGGTGAAACAGGAAGAGACCAAAAACAATTGAATATGTCAATAAATCCTAATTTATGTCATATACCTACTAACATACAAATCTGTTTTTTTTATCTGAAAAAATAAAAGTTATAGGGGTGAGCCACTTTTGAGACGACCCGGTATATTAAAAAATATTGTTTCATAATGTAATATCATTTTAAAATTCTTGTATGTTATTTTAGATTCTGAAGATAATTTTAGAATAAACCGGAATATATTTTTAATAAAAACATTATTAATTATTAACAGGGTTATAATAATGATTTTGTTACAATGTAAGTAAGTAAATAATGTAATGCTAAGGAAGAGAAAAAATTCAGATTTTACATTTTACTAAAATATTATCTAGATAAGCGCCTTTCTACAACAACGCCACTGACTCCCAATGGGTAAATTGAGAGTTGCCTACCGGTCGAAAGTCGTTTCAAGACTTAAATGGATTATTTAAGTCAAATTTCTTGCAAATTTGGCACTGGCGAACCATATTTTATAGTTCTTGAACAGAAAAAGTCAATAAAATAAACACTTAAGGACTACAAGCTAAGAAAATGCGTTAATACAGCCGGGGACATAGCGGCAACAAAGCTTTACCGCACACGTGCGACGCGTACTACAAGGTAATAAATGAATGAATAGGCTCCCTCGCCTCTAATCGGTGTTGTCGTATTGTAAACAACTTATCCTTTTTAAACAGCATCCGACTTATAATTTAGTAGTATAAGGACTATTTAATACATCTATGGAATATTAAAACCTACTTTATTAAAATGTAGTATTAATAACTCAATATATGTGTATAACAACAAAAAAAAATATTGATAATATTAAAGACGTGACAACATAGGCTGGATGAGGAAGGCTCGGTCGACTGTACCCAGAAGTAAACATGTGTACAAAAAAGATTGTTTGACCGCGTTGAGATGTAAATAGTGTAGTCTATATTTTATTTTGAGTCTATGGTATGTACGCAGTGCCACTACCATGCCAGTTCTGACGTACGAGTGAAACGGGTGCCAGTTACTGGATACTAGTCATTAGTGATGTAAAAATTCTAAGTAATCGTTACAAAGTAACAGTTACTTTACGAGGACTCGAAGTAACGTTTACTATTTGAATTTAGGACTCGTTACTCGTTACTAAGCTAATTCGTTACTTTTGCGCCGGCAGTAATCGTAATCCCTGGAAATGCACGAACCGAGGACTCGAAACTCGATACTGAAATATTCTTAATTTATCTTTAAAGTGTTGACTTGACGCCGCACGGTGGGGTATTAGCATGAAAAAGGTGATCGAAATTCGAAAAAGCAAATGTGTTTAAGATTTCCCAAACAAAGATAAATGATAAGTTAAATCATAATCATGTCTGCCATGAATGGCGTTGCTATGGGTGTGTTTAGTTGCATTCATTTGTTTCAACGAAACGTCAAAGTTGTTACTGCTCGCAGATAAGAGGTAAATGGCCAAATTTTATGTTTAAAATTATAAATTGTTGTTGTTCTTGTGCTCTTTTTACGTTTATATTATTGTTTTGATTGAAAATGGCTCAGCAAGCTGCAGGTATGTATTCTACAGAAACGTATTATTTATTTTGATATTCTCTATACTAACGATTTTTTTTGCAACTAAAAGTTAGACGTTCAGAAAATTTGATTAAATTTGTGACATTTTTATTATACTTAGAGATTTAGTTACGCATTTCGAAGAATCCAGCATATTGTCTATATACGTTTTACTTAGTAAACATTGGGCTTTCATACAGTAAAATAAAATACTGCGACTTTTTGCGACTTTGCTGATAAAATGAGAAAAACATTCTTGGTTTCCTCTAATTTGCCAATCAGTGATATACTAATGCGAGGTGTAAACCGCGATGGCATTGTTGTGTACAAAGCGATCGCATTAGTGCCATTAGCAGTATAACACAATTTGGCATTAGTAGCGACTTTAGTGGTATGGGCATTGCTCGCGGATCAGTCGCATTAGTGGCACTGACCGTGGAAACACTGGAACAATGATTTTCCTTTCTTTTTTAGAATCGACGAATTATCCTTTATTTTGTTCATATTATTTCCTCTTTAATTGAAAATAGCAATAATTTATATAAGGTCTACATAAAAAAATTTCGATCAACTATCTGTGTCAAATACCCCACTGTGCGGCGTCCGTTTGTCGTTCATCGTTCCGTCAAACCAATAAAATTGAAATACAAATCTGTCATTTTTGAAATAAATCAATAAAACTGGTTAAAAACAAGACACGACGCATGACGGATTTATATTTAAACCCATCCATAGATAACTTAAAAATTATTAGAAACTTTTTTTAGTAAAATAAATAGATTGGTATGGAACGTCATCTGCTTTTCTTCTGTCATCGTCTGTCGAAATCTTACCTGAGAAAAAAAAACAGAGTATACTTGAATACCGAGTATTGAAGTAAACCGAGTAATAGTAAGGCCAAAGTCTGGATTAGTAACTAGATTAAAATACTTTAAAAATTAACGCAAAGACGATTGTTACCTTGAAAACAAAACAGGTTCTTGACTTACTGTCCCAATATGCTCTCTGAGCCAGACAGGGTCCAAGTCTTTAACATTGTGGCCATCCAAATATATAGCTCCTTCTAAGGGATCATATAATCTTAACAACAGAGCTGCAAGAGTACTCTTACCTGATAAGGTAAAATAAATAAGAATAACAAATTATTCTGTAAAAAAGTAAGACTTAGTACCTGATCCACTAGGCCCAACTACTGCTACCATTTTTCCTGGTTCTATATGTAGTTCTAAATTCCGAAGTATTTCTACATCATTTCTCGAAGGGTAATTAAACTTAATATTTTTGTACTCGATGTGACCTCTAGGTTCTACAGCGGGTGTTACGCCACCTATAAATTATTAAAATTAAGTCAATTTTATTTTTAATGAAAAACTACCATAAATAACCTTTGAATAAGAAGACTAAGGAAGGAACATATCAAAAATCTTAGGTACACCGCGATGGGCCTCAAATATGGCCGACTTAAATTCCGGTTTATCAGTGTCGTTCTAATTTTTTTTAAAAAATGTAAAACTATGATGTAGGCTAGACGTGGGGTAGACTCAATAGTTTCTTTTTTATTTTACGTTGTGAATAAATGTTGGTAGTTATTAAAATTGTTATAAAAATATATAATTCTAATAAAAATAGATAAGTTATAATAAGTATTTATTAACACAAACATCCGATACGCTACTGAAGCAGGTAAGTCAAATTAACGTATCTAAATTCTTTGACATCTAATCTTTGACAAGTAATAAATAAAAGCTAAAATGCAAGAAAAATATATAATTTAGTTAATTTAAGTGAATTTCATAAATGATCGGTTTACTACACGTATGTATATTATATAGTCACTTACTAGCGAAAAGTTGTTCCATTATTTCACTCAATTTTTGCCGAGATCTACCGCACGCTACACAACCAACAATTTTAGAGTCTTTTTCGATAAATCGCGATAGTGTCACTGTTAATTTAAGTTCTGCCACAATTTCCATCTAGATTTACTACCTTTATACAACTATCAGTAGTAGAATAAATAATAAATAACATAAAATAAGCTCCGTAAAGACTGACAAATCCACAAAATTTCAAATCAAATTCAAATGAATCGTCAAACAGAACTGTCAAGGATTAACACCCTAGAGAGCTTTTTCCGCCCACCATGCATGAATACATGGATAGCATTATGCTCCTTCCTTAGTCTTCTTATTCAAAGTAAATAACCGATATTTAATGTCACTAAGTATGTACAGGGTGCCTCATTTTCGTGTGTTTTGTGGGGATTATCGTTTATGAATAGAGACACAGACATGAGGTTTTCACATCACTCTGCTACTTTATGCTACTGCTTTTTTATGAAACTAAAGAATTACAGTTGAGGGTTGGAACCTTTGGTGTTATATAGCAAAATAAAAACACTAAATCACCACAATACACCAAAACACTTTTACTTTTACACTGGACGCGCGTTTCGCTAACCATGTTAGCATCATCATATAAACTAAAGTACAATCTACAAGTTGAGCGTTTATATACTCGCCCAGTGGGCACCGAGTGGGCGTGGCAAAATCTCAGAGCCCACTGAGCGTAACAGTTAGATTTCCGCCACTAGAGTGCCCACTGGGCGAGTATATAAACGCTCAACTTGTAGATTGTACTTCAGTTTATAATCATCTGCTGATGATGCTAACATGGTTAGCGAAACGCGCGTCCAGTGTAAAAGTAAAAGTGTTTTGGTGTATTGTGGTGATTTAGTGTTTTTATTTTGCTTTAAACTAAAGAAGCTGCAAAATACAGATTTGTCACAGCGAATATTAAAATATTTTTAAGCATAGCAGCTGTATATAGGTATGTTCATCTGTTTCTAAGAATGTAACTCCGTAACCATGTCCTTACCATTTAATTCCAATTTTTCCGGCAGTGTTTATGCGTTCGTCGAAATTCCAGTCTTTACGTACTTTGATGGCAATTTTGTTGGGCTTACTATTAAGTAAAATATGACAATTGTGCTTCTGTTCGTATTAATCTACAGTCTGGCTACCAGTTTCGAAGCCATGCTGTTTGCACTTCAGAGAGAAAGGCTGGTTACTGCAGGATCTCGCTTTGTAGCCTGTGTGGAAACACAGTGCAAGCAGATTTTTCGCTTACCGGTAGCCGGCGCCGATCTGAGCCGTTTTCTCGCGCCTAGATAGTACACAGTGAATACCGGTAAAAGCGAGAAAAACGGTTCGAAGTGTCAGTTATGTTTTAATGTTCCGCAAATATGTCGTCTTCAGATGATTATCTGAAGACGATATATCAGTACCAGACGATTCCAACGTACAGGGTGTCCCACTAAGAATAGCTCTCGGCTGTATCTCGGAAAGTATTAGCCGTAGGGACTGCGGAAAAAAATATTTATAACTAGAGAGCCTATGGGAAATTGCTGGAAATTATTTTCAAGTTTGTAGAACGATTTCGGTTGTCGAACGAAAATGGAGTTTTTACACAATTTTGCCTAGATAAGGTGTATTATAAGTAATAGCTTCATAATCTTCAGTAAATATTGAATATTTTTTGTAAAAGCCATTTTCCCCTATCTACCAAAATAAAGTGGTGGGGGAAGGTTAGATCTGTTTCTATTTAAATATTAATAACTCTGGACTGGATGATCGGAATCCAGCAAGTGAGGGCTCGTTTAAAAGAGCGTTTCTTATTCTATATTATACCATATTAATAATAAACATAAGCTTTTGAACGTAGACGCTAAGGGGCACTGTCTTACAATTTAACAAACATTGCGCGTTTTTTCAGTAAAATTAAATGCGATAGTACATATAATTTTAGCTGGTTTTTTTGCTACTGGCGAGAGGAGGAGATATACATCCTGAACGTTAGGCACTTCTTTGTCGGTTAGTCAAATTTGTTTTGCGCGTAAAGAACTACTGACAAGCCAGTTTCCGTTTGTACAGAGAGACCTTGTTAATTACTTAAAAATTAAGAATACTGATGACTTGGTACTTGAAGAATTTTAAGTTAAATATAATCTAATATGACGGAGGAAAGCTTTATATTTTTTTACGAATTTAGATTTTTTTCTTCTAATGAAAATTCAGTTATGGCCATCTTCTTTGGTCATTCTACACGTACGCTAAACATTTTTTAGTTGTTGAAAAAAATACCTGCAATTGGAATAGCTGGTTGCCTATCTATTATTTCCCATATTCTACTTGCTGCTCCAATCGATTTATTCAACTCGGAATAAAAACTGGATAGGCCTCCAATCGAAATGCCGATATAAGCAGCATAGAGTAAAAAAGACGATAAATGTCCAACTGACAGTTCTTCAGAAGAAACCATAACTCCGCCATAATAAAGTACTGATACAATTATTACTTGTCCACTAAACCCTGTCTAAAATAATACATTAGTGATTATAAGTATTGCTTTAACTGTTAAAAAAATCAAATACAAATTGTGGTTTGGTTTAGAAAAATGAAAGTTTATAGTGTACGGTAGATACTTTTAGTAGAGCAAGAAATGTATACGGGTTCCAACACTAGTGGGGTGCTTTAAGGCCCTGTGGTTAACAAACCTCGGAATTAAATTACTTTGAAGGAATTGTTACAAAAAATGTTGCATTGCATTGTTAATAATATACAGGGTGTCCTAATATTTCGTGGATATAGAAATTCTCAAGAAGTACGGCAAGGGTGGAAACTACCCCCACCCTACATAAATTGTCCACAAGTACTAGTTAAACGCTTTTCTTCACTTACGCACGCCAGAAAAAAATCTAACAACTAACCTGTTTGTTTCACTTATTTTTTTATCTCTGATAAAAGTCACATCGCACAGTTTCTGAGAAAAAAATTGAGAATATTCATGGAGGTCCAATATTCCGTGGACACAAAACAACTACGTGTTTTTTGAATCAAAATAAGTTAATTGTACACAATTTACCTATAAACAAAAGTGCTTCGTTTGTCTAAAAAATACTGTAAAACTGTCATAGATAAATGCAACAAGTTTAGATTGGAAAGCCCGTAAAAATTTTAGGTCGCGAAATTATTTTGGGTCGCGACCGTTATACGCGATCTGGCGCTGCTATAGCGGTCGCTAAGAACAAGGGCAAACAAAAACAGAAATAATTTTCTCTTGTTAAAGTCAGAATCTTCAAAAATCATAATAATCTTTCAAAATCTAAACCGCTCTCATTAAAGAAATTCCGAAAATTGTTTATAGCGTCCATTTTCAAAGTAAGCAATAATTACTTGTGAGTTTAATTCAAGTTTTATTTACTCCAACCGGTGATACTTGCGAAAAAGTGGCATTAAAAACTTAAAAAGCTGTGCTGTGAACTGCAAAAACCATCGTGGATCGTGGCATAACGTCGGTTTCCAATGTTTCATAGGTACTTCATACATGCGTCCTTATATAAAATAAAGTTTCTTGTATGCAACACACTGTATTTCATTTATAAAATTAAACGAAAATAATAATAAATTTGAATAAACAATATTTGGCGATATAATTCCGGAAAAAGCCGAACCGCTCCGAAATTTTCAAAAGTGAGGAAAGGATAACACGTTCCAGCGTTGCTAATTACTAATTTTTTCCACCTTTACATATAATACTCGGCTACTTTTACTGTACTATCAATGTATACGTCAGGGTCGCTTTATCCATTAGGCAAGATAGGCAGCTGCCTAGGTAGTATACTGCCTGGGTTGTAGTGCAAAATACAGGCGTTATATTACTAGGTTGGCAGGATAATGGAGCGGCAAATTTTTGCTGATGTTAAACTATTGTAACTTGGAAAATAATATCTTCGTAAATAAAATATACTGCCACAGTCTCATATTAATTTTGAATTATTAAAATCAAATATTACATATTTTTTTCTTCTGACGGTATTCAGGTAATAGGTTCCGATATAACCACTGCAGCTCTTGATTTGGAGATATGCTGCCGTGCAGACGGATCAATGTTTGCAGATCGGTTATGTAAGCAGTGACGGATTCGATCTGTCGTTGCAGTCGACGACTTATTTTAGCCTCCAAGTCTACCTCGTAATGTACGGGATAGTAGAAAATTCTAAATTCTCGCGTAAAATAATCCCAGGTCCTGATGTTTGCTACATTATTACGGTACCATAGAGCAGCTTTTCCGTTTAGAACTTCTGGCAACTGGGGCAGCAACAGGTGAATGCGCTGTGCTTTACAAATCTCTTCTAGTCTTTCCAGAAAAGTGGCAGGGTCGGAGTGACCATTAAATGCCACACCCCACTTCTAAATTTCCAATAAACTATAAGCAGTGTGTGGTACCCGCATCCAGAGGCAGAAGATAAATCAAACATCGTAGAATAACATTGTGAGCGGTGGGTGTAGGTCGGGTTGTCTCTCACTGTTAAGTAGCTTCTAACATCTCTCACTGTTAAGTAGCTTTTAACGCTTTACTAGCTTTACCCGGTTTCTCCCCATTTTGAAAGGCTTTGGCTTCAACTTGTGAAGTCCCTGGACCCATGAATAATTGGTCCCTGCTCGGGCGCCAAATTTGTGACAGTCTTTTTGGAGACCGTTACTGACGTCAAGATTTCTTACGGTATGTAGTTCTCGAGCGCCACCTCTATCTTTTAGACAGTGGAGAATCCAGGAGGTTGGTTGGAGGCTGCTACAAAGATAGTTATGAAGTCGGCACAGCTTGACGGAAAACCGCTTGGGCCAACTATTTTTGCCATTTTGAAGCCGCTGCGAGAGCGAACGGCTGGACAATCCGTTTTGACTATCGCATTGCGAGGAGATGCGACTGACATCCTGCAGATACTGTTACCATGGGTTTAGCACGTGCCCGAGAATTTGAGGCGTTGACACATCGATGAGTGTTCCGACGAATCCGTTGAAGGGATTGTACGGAAAGTCATGGAGTGCATAGGCAAGAAAGGACCGACTTGTTGCTGAACTTGCTGAAATTGAAAAAAGGACACGTAAGAAGTCACTGTAAAGAAAAAAAACCTGAACCGCACTTGTCAAGTGTCGAATTAAAGGGACACACATCGAGGTTCCAACAAAAACTGCTCAAGTCGCATCGCTACAACACAAGTTCAACAGCATTTTTGTGGATGGTTTCGTGGATGGAGAGTTACGGACCATGCTGTTGGATACGGGTGCGACCAAAACAATCATCAGACCAGATATCATTAAAACATCAAAAAGGATTAAAACAACACAATGGCGACTACGTACTGCTACAGAAAGCTCCGCTCTCATCCATGGAGAGGTAGATCTTAATTTTGTTATCGGGAGCACCTGTTTTGATCATCGAGTGTTAGTAGCAGACATCGAAGATGAACTTATTCTCGGAATGGACGTCATGACCACCAGAGGCTTTGAACTGAAGTTCAGGCAGGGAAAAGTCAATGGAGAAAAAGTTATTCTTCATCGAAAACGTGAGTAGACGCTTCGCGTGGTGGTAGCAGAAGATGTTTCAATCCCTGAGCGTTGTGGGATATTTTTGGATGGTTGCCTGGAAGGTAAAATGAATAATGGGAGTATTACTCTGTTGGAGCCAAGGAACCATGACAGTGAAATAGAACGTGAGGTCGCTGTAGGAAAAGCCCTGCTATGAGCGAAAAAGACTACCGGTGAGAGTATATAACACTAATTATTATTCAGTGTCCTTGAAGAAGGGAACCCTGTTAGGGTACTGTTGTTCAATATCCTCTGTCATTCGAAGCGTGGAAGCCTCCAAAGTTTCGGCTTCATAAATTCCGGACAAAATCGCGAAGGCCTAGTAAATGTTAACGGATTATCTTCCCAGGGTAGTAGAAAATTGAGCAACCTAATAATTAAGAATCAAGATGTGTTTGATAAAGGAGAAGCAGGGCAGAGAGGTCGTACCAATTTAGTACAACATAAAATTGATACCGGAGATGCACGACCAATCAAACAAAATCCGAGAAAACTTCCACTCGCCAATTTTTTATCTTTTTAATTGCTGACCTGGATATTATTTCTTATTCAATGTTAATTAGCGCTGATCAATATTGTGGCGATGAATATAATCAGATTAAATAATTTAAAAAACTAGAGCCGGAATTGAAATTATTTTAAGTAATAATTAAATAGTTTTATTTTTTTAAGGTACCCCAAAACAAAAAAAATATCAAGTGTGGCATATCATTGTACTCAGGAGACCGAGTTATTTCAAAACCAATTCAAAAAAAAATAAGTTGGCTTCTGTATCTCACAAATTATGAGCTAATTTGAAAATCTAAAAATACTATTAGTTAGCCCTAATAAAGTGGCCATGAGAATGTGTAATTAGTTTTTTGATTTTCTAAAAAGTAACGAGAGGAAAAAATAAAATTGATTTTCAAAAAAATCCGTTTTTCTCAAAAAACTCAGTAATCCTTGAAATTGTTGTAACTTTTTTGATAGCAAGTTGGTGAACATCCCACGGAGCAACTTTGCCTCAATTTAACCATCTTCGTATCTATTACGGTTTCCGAGATACCAATGTTCGTACCACGAATTTGTAGCACCCTGTAGACGTTTATTTATTTTTTTAAGCAAAAATAGCATCATAATTCGTCCCTTTTAGAAGAATATTTTGTGTCTCCTCATATTGTGGCCACCACCGGTAAGTACTGGAATCAAAGAAATGCCGTTCTGTCATTTGATTCTATTCCACATTTTTTTCGTTCTGATTTATCTTTCTAATTAATAGTGCCAACGATAAAATTGAATTGAATAAAATACTCAAACAACTTTGTATTTTTTTGAAATATTTAAAACACTGGAATACAATAATATGTTGTCTGGAACTTCAAAAGAAAGTTAAGAAAGTGATATATCAGAATAGCGTAGACTAGAATAATACCATTTTTTATTTAAAGTTTAATAATTTATATATTAGCTGTGCATTTTTGAACTGTACTCTTCATTAGAAAAATCTCAATGCAGGATTTCAGCTAATATAAGAATGCCGAAAAAAGAAAAATATATAAATATAAATAGATAAGTGTGTTACGTTTTACTTTTAACAAAAATAAGTACACACATTACGATTAAAAACATACCATTCCATAAAATATCGCTCTGGCCTTAGTTTCTTTATATCCTAAATTTAAAATATCTGTAACTGAGTGTTTGTACCTTTCCATTTCTCTCCGTTCTTGAGCAAAGGCCTTAACAGTTCTCATATTTGAAATCCTTTCTTCTGCAACCTATAAAACAAAAAAACCTAGCTTGAATCTCACAATAGTAATCTATATATATTAGGATCAACATTTGTGAATAGTTAAATATTGTATTTCTCCCAAGAAACATACTACAATATGGTAAAAAAGTTTATAATCAAATTGCCATGAAACTCAGTATACATTATAGACTGTTAACTAATAGCTTAGCTAAAAATCTTATCCCTAATTCGTGGTAGGAAAATTGTTTTTTATCACGATGTGCAAACGAGTAAAATTTCCTGTGCGCAAAAATAAACTCGCGTAAAATAACAATAAACAGCGTAATAGAGAGACATCGCTAAACCAAATAGCGTGCATGGACGTTAATAAGGCCAGGTGTTATTTCCTTTACGTGAGGTGGTATTAACTCTCTTCATTTATAGTTATCGGATCGGAAAGAATTCTGTTCGCGTCGCGTCCGCTATTTAAACTTAACCTAACTTTGAATTTAAAACTTTGAAATTGTTTTGTTTACTGGGTATTTTAAAACTAAAGGGCTAAAGTGCTTATTTCCAGTGCTTCATTGTTCAACATCTACCAGTGGGTTTAGGGCAAAAATATATATTTTGCTAATATATATTTTGCTAAATATATACTTTATAGGTTCTTTAATATTGGAAGAGGTGGAATCCATATTTTGGGCCATATTTATTTAATTAAAACTAATCCCAGCTACTTAAATATCAAATTACCTAATAAAACTAAAGTAATAATTCAAAACAATTCAAACATAACCTAAAATAAAAGATCTCGCCGGCCGGCCCCGGTTATCAAATGTACCCGCACATGCTCATTTAAGCAATTTTTAAACGTTATTTAGAAATAGCGCTTGGTCTAATTGATCCGCAAATTACGTCAGGCGGTAACATTATTAGCGGGTCCATGATAAGGTACGCGTAAATACTGCATGACGCTATTCGGTTTTCCGATATATCTCTAATAACTGTGCCGGTCAGGCGCTGTGCAAAATTTTAGAGGCCATAAGTGGGCGTGCTATGTGCGCAAACTAGTAACCTAACTAGTGCCCGATTCCGAAAATTGGACCACGAAAAACTATAAAGAAAAAACAAAGTTTATAATCTGTGTGCTAGTAGCATAACTTTCATACTGTTCCCTGGATGCAGGCTAGTTTTCCTTGGTGACTGAGACAATTACTTTTTAAAAAACAACACAGACTTGATCAGTATATTAACATATTTGGTTGAACAGTACTCACAAAAAGATACTAAAATACAATTACAACTTAATTTATAAACTATTTACTAGCTATGTGGATATTATTGGCTATTGTAAAAACAAATATCTTGATTTTCAATATCAGTGACGTGATCATAACTTTTGTACTGCTCCCGGGATGCAGGCTATCATAGAAACATACCTTGTATTTTAAAATTAGTGACGCCATTTCAATCACGTCACTATTTTGTATGACTTTTGATAACAGTTATGTAAAGCCTTGTTCATGTAGACGCAAATCGCGAATCGCGATTTTACGAAACTGCTCGCATTGGTCCAATTTTACTGATCATGGCGGCGCTGTCAGAAATTTTAAGATTTTGGCGATTCGCAAGATTTAAAATTCGGGGTGCGGGAAAGTTAAAGTGTTTTCAACTTTTTGCGGATATTCGCGCGATTTTAAGTTTCGCGTTTGCGCAGAATGGTGTTGTGATCCGGTTATCGATTATTTTGACGACGCTGCCGCAAAGCAAGAACGGTAAACTAATAGGATATAGGATTGCTCATCCTCATCTGCGCTTCAGCTGACAGTTGTGACGAAATTGACAAGTCATGATAGTGTGTATTATTAGTTGCCTATGGTAAACTTATAAAAATAACAGCTGAGAAATTTTGAGTTAAATATTTTGTCAATTTTAAATGTGAAAAAGGTGTCTTTAAAGTTTTTAGAGTTATAGAGTGTATAAATACGTTCATTTTGTGTTGTGGAATGTGACAAAGTGCTTACTAAGTGCCTACGATATTGTTTATTAATTATTTTAAAGCAAAATATGGAAGTACTCTAAAAAGAATGCCTGCAAAAGGTGATGCTGGAAACTGCTGTTCTTAAAAATGTATTATTCGAGTATTTAATACGATTTATACAGTTGATTTTCTATACTGCATACATATAAGGTGTTTAAATAAATAAACTAAATAATGAACGTTTTGCATTCGGCAACCAATAATGCACGTGTGTGTATTATTGGTTGCCGGATAAGGACTAATAACCATGACAAGGACTACAATGACGTCACAAAGCGAGTAGTTTTCGCATGCACCTGGCGGACACTTTTGGCTGAATGAGCAGTCCTATTAAGTTAACTGTTCTTGGCAAAAAAGTAACTGAAACCATTTCTCCAGTTGAAATGGGTTCTCGTGCATATGTTTTTGATATATATGGTGACAATTTTTCAACCAAGTTATCAAACTCCTGTACAGACAATCTGTGAAAATTGGCTGTACAGACAATCTATGAAAAAAAAAAGAACGAAGAAAGTTGGCTTTAGGTTTTAGAATGATTTATGATGGTCGCATCTGACTGGGTCACGTTTAAATGACCCTGTGTTTGTTACCTATACCAGTTTCGCTCAGAGAGGCCGTATTTCGATAACAGTATAATATAATGTGATAAATATTTACCTTTGTTGCATCTGCTAATGAATCTTGAAGACTTCGAGATATATTTCTTACATACTTTCCATATAAAACTGCAAGGCCTGCTACCGGAGGAACAATTCCCAAACTAACTAATGCTAATTTCGGAGACATATAAAACTAAAATTATATATAAGTAATTAACTATAACAAAATATAGACACACAGTATAATATATAAAAGATATAGGGACGGATAAGAGTTTTTGGGGGAAGCCCAAGTTAGCCACTCTAAATATTTCGCGTTGTCACTCTAAATATCCGGTCTGTATTTTTAAAATAAATTAACCTAACCTAACCAGTTAATAAAGAGATATTCAAAGAACTGTAGGACATTCTGTTCCTATGTCCGGTAGGCTTGTTAACGACGAGCGAAGTGGAAAATAAATTGAATAAAGCTCGCGGTATCGATTTTTCAATAAAATGGCAATCAAGATGGCTGGTGTCGCCATGGCAATTTGCTAGTGACAGTTAGTATACTTGTATTCATTTAAAACTTCCCAATATGGCGGACTTCAGTATGGGAGGCTTAAAAAACGAAAATCTCTAGACTGGAATAGACTGTAGTTCAAATCGATAATCTGTGGTAAATCCAATTGAACTCTGACACTTGACTGACATTGACGTTTACGGTTCCTTTTTCTAAATATTAGAGAACAACGGCATACCGTCGAGTCGGCCTAAAAACACGTAAACGTTTACGTACGCATGCGCATTTCTGATATTTCTTATTTTTTATACACGTAAAAGATTCTTTACGTCTACGTATACGTGTCAGCAGCGGCCGACTCGACCGTATGCCGAAATCTTTTCACTGATCAAGAACTGAGGAATAGGCTGGAAGATATTCAAAATGTGTAAAACGCTTAAAAACGTATTAGAAAACATTAGAGAACAACGGCATACGGTCGAGTCGGCCTACAAACACGTAAACGTTTACGTACGCATGCGCATTTCTTATATTTTTTTATTTTTTATACACGTAAAAGATTCTTTACGTCTACGTATAAGTGCCAGCAGCGGCCGACTCGACCGTATGCCGTTGTTCTCTATTGACTCCGCCACAAATTCGTGAAAATAAATTAGTCCATATGTTTGTAAAAAGTATCAGTAATTTTCAGGTTTGTAATATGTATATGATAATAAATAGATTAAAACTTGTCTTTCAGGAAACAGGGCGGGCATTACAGATTGTTATAAATCAGTTTGAAAATATAAAGAAAGTTTAAAAGTTGAGTTAGTAGAGAAGACCTAAATAAGGTAATGTTGGTAATGGGACCAAAGATCAAATAACTCTTGAAATACATATATAACATGTACAATAATTGTAAGTAGTTTTTATGAATCTGTTTGATATCTATTGCATTGTTTTTATATTTCTTGTAATATATATTTTTTTACTTTACATGATACACAAAGAATAATAAAAAATACAGTTACTCACTAAAAGCTCTTAAGGTTTGTAATAGATGTAGTTAGAATATCAAACACCAAACCAAACATTTCATAAATAAGCAGGACATTGTATAGTACACTCTATATTAATAATCACTTACTAAGTATAAAATTTAGTACTGATTCCAAACCTATAGTTGTGGTTGTGACATATTCTGATGTGTTTCTGGCAATTTAAAATAAGTTAATATATAAACAAACATTTCTGGCTTTCCTGACAGGAGTGTCAATACAAATTTAATAAAGGTATAATGTGGATAATGTTCTGATTATTACAGTTTGAATGGATGTTTTTGTATGTTGTTATTTTTAATAAAGTATATTTAATGAGTTTTTGAGTATTTCTTTTTCCCTCAGAGGATTGTGTTCTAATCTTTATATATAAATTTTCATAAATTATATCTACAAAATTTATTATCTTATAACTTTTTGTTAAAGACTTTGTAGTTGATACAGTTTAACAGTATATAAAAGAACTATTTAAATAAGATGTTTGAAAATATATTGCTGTTTTTGCACGCATCAATTCAATTTGTGATTAACTGTACTGAAAGAAAAACAAATTAAGAGAAATGGGGTGATCTATCAACTATAACATAAAACGTATCATCCTATTTCCAAGTTTTCTATTAATTTTACTTATTAAACAACTATAATTATTCAATAATCTTGATAATTCTAGGAACTCTCAGACATAGTCAAAACATGAAAACAAAAATTCACTTCCTATAGTTCTTACGTCCCTTTAACTGAATTATAAGAAACAGGGGAGTTAATATTCTCACTGAGAAAGTTTATAAAATACCTTTAAGTAAAATCTCTTCGGATCTGCGGTAAAATACCTTTTCTTATTAAATAATTTCAATAATCTATGTTTTTATTTATGACAACCACCTAATAACCTAACTTTAACGTCAACTTGACAACCTCCTGAAAAATGTTATTGTTAATCAAAGAGTAAATCAATTTCTGAATTCGCTAACGCCAACTTATTTCTCATTAAAAAAAAATTACCAATTTTCGTAACTAGATCGCCCATATTGAGGAACTTTTAAAAAAATTGTACTATATTTATATTTACCATCATACTAGTACCAGCAAAAACCATTAGAGTGGATCTTAAACCATCAGAAATATTTTGAGATAAAACTTGCCCCACTACTTGCGTATCTGCTGACAAGCGATTTATCAGTTCTCCTGTTGATTTTCTATCAAACCATCCTTGCTCTTGTTTAACAATAGCATTAAATACTTTTGTTCTGAGAGCTTGTGTCATTCTGTATCCTAAAATTTCAGTACATTACAATAAATTTTTAGTAATTATTATTGCTATATATTTTACTTAATGAAGTATTACAGTTATAGCTAAATTTTGTTGCTGCTTTCTAGAATTAGAAATTCTAAAAATATTCGTGAAGTTAGGTTAGTTCAAAACATATGTTTGATATGAGCGCAAGCACTTAGATTATACCGGGGTGTCACTTGTATGGGAAAACAGGCAACAGTCAAATTTAAACGTGCCAGGACCAACGACAAAGAAAGCAACATCTGCCAGGCATTGGCTTTCTTTGTCACTCACATTGCTTAAATCATGATACCGCGGCCATTTTGTCAACAAAGAAGCTGGCCGGGCTGTCTGGCAAGTGATTTAAAACAATTTTGCTTTTTTACAATATTAAATTACCATTTGGATGTATTTAATGCGATTATTCGGTTAACTGGTAAGTCAGAAATTACACACAAATACTTTATTCGTAAATACAACTAAGATGTAAACGTATTTTTGTATTTTTAGATTTCAACTCTTGCAAAGACCCGCCGATAGAACTTGCCTGGCAGCGTACCAAACACTACTACAGCGTTAACTAAACGTATTATTTCCTGATAATAATATCAAAACACGTAAGTACCTCTATAATTTATGATGAAAAATGATTTTGATTATGTTTTATATTATTTAAATACTTTCTAACCTCAAATAATAGTAAGATCCTTGTTTATATCGCACAGCCCGTTCAAAACTGTAATGTCTTCAAAAAACGTTTACAAAACAAACAATTATTAAAAAAACAATGTCCTTTTAATCTGATTTATACCTCAGAAGGATGCCAGTAAAATTTTATTAAATGAACATTATATTATTTGCCGTTAATATGCAAAAAGGAGCATATTGCCTTAACTTAAATTTTCTTTTACTTCTCCTGACAATGTTCTCTATATTCTCTATTTTGAGTTAGTAAACTTTTGATCGGGATGTGCGATATATAAAATACATAATATATCCAAGGGTATGATCTGATAAAAGTATTTTTTGATGCATTTTTTGGTTGTTTATGCACGTTGGCTTGGTTTATGTTTTATTCAGCTTATATTTATTTGGTATAACAGTTTTTTTTGCCTTTGGAATGGCATGCATTGAGGCTAGATTGTGTTTCATTAGATCATTAAAGGAATTTAAATTAGCATATATTTTTTGTCATATTAGTGTGTTATCATGATACAGGTAGTTGTATCATAGTGCCTTATGCATGTTATTTACCTATTATATACTTATGTAATGTATTCTCAGTAAATAGATGATAACATACTACTAAAATGTCTTTTTAATAGTATGTTTATCTTTCCAATTCACTAGTTATTTGCAAAATGTATTTTGAACTAATTTAAGTCATTAATTGATCATCTTTCTTTTTCAGGTTCCGAGATATTCTTTTTCATTGTTAAAAAAATATATATATTTCAATATTATTGTAATATAAATCGCAGCTCTAAAACATAAATGATATTGTTTACTAATGTGTAATTTATTTACTATGAATTTTCTCTGAAAATAGTAAGTCTTTAATAATATCATTGATTTGCTGTGTAAAGTTAATAGACATATTTTTTAATACATTAAATTATATTAAAGTAATAAAAAATATGTTTATTAACTTTAAACGGTAAGTCAGTGATACTTTAATACTTAAATATTTTTTTAAAAGTTTCCCCTCTTTTAAGCCCCGCCCCTCCAATTCCCCTCAATTTAGCTAGTACTGCCAGGCGACACCAGGTGGCGTCTGTTTCCATTTTTTAACATGAAGTTAGCATTTCTTTAATGTACCTATTCTCTGGATTATACCAATGACTAAAGAATCCAAGGACAAATAACACCCAAGAGCAAATTGTGATGATGTCACCAAACAGTGCCGTAACACATATTTTTCTTAACCTAGCTGTTTGAAGCAATATTTATATTTTTTGATAATAATTGTTTTGACTACGCCTATGGTGTATCATCCTAATTAGTTACGAAAAAAACGTATTAAAATGTTAACAAAAGGTACAATACAATACAATATATATCAAGTACATATAGATGTTAATTGAAATTGAAGAATAATTATCGAATTCAATAAGAAAACGCTAAAAAGTTGGAGTGGACTGTTTATTTACCTATGAAACGTAACCCCTGGCTCTTTCTTATCGCTGCTGCTTTTACACTTGAAAGCTGAACAACTAATCACCATTGTAATAAAGTTTATACAAAGTTTACTACACACAAACTATTAAAAATCGCTAAAATTGTCGCTGGTGACCAAATGGTGACTCATTGTTTGCCACCAAAAGAAAGGTCTCTAAGGTCACAAATTCTGCTGCAGCCCGTACAGGGGCGTTACATGTCCTTATATTCTTTAGTCATTGGATTAGGTATACTGATTTTATTCTTAAGACAAGCAGGAGAATTTATTTGATTTCTTTAAGCTTCATTCACAACCAACCAATTTATTTATAAGTAATATATCACTTATTTCTGGGTTAAATAGATGCTAAAATTTAAGCATAAACAAATTTCAAGTTGCGTAAAGGATATTTTTTGGCTTTATTTTTTTTGCAAATGTCATGAGTTACGCAGCAGCGAAATAACCGCAACCCGTCTGCCAGACTTAGGGCTCTGAGTTCACCAGTTAATAAACTATAATTTTTTTGTTATTGTAACTTGCCTAAAATATGTTCTCTAAATATGTCGTCAGCTCTTAGATTATATATGGAGAATGGCAACAATCATCATTTCCAAGCAAACTGGATGCTGTTTTTTTCAATCATACGGTTACTTCAGGATTTTATTAAGTTATAATTACTTACCCGCAATAGATATATAGTAAACTCTTCCGAAATTGCATACTGCACCCAATAAAAAAACACTAAATAAAATTCCACAGACTCTATTTAAGTTTGCTTGTGCTTCTTCACCTTTATTTGTATAAATTATATCGAGTATTTTACCCAAACTAAATGGAACTGCCATTGTTACAGTACTGGATATGATTAAAAATCCGATTGCACCTAAAATATTAAACATAATGACTAATACTATACTTGTAGAATGTAGAATGTAGATAGATGATTCTACATTCTACATACTATACTTTGTATAATTAGAGTCCAGTTTAAGCCTGGAAAAATAATATATAATCGTCAAATACCTACATTTTGAACTAAGATAAATGATAAGAAATTGTTACACAATTTATTAAAAATTTGGACATGGTCTAAATCTGAAATCACCCTGAACCAAGTATGAATAACCGAGCCTTAGATCTACTTAGAAATGAACTCACCTAATAATTTCCATTTTTCGGGTTTTGCTAAACTGAATAATCTACTTAAATCTGATTTACTAATTCTTCGTCCAGGTACAACATGATGTGAAACCTCACTTTTGATAGTATTATTAGAATTTTTTCGAAAGGTTTCTAAGAGTTTATCTTTGCCTTCATTATTCCCCTTAACTTGAGGGTCTACTGAGTAGTAAGTTTTATTTTGGCTCACCTTTTCGGACATTTTAAATTTACGACTTCTAAAAATATTATTTCTAATTTGTAGTTGAACACTGACACGTCTTAAATGTTTTACAACATTTAAGTTATCTTTGGATATTAAGAAAGTACAAATGAACATTGCTATCCAGGATAATTTAAATCTAAAAATAAATAATTTTCAGTAATGATAAAATTGTTGGATTGTGTGGATCATAGATAACAGACCTATTTAATTGTGTGGATGTTCAGAAAAAAGTAAATAACTATAAATCACATATAAATCCCTCTGATAAATTCAAACAAATAAGGTAAAGAGGTAATTACTTTTTTCATTGTTTTTTCATCTAGGTAAAGACAGGTAAAAGGTTATGGGTTATGGTAAAGTAGCACCACCACCTCAACTCAAGGCTCATCAACATGATATGGGCAAGGCAAATATGGCGGCAAAGGCAGCGCATTATTAAATATTAATGCCCACTTGCACCGTTTGTATAAACTTTGTTTAAAGGCTAAACAGTGATTAACTATACATATTTTATTATAGTTAATCACTGTTTAGCCTTTAAACAAAGTTTATACAAACGGTGGAAATGGGCATAAATTGTTTACCTTTAACCATAACTGAACCTTTAACCCTAAAAGCCGGTAGCCGGTAGTGGTTTCTCGTTCCGATTGCATATCAGAAATAATTAATTATCTCTAGTTTGTTGTGCTTCTGCAACACTGCAACACGTTTGTTTAGTCCTTAGTGTTCAGTGCATGGTGTGATCAGAAAATTGTGATAAAATAAGTGTGTAATAAAAATCCAAACCAGACATTCCACAGGGAACTTCAAACTTTTGTACTTGTCGTACTCCCGTATTATTAATTATTTTAAGGTAAGAACTAGAAATATTTATCAAGATATTACACCTAAATGAGTAAAAAGCCTTCAACGCCAGTCTGCATAGTACTTTATAATGGTTACTTACAATAATCAAAAGATAGGTATTAAAGGGTTAACATTTTATTGTAGCATGCGTTTTACATAATCTGTTCCAAATTGTCACTGAATTATAGCGGGGGTCCCAAGGTTTCTGCTTTTATATTCCCCAAAAATGACGAGCTTCGTAAAAATGGTTGACAGCTATTAAAAGAGATAATTTCGCTCCTACTAGTTCTCGGGTAAGAAGTACATTAAATATGCCTCAAAAAGGCCAGAGGCTTTCTGTTACCCTGTGAGGAGGTAGTTATGGCTACTGCTTGCACTTACTTCACTATAAATAAAATATTGGAAGAACAATCAAGCTACACGCACACGGCCGCGATCACGGCCGCGATCACGATCACGATCCGGGCAGCGATAACATGAGCGATCATTCTAGCACACACCAACGCGTTCACGTTCACCGCCGTACCTATATGTAGTGCGCCATCCTGTAGGTATTCATAGGTACAAATTAAAAATGTGAATTACGTATACCGAAAAAAAAACATTCTTAAATATTTACCTACAATATTTAAACTTAAACAATAAAAATGTATATATATGTACTATCCAATCCAATTGCAACTCCAATTTTGTCTCAAACTTTTTATTTTTAATTCTATTATTTTTGTAACTTGGATCGGATAAATCATATAGAATTTTGTGTATTTTTACAGCCTTAATTAGCTGCTCTGCTAACTCCATTTCTAAATTGCAACAAGAAAAAACACACAAAATAACGGAAAATTCCTAGTCAGTTGGGTCGCGATCACGCGATCAAACTCGACAAGTTGAATCTGATCGCCACCGCAGAATAGAACGCCGCCAGGCCGCTTCGTCTCCAAAACTCGATCGCGCCAATGTGAAACGGTCCTGCTCATATGTACTCTTCAGCAAATTTGGCCGCGGCCGCGTGGAGATCGTGATCGCGGCCGTGATCGCACCAGTCACCAGTGTGGGTACAGCTTCAAACTTTTTACATCTAAAAGATCACAGAAAGATATTGACAACATTGACATTTGAAAATATAAATGGCCTGGATGTAAGTCTTTTTTTAGGTCACAATTGCCCCTCACATACGTCAGAATTTATTATTAAATCCATCTTGTTCAGAATATCCAATATTTTATTGAAGAACTATGCAAAAAAAGGAATGACGTCTTTACCACAAAGACAATGCCCTATGTAAAGAGAAAGAGTAAAGAAAACTAAGCTAAGCGTAAGTTTTACTTACGAACCCCCAAAAAGGTATTTATTATTATATTTTTTTTTCTATATAAAATCTTGAAACACATATTATATTTTTTAGTTATCCTCACTTATTATAGTTTAAATTTATTCCCATTTGTGTAATGCTGCAAAATATAGAAACAATATTCCATACTTTTTGATCCAAGCCATTGTTGTTTATAATTCCAAGAGCATTTACCAAAGCTTTTACTAAGACAAGTAACTTTCTATTCTGTCCATAATGGTATATACTATCAAACGTTTAATAAATTCTTAACTATGGTAGGTAAGTGTTTGCAATTGAACATTTAGTTTATATTGCTATTTTCTGTCATATATTTCTGGTTATTTCTTTTTCCGATGATTTTGAACACCCTATATATGCTACCTCAAGTTTGAATATTTTAACACTACCTATTTTCTGAGAAAGCAGACCTTTTTATAAAAAGTAACTAACTGATGTTTTCATAAAAGTAATAATACAAAAAATTGCATACTTATGTGGAGAACTTTAGACTCCCTGTATATTAAAAAGTTAGTGAAATATTACGTAATCTAATCCGACATTTATGTGAAAAATGTCTATTTGGAAATAAAACACGGTTTTTAATACGCTCGAAATAAAGCACTTCCATCTCCGCCATATTGGAAAAGGTTGAATAGCCTGGCGTGGAGGTGGTGGTTGTTCAGCCGTCGAGATGACATAACATTGTGACATAACACGTGGACATAACATAAATCATAACCCAACATTTTCAGATTGTTTATTGTTTATAAATTTATTTTAGCAAATTTTCCTCAATTATCAGCTATTATGCATAGAATTGGTTAAAAAAGCACCAGAAAATAGCAAAAACTTGATTGTTTATTGAATACCTAATAAAATATGTGCTAGAAAACCTTAAAAATATGAGACCGTCAGAAAAAAAGTTTAAATTCGTAATCTACGGCCTCAGAATAGGGTGTATACCTACCAATTTTTGTGTAAATCGGAAGATTTCCAGTTTTTTTGATAATTACCAGATGAAGTGTTACATTTAAAACTGTAAGTATTAATCTTTGCATTAAGTATGTAGAAATTTTGATAGATGCTTTATGTTTATATATATTTATATTGTATTTTAATGTTCTTTTTTAAGAACAGGCATAGGTTTAATACAGAAACTACACACAAATACAATACACGAACACTACAGGTAAACTATCTTAAACACAGACTTACTCTATCAGAAAAAAACCCACACTACATGTGTTTAAAACTGTTTAATGCTTTGCCAGACAAAGTTAAGTCCTTGCAATATCAAAAACAATTTCAGAGAGAAATCAAAAAATTATTAGTAGATTTAGAACCATATAGCATAAATGAATTAAGTAACTGGTGATTAGGATATTTCATTTTATATTAATTTTGTTAGCAACTTTTATAATAAACTAATTTAAATTTTTAATATGTATTTATTTTTGTATTTGCTGACGTCATTTCAGTTTATGTTCGATTTATACACATGATTTGAAATAAAGTTTATTTATTATTATTATTATTATAATTAATATTTGAAACTACAAATAATGCCAATCAGATTGGATTCCTCCAGTGGCGTAGGGAATTATAATCAGAGAAATACAATTTCTGCAATAAACATTTTTTATATATTTTACAAGACTACTTGTTACTATATTTTTTTAAATATCCTTTCAAAAAATTTGCTAATTTAGGTGTATAATAATAGTTTCAGTGAGTAATTAATAAAAATTTAAAAATAAATAAAATAACACAAATCTTCTAGAATTGTTTATTTTTTTGTGAAAAATTAGGATATTCTTATGATTGAAGGTAACAAATATAAAAAATTACATTATTCGTTGAATCCGTAAGCAAGTGTGAAGGGGATTGGCTAGATTCACTATTATACCGTATGATCGAAAAAAAACGGCGTCCAGTTGGCTTGTAAATGACCATCGATGATATTCCCCATATAATTTTACATATAAAATGACAGCGATCTTCATTTCATAGCCATCGCCTACGCCGTCTTCTTTCGATGTCATCGATCATTATTTCCAAACATTATTTTTTATTTAATTATACATTATACACACGTTAATAAATAAATAATTGTCTTGATGAGTCAGTCCACTGCTTAGATTAACAATGTCCACTGTGACTGTTAAATAGATTTTGCATTATCGACTTAGATATTCTAATATTATAAAGGTAAGACTATAAAATACAAAATTGTATATGCATTACTCAAAAATGAACGATATGTTAGTTTACCTTTTAATAAATATTTTGTATCGTCTAGGTACAAGCTAATTTCTGATGCTACGCCATTGGAGAAGTGGGTGTGGTGACAAATTGCCTCACTTTCAGCGCCGTGTTACCTGTCCCCTCTCTTTCCTTATAGGACTGCTCATCACCTGCTCTATGGACCTGCTCATTCAGTCAAAAGTGTCCGCCAGGTGCATGCGAAAACTACTCGGTTTGTGACGTCAATGTAGTCCATATCATGATTATTAGTTATGGATATAAGGCAATTTTAACAGTTGTTATGGAAAAATAAATAAATTTAGTTTTCTTAAAGCATCTTGACGTTTCGCCCCTAATTTTGGGGCATCTTCAAAAATTTTTATTTTCTTGAGATTTTTATTTTGTTTGTTTCAGCACTTTGGATGTTCGTGCTATTCGACAGGTCTTGCTTTAATAATTTACCGATAAAAATATATAAAATAATTATACTAAGGTCGGTTCTTAGTTTATAATGATTCTTATTTGAAATATTTAATAAAAAAAACTACATTAAAAATCCAAGAAAAAAATATAATAATTTAAATTAACTTTTATAGCCATCCACATCTAGACTTGGTCTTCTTGGTGTTGCCTATCCTTTGTATATTACGTTGACTCATTGGCGTGGGAGTTCGAGGTGGAGACTCGGTAGGAAGTAATAGTGGGGAAGGTGATCGTGAAGTTACCAATCTCTCTTGCATTGCCTAGATTAAAAAAAGCAACTTCAAATCACAATTAAGGTAATAGATTGGATAAGAATATTTCACTCATGTACAAAAAATCCCCTATAAGCAGGTAATTTTCGACGAAAATTGCACGCTAAAATCGAAAATTACCCGGTGAAAACAATGACACATTTGTCACTTAGACGTAAATTATTTTTAATAGGTATTCCAAAAATAAGATTTAATAATCAAATTTAATTATTTTAGAGTAAAATTCAATAGAGACGCTCATTTAAAAAGGCCGCGCTTCGATCCATTTAAAACAAGTCCTACTCAATAGAAGGCGCCCCTTCTGTAGGACCATTTTTCAGTATATCAACCCTATATATTTTACGTGAGTCAGAGGCCCGATTCTGTAAACACTTCTCTTGTCTAGTGACTCATCAATCGTATACAAATAGCATAGGCTAGACAGGAAATTTCTTGCTACGGAGCTTACAGAATCCCACTGCAGATGCACAATTTAATTCTCTATCAAATTGTAGTATACCATTTTATATTCAAGTTTTCGTAGAAAAAGCATTTTCTTATAATTTAGACTTCATTTATCGCTATTAAAAATAATTAATGTTAATTACGATGTACTTAAACAGCCGTTAAACGGTAGTCTACTAAAATGCCGTTAATAGATATTGTGACGTCGTTCTTGTCGGCGGGAAGTAAAAGGAACTTTAGTTTTGGAGATATTCATTTAATCGGACATTTTTAAAAAAAAATAATTTTATTTTTCAGAAACTATTAGAGACAGAGTTTAACAAAAATGCTTTTTATAACTACTAGTGGGTAAATGAATTTGTAGATATATTACGAATTTTTTCGGAACTTTACTTTCGGAGATATACATTTAATCAGACCTTTTTAAAAAAATTAATTTTATTTTTCAGAAACTATTAGGGACAGAGTTTACCAAAAATGCACTACTAGTGGGTAAATGAATTTCTAGATATATTACAAATTTTTTTGGAACTTTAGTTTCGGAGATATTCATTTAATCGGACATTTTTAAAAAAAATAATTTTAATTTTCAGAAACTATTTGAGACAGAGTCTACCAAAAATGCTTTTTATAACTACTAGTGGGTAAGTGAATTTCTAGATGTATGACGAATTTTTTTGGAACTTTAGTTTCGGAGATATAAATTTAATCTAACCCACAGGCCTAACCTTAAGCTTTTTGCAAGAGCACCTGTGGGTCAGTGGCTGAGGCTATCGCTTCGTAAGCGAAAGGTCCGTGGTTCAAATCTCACGCCGACCAAGACTTTTTTATATTTTTTTTGCTTATAGCGTGATCTTATTGCATTGGTTTCACTCTTTTTGGTTGGATTGGTTTAGTTATTTGGCGGGTTGGTTAGCGTGGTTATTTGGAGGGTGTTAATTCATTGGTTAGTTGGTTATTTGGTGGGGTTGTTTGATTTTTACTAATTTATATTTGTTTTTTATATTTTTTGTCAGTGTCGAGGTTAGTTGCGTTGGTTAAGTTGGTTATTTGGAGGGGTGGATAGCGTTGGTTAGTCCTTATAAAATTCCTATATTTCATAAAGCCGTCAAGTGCGTCACATCAACGACGTCATACCTATTAACGGCATTTTAGTAAGCTACCGTTTAACGGCAGTTTAAGTACAGCCTATTAATTATTATTATTTCTTGTATTTATTCAAGAGGCACATGTATAAGTAACATTACAAACCTGTATTCCAAATGCATTTGATTCTGGAACACTTCCTGTAGTAGTCGGTGTGTTTCCTCTATCATTTTTAAATGTTCTTGAATCAATTTTAAGCAAAAGTTCTTGATTTGCATCTTTTTTAACTACAGCTTTAACTGTAGTCCCATCGACATCATTTTCAACTGGTTTAGACTGAATATCCTTATAAAATTGTAAACCTTCATGATATGTATGAGATGGTGTAGCTTGGTCTGTATTAAAAATACAAAATAAAAGGTAGAATAAAATGTTTTATTAAAGTAGCTATTTTATCGTCTACTGTTAATATTTAATATACAGGGTGGTCCAAACTGTATTCCGGAAACTTCGGCAGCATATTCTCCGCACATAAAAATAAGTAAAAAAGTTCGTATCAACTTATGTCCTAAAATGCTTCGTTTCGGAGATACAGGGTGTAGAAGTTTCATTTTTATTTCGATTTTTTCGAAAACGAACTCCGAAACGATAACAAATATCGATGTGCGGTTTTTAGCACCCTGGCGTTTTTGATAAAAATTGGGCTCCAGACACCGATATTAGTTTTCGTCTATCTCCTATAGAAGAAGGTGTTCCCCTTTAAAAATGTCCAATTTGGCCCACCCTGTATGTTGGCGCTGTGGTTTGTTTTGAAATACAAACAACGATATTTTAAAAATTATAATATTCTTTGCTAGGTACTCTTAAATAAAGAAATGTAGATACCTATCTAAGCAACGTATCACAAATCTATAGTTCAAATCAAATCTACTTTTCTACTTTTAAAAAACAATAATATAACATAATTTGTTTAATTTATATTTAGCATATCTAATATATTTTTTTTATAAAATATTAACTTACTAGTATTTTCTAACGTATTTATATAATCAGTTTGTTCCAGAGAAGTTAAAGATGGAGATTTACTGACACTATTCATCTTGGAAGTACAAAACTTTGGAGTACTAGAATTACTCTCAAGATTAATTAAATTTTGATCGTCTGGTTCGCTGCTTAGCGATGGCGACGATGGCGGAATGATAAAAATTGAAGGCGTTAGTGGTTTTTGAGGTTTATTTTGAGTCGTTAGGTCTGAATTTATATTTAACTTACTTTTTGCCCCACCTGAAAATATTGATTTTTTTAAAATTTGTACGTCCTTAAGTAATTTTAAAACTGGTAGTTTTTGCTGGTTATCCCTTCAAGGGCACTATACACCCTAAAGATACAGTGCTTTTATTTTTACTGTGAACACATAGGCGTTAATCATTTTAATATTTTTGTACATCACTGTAGCCAATGCTAAGTGCCATACATCCTTTGAATAAGAAGACTAAGGAAGGAGCATAATGCTATCCATGTATTCATGCATGGTTGGCGGAAAAAGCTCTCTAGGGTGGGGATCCTTGACAGTTCTGTTTGACGATTCATTTGACACATTTGAATTTGATTCGAAATTTTGTGGATTTGTCAGTCTTTACGGAGCTTATTTTATGTTATTTATTATTTATTCTACTACTGATAGTTGTATAAAGGTAGTAAATCTAGATGGAAATTGTGACAGAACTTCAATTAACAGTGGCATTATCGCGATTTATCGAAAAAGACTCTAAAATAGTTGGTTGTGTAGCGTGCGGTTGATCTCGGCAAAAATTGATTGAAATAATGGAACAACTTTTCGCTAGTAAGTGACTATACAGGGTTGTTCACCACATACGACACGGAGTATTGTAGCTAAACGATTAGATTTTTACAAATTGTAAGTTTTGGATTCGTTGAAGGATTATTAGAACTACAATTTAAAAATATTTTTACAAGATACAGAGTGTCCCAACTAAGTAAAAAATATTATAGTTGTATTTTTTTAAACGGAACTCCCTGTATATTATTCTATTTTTAGATTCTACGATTAAAATAAAGGTAAATTTGATTAAGGTTCATCATACTTAAACCTTACCGTTTTTGAAATATTTTCAATTTTATGAAATTGCAGTAAAAATTTTAAGGCTTCATTTCTCCAAGGGTATCAAAGTTGAAGATTGCTCTCTTTTCCAGTGGCTGGAATAGGCGTGGGCCCATAGTTAGATTTAGATTTTAGAATTTAGATTTAAGATTTTAGAGTTGAGATTTAACTTTATTTTGTTGCACGCAAGCTGCAGATTGCGTGTAACACCAATATATAATAAGTAATTCGTTTATTTTACTTTTTGAAAATTTCTTTAGTCCCTGAATAATTTATTTGTCCATCATGAGTTTTTGAGTATTGTTTCTGAGTGAGTTACGATATTTTATTTTTATTTATTTAAGTAGCAAATAAGACGTAGCTCCAGTATGAGCAGTGAACAATCTAACGATATTTTTATTTCAGCTTTTAAACAATGTCCTTTAAACGATTCTGATTATGTTTCTCCTTTTAGAGTGATGTAACAATGGTAACAATTAGCTGATAAGGTTTTGTCAATTGGTTTTGTATCAATCTAACATATACCGTATGATCGAGAAAAAACGGCGTCAGCGGTATTTTTATTTCAGCATTTAAAAAATGTCCTTTAAACGATTCTGGTTATGTTTCTCCTTTTAGTGTGTTGTAATAATGGTAACAATTGGCTGATAAGGTTTTGTCAATTGGTTTTGTATCAATTGTCTAGTATCAGCAGCAATCAATCTAACATATATTTTTATTTCAGCATTTAAAAATGCCACTTTAAAAGGTTCTGATTATTTATGTCCTTTTAGTGTGATTCAGAGGAGTGAGGACACTCATAAGTCAGGAATGGCCGAATGTTATCGACGCCTATGATCCTTATGATAGGCAGTCATTTTCACGCCGTGCCTGCACCCCGTGTCCGCTGATGTTTGCGAGTAGCGGAGTAGTAGGTTTTGGAAACAGTTGAATGTCAGAGATTATTGATTTCGGCCCAGGGAAGACATTGTTTGTCAAGCTAGTTAGGAATTACCTCTGGAATTACATTTTAAATATCAATTTCGGTTAAATACATTAATCTTCCGATTACACGTAGATAAAATAGTGTACAATACACGCGAGTTAACTCCATTACGATACTTGTGTGGTTGTACAACTCGTGCTATGCACTCGTGCAACTTTCACACGCGTATCTTAATGATGCTTTTAACTCACTTGTATCGTAACTATCTATTAAAACAAACAAATATTTTTGTATAACGGAATATTGTTGATTGCAGATTATATTCATTCAAATCCATCAGCATTGACAGTTAGTCCTTAAAATGAACCGCAGAATAGTATTGCACTATATTAAGCCTTATATTAAACAAAGTTAAAAATAAAAGCACGGTATAATATGTTTATTCTTTATGTCTCACCACGTGGCGAAGCCTCGCCTTTTATTAATCTAACAATTTCTTCTCCAGTAAAATCTGGTAAATTTAGTGGAGTAGTAGCCCTAGAATAATCCGGACTGTATGACGAAAATTTCTTTGCTTCTTCCATGGCTTTTTGCAGGTTCTGTTGTTTTTTTAAAGAATCTCTGGTATGGCACCTACCGATTTGCGATCTGTAAAAAATTGTTAAAAATAGTTTGGAATTAAATCAAAAAATATGTCAATGATTTCTACTATTATAATCACAAACAATATACCGGGTGCGCCCCAAAAGTGGCTCACCCCTTTAACTTTTTTATGTTTCCAGATAAAAAAACGAGATTTGGTATGTTAGTATATGACATAACGGCGGATTGATTGACGTATTCAATTGTTTTTGGTCACTTCCTGTTTCATCGGAAATGACTACAACTTTTCGTTATATTCGGCAATACTCGGATTTTTTTTACTTTATTCGATAGAAAATAACACTCTGAATAGAATGACATATCATATGTCAACTTTTGACATCTTCACATATGGTTTATTTGAAATTTTAACTTGCGGGTCGTAACGAAACATTGAATCGAAATACCAAGTGTGTGGTATCAAATTATTCGTAAAAAAATGCTTTTTCCAAATATGCTAATGAGCCACACTCCTTCCATTTGAAAAAATTGAGATATAATTAAAAATACGATTTGGGCATTTTTTAACAGGCCAGGACAAGACACTAAAAACATTAGACGATCAAATCTATTTTTCCAAGGCTCCTTGATTAAGAATTAATGTTTTTAACATAGCCATGGCACTCTAGATTGAAATTTAAAATACAATTTTTAATTAAGCGAGAATGTCAAAAGTTGACATATGATACGTAGTCATTCTATTCAGAATGTCATTTTCTATCAAATAAAGTAAAAAAATAACGAGGATACCATTTAAAAATCCAAAGTTGTAGTCATTTCCGGTGAAACAGGATGTGATCAAAAACAATTGAATACGTTAATCAATCCTAATTTAGGTCATATACTGTTTGACCAGCGGATCTGTAGCTACGGAAGGAATGCGAGAAAAAAAAATCGATATTGCCACGTTTATCTATAAAATTGCAAAATTGCCAGACATGAACTATAAATTTAATATATTTTTATTATATATAATGTGTTTAGCGTATATTCTGACGTATATTACTAAGGAATTTTAACGTAGTTCATATTGTTCGATATGTTTTATTTAATAACTTATTTCTTTCATTCTGTATAATCTGCCTATTATGAAAGTTGAAGATTTTCAACGATATCATTGGCAAACCGGCATCGCCGCGCATGGCCGCCTATTCATCGAACATGATTGGCGAGTACGTACAGGATTTGTTACCACGCGGTTGCCATGGCTTTTACGCCTTTCCTATTCGCTTGCTTTATCCCCAACTTCACGGTCTCTTCTGAAAAGAGTAGGAATATTGAATACTATTGAAATATCCAGTGGCGGTGTCATTTTTTTGATCATTATTACTTTATTTCATTATTTTATACCGGTTATCCTAAACTTTATTCCTATATTTTTAGTATATTTGATAGTTAAGTTGTGTTTTATTGTTTTGTTATCTTGTTATAATGTTTTTCGTTCGTAGTTTTTAATTATTAATATCAAGTTTGATCGTATATTTGTGTTTTAAAACGAATAAATTTGTTAAGGGTAAGACGCTACATAGTCAGACAAGAGAAATAATAGCTAATTTATATAGGTAAGTTAATAATAACGTGGATGAAATCTCATTTGGTGTATTTCCTTGTGTTCATAATAGGGTTTGCGATGAAGAAGCTACAGAGAGTTCGCTTGAGTTGCCGCTTAAACGTAAACTTGAGCGGATATTTCTTTATACCGGAGTTAGCGTATCGGCTATAAAAAAATTCACACAGAAGATAAAAAAAAGGCTGAAAACTAACCCCGATAAAATGATATCCTCTCTGGAAAGAAACGACCACGTGAGACTGCTGTCGAAAAGCTCAACGACTTTTTCGAAGTGGTCAGGAATTTGATAAATAGATTTTATCTCGAATTCAAACTCGTCCCCACAATTAGAAAGCTTTTGCAAAAATTGCAGGAAGAATCGAATTTTCCTTTTGCAGGGAAACGCTTAGGGGGTTATTAAAATCAAATGAATTTTTTTGGCGTAAATGTTAAAATAACAGATAAATATTAATGGAGCGGCCCATTATATTGCAGAGAGAGATATAAATATATATACGCGAAATTCGAAAATATAGCCAAGTATTATCTATTTGGATGTAACATATGGGTAGACAATGACCTAACCTTTAAAAACTGCTGGCGGAGCGATACCATATCTGGTGTAATAGGCAATATCAGATCTACTGATGAGTAAAATTATGTTTTGTTTGCGCTTCCAAAGTTAACTATTTTCAAGATTTTTTTTTGCTGGAAATAGTTATATCTAAAATTATGTATTATAGAAAAAAATATAGTTAGTACAGATATATAAATAAATATACCTCAAGACTCAGTCTTGATCATCTGCTGATGGCAGACATGGTTAGCGAAACGTGCGTCCAGTGTAAAATTAAAAGTGTTTTGGTGTATTGTACTGATTTAGTGTTTTATTTTGCTGTGTAACACCAAAGGTTCCAACCCCCAGCTGTAATTATTTCTTCTATTATATTAACAACACAATAATAAAATGATTCAAAATATTTAAGGGAGCTTTAATAAAAAGCTTTTAGTGTTTATCTGCTAACTCAACAGTAACGATTCAAACAGCATAAAGTTTTTTGAAAAAAATTATTAATCTGAGTATTATATTTATGATACACATTATTTTCATATAACACCGTACGCCCATGCCTATTTTATGAATGAAATTGGGCGTGTTTTGTTTACAACTGCGTTCCCCTGCCGATACCCCGTAGCTACAGATCCGTTGGTCACACTATACTAACATACCAAATCTCGTTTTTTTATCTGAAAAAATAAAAAAGTTATAGGGGTGAGCCACTTTTGAGACGCACCCGGTATAAATTAGTTTGTGCTATAACTAAAGAATACAAAATTACAATAAAATCTCTAGATATAATATTATTTGAACTACTTTTCTTACGCTATACATGCTCCTCTTACAACTTGATGCCATTTGTTTAAATTTGGACCTCTAATGGCCATACGAGCTATTCTCCTAAACCTTAAACACATAAATAAAAAAACGTAGAAAAATATATTAATTTAATTAATTAGTAGCGTCTGGTGTCTGATGTAAAATATTTAATTATTCATAGAAAATCTTACCTAGCTAAAGAAGTTTCATCTTCCGGTGGCAAACTAAATATTTCTTCTGATTCTTCTATCGATACCGGTTCCACCTTAAAGTCTTTCATTAGTCTTCTCTCCCAAACTTTCATTTTTTTTCCCAATACAGCTACAAAAATATTAAATGAGGCATTCACACACATGGCCAAAATTATTGCATACATCGTTTAAAAATATACGGAGAGGAATTTAAAGAATCTTTTTTTATACATAGCTTTGATAATTTGTAATAAACATTTTTTTGTTAAAATGGATGTGGTAAACAATGTTTATCGTTCAGACCCAATATTATTTATTACAAATTCTTCTCTTGGGTTTCAGAAGAAATTTGACGATTGTTTTGGCCTTAAAATGCCTAGAAACCAGTAGCGTGTCGTGGATAAAAGGGCTGAGGGGGCGAAGACCTTAAGGGGCGCAATGATCAATAAAGGATCAAATAAATTACAAACTCTTTTTAAATAATAAGACTACATGAAAACTTTTATTTTTTTTAATTATAAATTTGTTTATTAAAAAAGTTAGTATACAAAACAGTTATTTCAGAGATGCAAGCGTCTTGTTTTAACCGATTTAAAAGAATCAATTATTTCGTCTATATTTAGATCCAGGGCTGTGTCTGCTTCAATACTGAGAAGTGATAAATAATCCTCTGGTAATTATTAATTCTTCCTAATCTACTGAAAGATCCTTCTGCACCAGCACTGTTGGTGGCATAGTGTAAAAAATCTTCAGTAATGCACATCTTTATGTAGAGAGGATATGACTCTAGGACATTGGAAATTAAAAATGATAAATATTCGTCAGGTGCAAATTTGTTGTCATTGCATTAATTTCTTCTAATAAACTGCAAAAATGTTTATATTCATCAACTAAAGAATAATCCATAACAATCCATAAGACATTTTAAATTGTCATCATTGGCGTACATATCCATCCATATTGGTCCATATCCAATAAACAATTAAATTTTTGGCACATATTAAGGAAGTCTTCAAAATGATTCTCTAGAGTACCAGTTGAAATGTCTAAAGTACCATAAAACACTGATATCTTCAAATTATCTTCAGAATTTTGATGTAGGTAATCATTCTGGATTTCATCATGAATTTTTTTTATTCTTTGTCTTTTTTTGGAAAATGATGTTGACGTATTGCATTTATTTGCCAAAATAGTAGCCTGTTTTTAAAAATTTTCACAATATTTTTCACTTCTTAATGATTTGAGGTCTATAGTTACTGCAGTACTCATATGAGCAGCTGTACATAAGTTGATATTAACCTTTTGCAAGTGCGATTGGACAATATATTAATTTAATTCAGCACTTCATTATAATCGATTATATTTTGGTCGGTGATTCCCCGAATTTATTTCTATCGCGACTGCTTTCCTCTTCTTCTTTGGCGGCGCCGCGCCGGTGCAACGTTATGTCTAGCCATTGTATTTTTATTTATAGACAATGGTCTAGCGGTAGCGTAGTTTCAAGTTTCAAACCCATATGGAAACTTTCGTACGTAGTATATACGCCTACTTCATTAGAGATTTAAATTATTAAATATAAGAACGTTTGCTTATATTTAAGTTAAGTTAAAAAACAAAAATAAAATGTGAGAAATATATACGTCATTTTTTTATCTTGAAGAGCTCAGGGCACGGAAGGGCGCCGTTTGTTTTAGCGTTAAATTTAGTTTTTCTATTTTTTTCAAAGGGGCGCCAAGCGCATAGGGGCGGAGAGGGCGTTCGCCCCCCCTGGCCCCCTATACGACACGCCACTGCTAGAAACATTATGTCACAGTTTAATAGATTCAGAATAGTAACACTGTCTCAACAGGGCTACCGGCAAGTTGCAATAGCTGAAATTGTGGAGTTAACCAAAGCGATGTTTCGCGAATATTAAAAAAAATCAGGGAGACAAACGAGGTTACAGACCGGCCTGGAAGAGTTAGAAAGAGAGTTACTACTGCTGTGCAAGACCATCAAATATCCATAATTGCACAGTTTGAGGGATAGTGGGGGATCAATTTGTTTACATGGACGATAAAGCTCCTCCCCATCGCACTTTAGCGGTTCGCAAATTTTGTAAGGAACAGGGTATAAGAAAACTGTGGTGGCCACCGATGTCTCCAGATATGAATATGATCGAGCATGCTTGGGACATGCTAAAACGTCATATTGCCAAAAGAAATGATCCCCCTCTTACCTTAAATGAATTGAAAATTGCTGTTCGTGAAACATGGAAAGCCATTCCTCAACATCTTCTGGACAACTTAATTGAGAGCATGCCACGTCGTCTCACAGCTTGCATTGAGGCTCGAGGACTATTAGTTGTGAGAAATAATTAAAATTGTTTTCAATATTTTCTGTTTAAAATGAAATTTGTTTTTTAATTTTATATTAGTTAGTCCTGTACTAAGCCAATGTGTCCAAAAATATAAAAAGAATCATATTAGGTCCAAAACAAAAAAATGTATCGTTATATGCAATAATTTTGGCCATGTGTGTATATGGCATGTATCCTGGTGTGTATCAACTTATTGTTACCTACTTAAATTTTTAAATCGAATTTCTTTGGTTTGCTCTTTTTATTAGGTTTACCTTTTTCTTTATGTTCAGCTGACGAGATGTCCATGCCATTTTTATTTAATATCTCTAGCAACTCGTATCTAAATGAAGAGATATCACTTTTGATTTCATTCACATCGTCTTCAGTTACATCACTTTCTTCATACTTCCTATGCATAGCTGATATGTATCTCCATACCAAAGCTCTCATCACCGCGGTGTATCTATAGTCTCTTTCTTTTTCTTCACGATTTCGACTCTACAAAGATACTTCTGAATATACAGGGTGCTTTCCAACTTTCTGTTGAACTGTTGCCCCTTACCTTTGTAGACATCCTCCTTATTTTATCTTTTTTTCGCCAACCGAAAAATTTTAGAATGTTTTTTGGCTTAGGAAATATGTTAAAAGGTGGAGGCAATGTTCCGTACTCCTCGAAATAGCTCATCCATAACTTTGTCCTTGCAAATTTCCATTCGATATCCGAATGTTCCTATTTCAAAAATATATTTTATCTTGAATAATTAACTGTCTTAATTTAAGGTAATACTGTTGATTGAAAGAATTGGGAAGATGCGCAGCCTAATGGGCAAATTCGTGACAAGACTGATTTGTTTTCACTTTAGGTCTCAAGTGCCGTACGGTGCATGGTGACACCCGTCATAAAACCATATATTTATAAAGTAACCATATTGACTCCAAATTGCATTCTGTGAAGCCAAGCCGGTAAAATGGGTATATAAATCTTCCGCTAGTATATAGACTATACGCAGCGGATACTATACATCCGCTGCGCTGAAACTGTTGTTAAAGAATACTGTAGAGAAGAAGTTCTAGAGACATTGTGTCCGGCAACCACTCACTTTGTCGACTGAAAGCTACTGTACTGAAAGCTACTGATCTACGGTACAGTATTCTTGTAACTGTCGGTTACAGCGCAGCGGATAAATTAGCGCGCAGCGGCGCAGAGCTAAACTAAATCTCGGAATTCTCGGACAGGCTAACGGTAACGCCAGCTATATCTTGGACTGGGTTAGTGCCACGAAAACGCCCCACGGTGGAGTATTAGCATGAAAAAGGTGATCGAAAACAAATGTGTTTAAGATTTCCCCAAAAAAGGTAAACGATAAGTTAAATCATGTCTGCCATGAATGGCGTTGCTATGGGTGTGTTTAGTTGCATTAATTTGTTTCAACGAAACGTCATAGTTGTTACCATGTTGTTACTTCTCACAGATAAAGGCTGATTCATGGTACACCGGGCCGTACCCGAGCCGGGCACTTTCCGTGCAGTAGACACCGGGCCACGTCCGGGCCTTCAATATATGCTACACCGAGTGGACAACGGGGATCATGTCCGTGCCGATTATATTCTAGAAAACAGTGTTGCCGCAGTAGTATATTTGTACCAAATTTGATACTTTTAATTCTATTTGGTACAGTGGTACTACATTTTCAAATCCAGGATGATTTGGTACAATAATTATTTCCCACGCGCACCGAAAATGAATAGATATTTAATAATTATTGTCGTTGATATTGCATTAAACGCGCTTACCGATACCATTCGGAGACAATCCGCATTAATTAACGACGTATTATAAACGTTGTAATGTCTATAGCGTTGCCTATATTAAATAACCCGAAGAAAAAACTTGAAAATTTACTGTTTCTAACATGCTTCTATATTTGCGTTTTTTTAAATAAAATTTAAGTTTTCCAAGTATTGTGTGCAGTATTAGAATTACTTAGATTTCTTCAACCTATACATACTTATAATTGGGTTTTCTGAATTTCTATTTCATGTTTTTCGTCTCGATTTGTGTCTTCTCCAGGAAGTTTTTTTATGTAGAAATTTATGAAGAAATTCACAGCGACCAAACCGGTTAAAGTCATTTGCAGATGTATTTTGTTGTGCTTTAAAAAATTGTACCAAAGTGGTACATTTTTAGTTTATAATGTGGTACGCGCTAAAAGTTGGGTGCGGCAACACTGCTAGAAAACAGTCGCTATAGGCCCGTAGACGAACGAAGTATTTAGCCCGGGTGACTCATTTATGTTTGCCGCAACGGGGCCGGACCGTAGCGGATCCGAGGAAAAATGTACACCGACATTTCTCGGACGGGGCACGGACGGGTTCCGGCGAAGCTCGGCCCGTGCTCGGCTTAGCATGAATGCATAGGTATAAATAACATTTGACACTGTTTGGCCGTGCCTTCACCGTCGCACGGCCCCGGCCCGTCACGGTGTACCATGAATCAGCCTTAAGAGGTAAATTGCTAAATTTTATGTTTAAAATTATAAATTGTTATTGTTCTTGTGCTCCTTTTACGTTTATATTATTGTTTTGATTGAAAATGGCTCAGCAAGCTGCAGGTATGTATTCTACAAAAACATATTATTTATTTTGATATTCTCTATACTAACGATTTTTTTTGCAACTAAAAATTAGGCGTTCAGAAAATTTAATTAAATTTGTGACATTTTTATTATACTTAGAGATTTAGTTGCGCATTTCGAAGAATTCAGCATATTGTCTATATACGTTTTACTTAGTAAACATTGAGCTTTCGGCTTTCATACAGTAAAATAAAATACTGCTACTTTTTGCGACTTTGTTGATAAAATGAGAAAAACCTTCTTGGTTTGTTTAATAATAATTTAATTTGCAAATCAGTGATATACTAATGCGAGGTGTAAACCGCGATGTCATTGTTGTGTACAAAGCGATCGCATTAGTGCCATTAGCAGTATAGCACAATTTGGCATTAGTAGCGGCTTTAGTGGTATGGGCATTGGTCGCGGATCAGTCGTAGCATTAGTAGTATTAGTTGCGATATTACTACTGGCATTAGTGACATTGACCGTGGAAACACTGGAACAGTGATTTTTCTTTCTTTTTTTTTAGAATCCACGAATTACCCTGTATTTTGTTCATATTATTTCCTCTTTAATTGAAAATAGCAATAATTTATATAAGGTATACATAAAAAATTTTCGATCAACTATCGGTGTCAAATACCCCACTCACTGTGGCGCCCGTAAGATTGCGCATCTTCTTATTTCTTCAATCAACAGTAATACTTACTTCAATCATTGCAAATGAATTTGACATCATCGCAATCAAGAGATTTAGCAATACTATAACGTTAATAACGGAGTAAGATCCGAACATTAACAAGCCCCAAAACCGAGTGTAAGTCTTGATACCCGTCAGTTCAAAGCTAGATAACTCGACCATGCCAAAACTTGCCCAAAATAGAGATTGGGACGATTCAAATACGCTACAAAAAGTACATTTTACAACCCTGGTTTTATATACCATACAATCGAAAAAATGGCGTCAAAGATGGCTCAAAGATGACCTCGCCAAAATTATCAACGATTGTCATTCGTTCCAGCCGTATTTGACCGTTTTTTTTTTCGATCATACGGTTTAATTGTTTAATTTTAATCAGCATTTAATAATGCTTGGTAATTTACAGGGGTTTGTTTTGAAATGAAATTCTGTGAGCATAAGTAGGTTAATTCAGAGCACTTTTTAAAAATATAGAGAGTTTTACAGGGTGTTCCCAAAAAAAGTTACATATCAAAGTTGTGTTTTTTGTGTAAAAAAAACACAACTAACTAAAATGTAAGATTTTTGACATATTCAACATTTTCAAGAAATAAGGAACAATTTTTAAATTACAATAAAAGCTACCTAAATTGGAATTTACCCGGTATAACATAATATGAAGTTAAATTAACTATTGTACTTTAAATCAAATTAAAACTTGATATAAAAAGTTATACGGGGTGGGTCAAAATTAATATTGAACATTGATCACCTTTAAAAGTATGCTACTCTTCTATATTAAATGGAACACCTAGTATATAATTCCGATATTCAATGGAGAATTCATGTCTCTTCTTCAAAATACTATTAAGGTTGCCTACCCCTCAAACAAAGATTTTAAACTTGCTTTAAGCCAAGTAACTTGCTTTTTTTTAAGTGATTAATGTTCCATATTAATTTTGTCTCGCCCTGTATAATTTTTCGGGTCAAATTTCAATTTGGTTTAACATACAATGGTTACTGTAATTAAATATCAGGCTATACAAGGTCAACTAAAATTTAGGTAGCAGTTATCGAAATTTAAAATTTACTCTTCATTTTCACAAAATGTAAAATATGTCAAATTCCTTAGATTTTAGGTATATGCTTCTTTAATAAAACTCTCTTTTATTTTTTTCCTAGAATCCGAAAATCAATTAATATATAGGGTGTTCCATTAGAAAAAAACATAACTTTGATGTGTAACTTTTTTTGGGGACACCCTGTATAATTCTATATATTTTTAATGAAATGATTTCAGTTAACCTACATACGCTTCCAAAATTTAATTTTAATATAAACTACCTTTCTCCTTGGAGCTTCCGCTATATTTTACTTTAGCAAAAATTGACTTCAAAGAGATTCTTAATGGTTTAAGTAATGTTATAATCGTAGCAAATATAAGTGTGTCAATTTGTTCTAAACAATAGTTACCACCTGATATATAAATTATAAGAATTATTACTTTGCGAAACGTCTCCATTTAACACAAGAATCTGTGGCATTATCAAAATCAGGTTTGTCATTTTCTAAATGATAACATTTCTGTCTCTCCAAATCAGAAAAGTACCATAGTAATTGGTTTAAACCTAAAATGAGACAAATTGAAGATTATCTACCGACTGGCATAATTTTACCTTTAGTTAAAAATATATACATACCACAAGCAAATGCAAACAGCACCAATGTATAAATGAAGAAGAACTTTACGATATCAATTACCATGCGACCTAAAGAAATTTGTAGAGGGCCCAGATGAGGATCTATTGAAAACATGTGGACCAATTTTAAGGCACTGAAATTTTAAATACATAGGATTGAGTTTTGAATCACAGGGTGTTTAATTACTTAATTTTAAAATTATGTTGGTCCTTGATGCTGTTTGGCCGATTCGGTGTTACTGAAAACATTTTTCGTTGATTTCGTTAAATAAAAAATGCCTTCCAAATTACAACAAGCTGTTAAGCCAGGTGGCCCAAAATATCAAGCCAATATCTTGGTTGTTTATTGAGCGATCTTTTTCATTTTTGGCAGGAGGCTGTATGGCTATAAGACGTACATTTTGTCCAGGGTAAGAAATGCGATACCTCATAGACGTACGTTTTAATGGGGTTTGATATTTTTCGAGTCAAGAGTAAACTACCCTTAGGACAGTATTTATTTCAAATCTGATAAATTATATTGAATCTTCCTTACCCAAGATGCTTAAGTTCTAATTTTGATAAATATTGATACAGGGTGTGTTATTAAAATAAGACATTTTTATTTTTATTATTATTTTTTAAGTACTTACGACGCCACTGGATAAACAACTGGTTTATTATCAATAACCAATTATCAATTAATAATCGATTTAAGTTTTCAGATAGCTTCCATAATAATTAAGATACGATACAAAAAAACTAAATATTTTCTATTTATTTTGTTTACTTTAAAAAATTGTTTTTTTAAGTTTACTACAAATGAATAAAATGAATTACAAAATAATATAAAAACCCAGTTTTCAATGGAATCTGAAATATGATTTTTATTCGTTTTATTGAGGAATATTTAAAAAAATCCACATAGTTATTTAAAACAATCACTATTAACTTCGAAAAATATGCTCTAAACAAAGATTTATAAAACTATAACGAACTAAAAATCAACATCTTCGATCAAACTTAAATCGATTATTAATTGATAATTGGATATAATTGGTTATTGATAATAAACCAGTTGTTTATCCAGTGGCGTGGTAAGTACTTAAAAAAATAATAATAAAAATAAAAATGTCTTATTTTAATGACACACCCTGTATCAATATTTATAAAAATTAGAACTTAAGTATCTTAGGTAAGGCGGATGCAATATAATTGATCAGATTTGAAATAAATACTGTCCTAAGGGTAGTTTACTCCCGACTCGAAAAATATCAAACCCCATTAAAACGCACGTCTATGAGCTATCATTTCTTACCCTGGACAAAATGTATGTCTTATAGCCTCTTACAGCCTCCTGCCAGAAATGAAAAAGATCGCTCAACAAACAACCAAGATATTGGCTTGTATCCATCTTAAGTGGGACACCCTGTATAACTGGAACAATGTGATTTTTTTTTAAATGACTGCATATGCAGGTTGTTCCTTTTCAAAAATCATCCCGATCCACTCACACTTTTTTAAGCCACCCTGTAGAAGTTAAAATATTTTCCTGAAATACATCCTAGTCCTAGTACATACTTTAGGTTTCCACGTAAACAAAATTTCCAAGTTTTTTATTCTAGGAGCTACAGATGCCGGACGCACTATTGCGACCCCTTGTATACTACCTACATTCTACACATACTTTAAATATCTAGAATTATTGTTTTAAATAATTACCTGAATATATTAGCAGCTGCAAACAAGCCTTCGGCTACAAGTTGTGGATCAAACGCGTCCCAATCTTCTCTTCGAAGAAATTCTTTAGCAGAATCTATCTCAATTTCCTTTATTTGTTGTATATAAGCTATAGCCCTTAGTACAAAAGTGAGTGTGTAAAATAAATTTCTAGTAAAATCGATAAAGTTCCACAAATTTCTTAAATAACTTCTAATGCCTTCTGTGAAAATTTCTTGGGTTTCCTCAAGAATAAATCCTAAAAAAACATTTTCATTATAATTTTGTGTTTGTTTTTATATTAAGGTGAATATTTTTACCAAATACATAAACTAGTACAATTAGCTCTATGATGGTTGGTGGATTTCCTCTTTGCTTTTCGTATTTATGTTCTATAAAATAATCTTCAACTCGGAGTGTAACCATGATGAGGAGCACTACAAAATGAAGTTAATATTGTAAATAAAAATTAAATGCCCCGTTTGTTGATAGCGTTTCTTTTCAAACTGACTTGGGAAATTTGTCTATTTTTTTTTCGCAGAGTTTTGCAGAAAATTGAAAAATTTACGATGTACAGAAACTGACTAGAAACTACACAGAAAATGTATTTTTTTATAAAATTTTCCTACGAATTCAGACAAGGTGTCCCATTTTCGAGTGTTCTCCAGTGTTTCTCGTTCATGAGTAGAGATACAAAGATCCGGTTTTCACATCACTATGCTACTTTTTTTATGAAACTAAAGATGCTACACAGATAATATACTTATATATATATTATATATTTATCTTGCTGACATGCAACCCCAAACCATAATCCCCTTAGGAAATTTAACAACCCTCTTTAAGCAATCTTTATGAAAGGCTTCTGCTTTATTTCGTATTATTCGTTTTCGATGATCTCCAACGCAAACATCAAATTTAGACTCATCGCTAAATATGACCTTTTTCAAATCATTTTGTGTCCACGATAATTTAGATTTTTCCCAAGTGTAGCGATTTTTCTTTTGAATTTCTGTCAGTAGCGGTTTTTCTTTGGCCTAAATATGAATTTATATCAATAATCTTCAGGTAATTGATTATCCACACAAAATAAAGTTTACCTTGTAAAACCCCAGACCGCATTTGTGGATATATTTTCGGCAACATTCTCTTGATATATTTAAACCAGTTACAGTATTCCATTTAACTGTTACTTGGCGAAGAGTACTTCTTCTGGCAGACTTGCAAATTTTTACTTAATTTCGTAAATCTCTCTGAGATACAACTTTTGGCCTTCCCGAACTTTTACCTCTAACGTCTACGTTGGCAGATTCGCCGTATTGTTTTATTATATTAAAGACCGTGGTTTTTGGAATACTTCAGAAATCATCAGAAATTTTTCGAATTGTTTTTCCCGTACTCTATTGACAAATGATAATTTCGTGTAGTTTTTGATATGTAGCTTTTCCACGGACCATTACTTTGGATTAAATTAACAAAATTGAAAATTAAAAAAAATAAAATTTCTTACAGTAAATCTCACTACTCTAAGTATCGAGTCACTTACAAGCTGTCAATGCTGAAGTAAACAGTTTGCGACATTTGTGACGTTTTAGCAAAGCGGCCTATGATGATATTAATTATTTAAAAATACTTGTCGCAACATTTAGTTGTCAGCAAATTTGTCCTTTTATGAACAAAATCCGCTTCTGTAAATATGGATTGATTTACAAATTCATAAAAATATTGTCAAGTTGTTTAGGACATATGGCTATGTTTATATTTAAAAAATTAAACATATATTTTTCAGTCATTTTGAAAAACCAAGGCAATAATTCCATAATATGACCTTGTCCCAACATATAGTTGTTAGGGCTCGTAGACAATATTAAAAAGTGTTCAGAAAAAATGCAAAAAATCTAGACACTTACGCAGGAAAAATAAATATGATGCGGCATGAATAAGAAACTTCATGAACGGTTTTCTCATCAATTTTCCTGTTTTACTTTCAGGCGCTATGGTGTACAATAAACAATAGAACGGAAACAAAACAACCACTTTTAAAATGTTGAAAATTTTTTTCGTATTCGATTTTCTTCTGAATCCTGGTACTCCTTCGTACCATAAAGCAGCTAACAGTTGCTGAATATTTGGATGAGCCACAAACTAGAAAATCAAATATTTTATTACCTATATTTCTCTACCAGTTTAAAAACACTAATTCAGCAAAAGAATATACAGGGTGCTACACATTCGAGGTACGAGCATTGGTATCTCGGTAACCGTAATAGATACGAACATGGTTAAATTGGAGTAAAGTTGCGCTTTAAAGGATGTTCACAAAGATGCTATCAAATTTTTTTTAAAAATTCCAAGGATTGCTGAGTTTTTTGGAAAAAACGGATTTTTTTGAAAATGAATTTTATTTTTTCCTGTCGTTACCTTTAAGAAAATCAAAAAACTAATTACACATTCTCATAGCCACTTTATTAGGGCTATCTGTATTTTTAGATTTTCAAATTAGCTGATAATTTGTGAGATAGAGAGGCCAACTTATTTTTTTTTAAATGCGGACCTGTACTTTTTATTTCAGTTTTTGAAAGAACTCGGTCTCCTGAGTACAATGATATGCCACACTTTATACTTTTTTTTGTTTTGGGTATCTTAGCAACAACAAAACTATTCAATTATTATTTAAAATAATTGTAAGTCCGACTCTGGTTTTTTAAATTATTTAATCTGATTATATTAATCGCAACAATATCGATCAACGCTAATTAACATTGAATAAGGAAAGTCGAATCCCTAACCAATTGAAAGATTCAAATAAATTGTATCCAGGTCAGCAATTTAAAGATATTATTTTTAACTTTTTTTATTGTGAATTTGAAATCTCAGTGTGCGATCTAATAATATGCGTAATATTAATCGTAGTTATTATAAATAAATCAACTTCTACAAACTAGTTTCTAATGCTTTACATGTTCAAAAAAGTTACCACCCTCCCTGTTGCACAAATTTATTTTTTGTTCAATTTTATTTATACCTTTTTGAACTTTCTTCTTATACTTCCGAATGTATTTTGTACTCTTTATTGTAAATGTTGAGATGTATTGATTTCACTTTTACAAATTACGTGGAGTAATGTATTCTTTTGTATATTATTTTTTATTATTTTATTGCATTTGATTTTCCATATTCAATGTTTTACCCCACGTCATTCTTAACTTTGAAAGCTTATCAATATTGTAACGATGAATAGATTAAATATTTAAAAAAAAAAACAGAGCCGGACTTGAAATTAGTTTAAATAAATTGTGTTTAAATGTCCGAAACAAAAAAAAATTAAATGGGACATATCATTATACTCAGGAGACTATCTTTGTCTTTCAAAATCTGAAATAAAAAATGCAGGTCCGTATTTAAAAAAATTAAGTTGGGTTCTGTATCTCACAAATTATCAGCTAATTTGAAAATCTAAAAATACTATCAGATAACCCTTATAAAGTGGCTATGAGAAAGTGCAATTAGTTTTTTGATTTTCTTAAAAGTAACGACAGGAAAAAATAAAATTGATCTTCAAAAAAAATCGTTTTTTCCAACAAACTCAGCAATCCTTGAAATTTTTAAAACTTTTTTGATGGCATCTTGGTGAATATCCTAAAGGCGCAATTTTGCCCGAATTTAGCCATGTTCGTATCTATTACGGTTACCGAGATACCAATGCTCGTACCTCGAATGTGTAGCACCCTGTATATTCTTTTGCTGAATTAGTGTTTTTAAACTGTTCTGTCTTTTTTTTTGGATGCCATCTGTCAAAATTACTCATTTTTTGCTGAACAAACTGATACATAGTCTAAAATTGTAATGTTTCTGTATGCGAAAACCACTACATTGGTTATACCATACCTTCTTTTGTTTATATTGAATAGCCAGTTCCAGTCTGGCCAATTTCATGTGATCTCCTGGCTGATAAGGTGGACTGTCTGGATCATGGTTTAAAACGATGGCCAATTCTTGAGAGTTTCGGGATTGATGGAGCAAATCAACAGCAAATTGCTGACACTGACTCCTCAAAGCCATATATTCAGATTTGCTTTCCTGAAATATTTGAATTTAATAGTACAAAGCAACTGATTGTTTAATCAAAAAACTTTAGATTATTGCTTTGGATACGAATTTATAAATGGATCAAAATCCGTTTTTAATTCGGTGGTTTAGCATATTTTTATTGTTGTGAATGATGAACCTTTAGAGAATTTTTTGTTATTGGTGCCACTGATATTTTTTTATTAGCAAGAAAAATTCATCAAACATATCCCAGATATAAGGGCACCTCAACTCTCAAAAAAGAAATTGAAACGAAGACTTTATAGTATAGGCAATGTGGATTATACTAAAATAATGTTATACAGGGTGTTTCAAAAAACATGTGCCATCTCTCGTTAAAAGTCTTAATAATCTTTCGATTTATTATAATTTTCTTCCAAGTATTTTTAGTGATTCGAATGAAATTTTGAGGGTAAAAATTACTATAAGTGTCTATATTTTAATGCAAAATAAATTCATCAGGGACGTGCATATGGGATATTACTGGAGTATTTTTCAAAAAAAAACATGTGCGCCACTGATTTTTTTCCTTTGATAAAATTGTGTAGGCCGTTTAATGCCAATTAAAAGTTATCTCTTGATATTTTTTCGAATTCGGCCTCCTTGATGAGATAAACGTAATTTTATTAATCACAATTAATAAAATTAAAATTAAAATAAAATTAATAAATTATATATTTTACCTAATTTATTATTAAATATTATTACTATTAGTTCAACCTACAGCAATTTGAAATAAAAAAAATAAAGATATTTAAGATAATTAAAAAAAATCTTATTTTGAAAAGTTTTAACATCCTGTAACTTTGAAACTATGCATTTCCATACCCGTGTTAATAGGAACTATTTTTCATATTTTTATGAGGAATCAATAGGTACTTATTTAAAACTTTGGCAAAGTAATGATATATTTTTAAAGCTTATTAGACGTGGATAGAAGCAAATTAATAAAATTGCCTTTTTCTCATCAAGGAGGCCGAAATCGACAAAATATTAAGAGACAACTTTTAATCGGTATTAAACTGCTTACACTACGTCGCTGACAAGAGAAAAAAAGGCCAGTGGCGTACATGCTTTTTTTAGAAAAATATTCCAGTGATAACCCATATGCACGTCCCTGGTGATTATGTTGACACTTTTTAGCTTTAAAATTTGTCGCATTTATAGTAACTTTTACCCTCAAAATTTCATTCAAAACGCTAAAAGAAAATTATAATAAATCGAAAAAATATTAAGACTTTTTTAACACCACTAAAAAAAAAATTCGAACCTATATTGATATGAAATATAAATCTTATTTTTACGTGACAAATCTTCCCACGAGAGATGGCACATGTTTTTTGAAGCACCCTGTATATTGTATAAAAGTAGAGAGTAAGCTAAAACTTGAACAACAAAATCTAATAAGATTTTTTTGAAACAGAATGAGTTACATGTTATAAAAGAAAGTTTCTTACAGGTTCAGCAAAAGCTAAATTTCTTAACTCCCATGATAGCTGGAAAGCTGTTAAAAGAGGATCGCTGGAAGATAGTGCTATCAGTGATGGGCTTGCTAATGCTTTGTATTCGTTTAGTCTTGAGAGCGAATGACGTAAGGAGTCTTCCTCTGATTGGCTTATACACTCTTCACATCCGCATCTAAAAAAAAAGATCGATCAAAAAGTTTAAAATTTTTAATGGAGTTTATTTTATAAAATCAGTTAAATTGAAGAAGATAATTGTCTACAAAAATATCAAGCTGTTGCTGTTTTACAGTTTTTTCAAAATAGAGATCATTAGTGAGGGAAATTTGATATATGATGTTAACGTTATATGACGTTAAAAATTAAATATTACTTTATATCATGTGGCATAGGTATTGTTGCTCCTCTATCCAGTAGAATTTTCAAAATTTCATAATTATTACGATGAGCTGCTAGTATTAAAGGAGTAATATCTGGAGTAAATATAGCCGTGTTCATATCAACCTTTTGCCAAATCTAAAAGACATTGCTTAAATTAGTAAAATATGATTAAGGTAGAAAATATAGACATAACAAGCATAGGGTACATACAGGGTGAGTTTTCTACGATGTTCTCTATGGGTATCTTCGAAACTATTGGAGATAGAGACTCGGTTATATGGGGAAAGAATTGCAGTTTTGTGGGGTCATAAATATGCGCCTTTCAGATGTTTGAAACAATTAATGGCTTACTAGATATTTCGAAAAAAACAAATTTTGGCTATTTTAAAAATGGTCTCTAAATCCATTATAATCTATTTTAGACAAAACGTTTTCAGATAAAAGTTGTAGATAATCACATCCTTAATGAGACTGTGTTCTCCGTTTCTCTCTATAGCCTGTCATTTTTGACATATGACACAAACTTATTTTTTTTAAATGGAAACCATAGTTGGCCATGACTTCATAAAAAGCCCCATTTTTTAAGCTTTTCAGCAATATAAGCTATAATATGTTTCTTTCGAAAAATTACTGAGTTATAGAAAATTCTTCTCATTTTTAAACAATTTCACTTAGTTAGCCATGGAAACAAGTTCAATCGCCGTTGCTCTGAGAAGTGTGAAGCTGTCACATCCAAATTTTGTAAATTAAAATAAACAAAAATTGTAAATATGAATTTTTCAAATGAAGAAAAGCGTGTAGATACTCGCGCATCAATAGAGTGGTTTCAACATGACTTTCATTACGATACACCACCCCCCACCCCCCATAAGAAAGAAATGTTAAAAATTATTTATATCATTATTATACAAACGCAGGGATAGGAAGAGGTGGACTAATCGCATAGGCCTCCTCGATCACCTGACCTATCCATTTTAGATTTTTAACCTGACCTGTCCGTTTTAGATTATGGAGTCATGGCCAACTATGGTTTCCATTTAAAGAAACATAAGTTTGTGTCATATGTCAAAAACAACTGACTAGAAAAAAAAAGTAGAACACAATCTCAGTAAGGATGTGATTATCTACAACTTTTATCTGAAAACTTTTTGTCTAAAATAGATTATAATGGAATTAGGGACCATGTTTAAAATTGCCAAAATATGTTTTTTTTTCGAAATATCTAGAAAGCCATGAACTTTTTCAAAAATCTGAAAGGCGCATATTTATAACCTGACAAAACTGCAATTCTTTCCCCATTTAACCGACTCTCTATCTCCAGTAGTTTCCGAGATACCCATAGAGAACATCGTAGAAAACTGACCCTGAATAACAATACAAGCTCCTGCAACAGTGCGTCGGCCATATATATCTCCAATAATGAAGATAAAAAATTAAATATCCAATAAAATAGAGTGTCTTACATTTAAAAGAAATGACTCGCTCAGTCACATTCTTTGAGACACCTTGTAAAGTGAATCTATTTTTCTGAAATACTCGTATATAATTCACAGTTCAGTCCTACACTTAAACGAAATCTCTATGTTCTTTATTATAGGTGTTATGCCAGATACATTTTTGCAGGAGCCTGTGTTACAGACAGGTCAGAGATTTTCAAGCAAAATGTGTTATGTTTTACTAAGTTAGAAAGAGATAATTTTTTAAATTTTGTCTGTAACTATTTGAATGTCTTAGAACAGGAAATGTTTTCTTACGTATGGTTCTCCTTCTTTGTGGATTAATTCTTCATGTTCCAAAAGTAGTTCCACTGCTTCTACAAACTCCACACTTATGGCATATAACAAAGCGTCTTTTGTTTCTACTCCCATCACTACCAGTAACTCTACCATTTCTAAATTTTCCTGATCTATAGCTATTGTTAACGCACCACGTCCCAAACTATCTACGCAATTTATATTAAAGGTTTTCCTTCTTATAGCTCTCTGGAGCATTCTAGAAATAAGTATAAAATTACAGCAAAATGGTTCATATATTGCATCTTGACATAAAAAACCAAATGGCGCTTTCATTACAATTCAATCAGAAAATCAGATATATCAGAAAAAAAAAGAAAATTGTCGGAAGAAAAGCTGGGTTATCTGTCCAGAGAAACTTAAAAACTAAATAGAAAACACCTAAATATCTTCAAGATAACCAAACAATTTGTATGAAGATTGACGCATGACGTGGTTCTATATTTCAATATCATAACGGTATACCAGAAGAGATCTGAAGGAATCGCTGAGAATCAGACTCAGACACTAAACCAAAAAGATCCAGTTGCTCCATATATTATTAGTACACACGTAGGTGAATGCAATAATTTTTTTTTACATTGGTGAAACATCTAGACCCTTAAATGTTCGAATTAAAGAACATAAAGGTTCTTTATGAAAGGGAAATTTTCACAAATCTAAGATTTGTCAGCACTCATGGGACACAGGACAGAGAATAAATTTTAATAACGCCAAAATTATAATGAAAGAAGCGAGAGCCTCTAAAAGAAAAATAAAAGAGGCTTTTTTAATACAGTCTAATAAAAATAAATGTATTGCTCATGCATCTGTAGATGTTAGTAATGTACGGCAATCGCTTCTTTGATTTTAAAGAACATAACATAAATAAACATAACATACGTAAAAATTAAAAATAATCATACAGAAAGCTTGGGCTTTTTGGTTTTACTTTATTAAGTAATTGTTATCAGGTAGTAATTGTTAATTTTGTAGTTTAACTTTTGATATAATGTCATTTTAACAGAACGTCCACGGTTTTTCTAGACGTATCTGTTTGAAAAAAAAAACTAAAGTGTTCTCGAATAGTTGAATTTAAATATATTAAATAGTTTTTTCTTTATTTATTGTATTTTTTTGCATCCGACGACGGAAAGAGATAAACTTTCCGAAACGTTAAGCATTTTTTTGTTCGTTAGGCAAATTTGTATATATTTAAACCTAACTTCTGATCAGGGCCTATTTTACCATAAGGCCCATAAGGTCCGGACCTTGGGCCCGGTGGTCTGGAGGGCCCGTTAACGGTTGTAAAATGTTCATAATTTCAAATGTAAATTTACATAGCAGAGAAAAAAAAACAGTTACCTCTGATAAGGAAAATAGAATTAAAAAAAATAAGCTTTAGATTGATATAATTTTTGTTTTTTTTTCCATTATTTATTTTGTTGAATATAATAATGTTTATTTATTTTTTTAAATTATTAAAAAAATAAAAATAATTGTTTTATTTTTTTAACCCAAACTAACAAGAGAATTGTTGAATTTTATTGGAAAAGAGGGCCCGAATTTTTGCTTGGGCCTTAGGGCCCGACCAGATGAAAAATAGGCCCTGCTTCTGATAAGTAGTTTCCGTTTGGGATTAACGCAGAAGTATTTTTAAACAACAAACAAACAAACAACGCTTTATTGTACAAAAAGCCAAAACAGCTTCATCGACAAAGCACTCACAAACAACAAAATCACAAAAAAAATACAAACAACAAAAAATACACAATACACATCATACAATTCAAAAAAATTTAAGTCTTTAAAATTACAAAAAGAATATATATGGACAATTTAGCACAGTACACAGATTTTAGAGTTATAAAATATTAAATACTTGACCTTTGACCAGTGTGTGAGATGATCAAAATTTTAAAATTCAAAATTGTTCATAATTAAACATCAACAAAAAAGTCATTTACCCCGCATATAGGGCTCTCTCCAGTAAGTATGATTTTAGAGCTTTGCGAAATGCGGGAAAGAATGAAAGCGACTTGATATTCAAAGGCAGATGATTGTACATTTTTTTGGCATTGTACAGTATTGAACCTTTAACTAGTTCTGAGCTCGGGGTTGGCAGATAAAGATCGTGCTCTGCATTCCTAAGTGGATAGTTATGAGATGGCCTTTCGGGAATACCAGATATGTGCTTACGGATTAAGCAAACGGATTCAAAAATGAATAAAGAAGGAAGAGTCAGTATTTTCAAATTTTTAAAGAAATTCTGGCAGTGAGTTCTACTGTTCAGTCCCAATAAATATCGAACTGCTCTCTTTTGAAGTTTGAAAATACGATCAAATTTTGTTGCGCAGCAAGTACCCCAGAATGGAAGGGCATAGCGAAGATGTGACTCAAAAAGGGCATAATAGGTCAGAAACAAAATAGGGCCAAGTACTGAACTTTGACGGACACCACATTCTATAGGCTTACAAGAAGACATAGACGTATCAATCCTCACAAGCTGCTTTCTGTTGCCAAGATATGACTTAAGCCATTCGAGCGGCACTCCCCTGAAACCGTAGTATTGCAATTTGTTAATTAAGATATTATGATTGACACAATCGAAAGCCTTAGAGAAATCACAGAAAATTGTAGCTGTAGAGTGATGGTTATTCAGGCTAGAGTATACATTATTACAGTTTACATAAAATAACTATTTTATTCTTGCAGTGGCGAAAAACCCATATATTAGGGTTCCCAACCGTCCCGGTTTGGCCGGGATTAACCAGGAATCAGAAAGTTTGTCCCGGCGAAAGTTTTGCCTTGACCGGGACCTGGAAACTAAAAAAATGTGTACTACACACATAATATATTTTATTTTCTAATATTTAATGTCTTGCTTCAATTATTTAAAAGCTTAAAAATAATTGTCCCGGATTCGCCGATGCTCAAGTTGGGAACCCTACCATATATGATTTTTTTGGAGAGATGAATCCGCCACATAGGTATAGACATTTTTTATTTAATGTTAAGCCTTACCTTCTTACATTGGATAAATCACCTCTTTCAATTGCCAAAAGATACTTTTTTTCGTCCAAATTTAACATTTTCGGTAAATTAGGCATAGACCGCGACAAATTGGCCAATTTTGACTCAACATCTTCCTAAAAAACAAGAAAAAAAACATTATAATTAATAATAACCGAATCTGCCGCATGAAAATATTCCTACATATTGTTTCTCCTTCATGTTCTCAAAATATTATTTAAAATAGAAAAGAAGATGAAAAAAAAAACGAAAGTGATATAATTACGCCAGCTAGAGAAATATTTATTGGCCGAAACATATGGCTTTAGCAGGAATAAAATAAACCTCTTAAAAATAACACGGCTCCTATAATAATCGTGTTATTTTATTTGAATAATTGGATTAGTGGAAAACGGAGCAAACTGCGGGAAATTGAGAACGTTGTTTTACCAGATTTCTCTTAATATATACAAAGCTTTTTCAAAACAAACATATAAGCATTTTTGATGAAATGATATTAGATTGGGACGTAATAATTTTTTTAATATAATTTTACACGATTAAAAAATACTAGATTAGATTGGATTTGGGTGTCAGAAGATTTAAAAAAAGTTGTTGCTTGTGTCATTTGTGTAAATGTGTTAGTTTTTTAAAGTCCCTGTATTCTTATATCAGTATTCTCTTATCTTCCTGTTTCACCGTAAATGACTACAACTTTTTGATTTTTAAATGGCACCCTCGCTATTTTTTTTACTTTATTCGACAGAAAATAACACTCTGAATAGAATTACATATTATATGTCAACTTTTGAAATTTTCACATACGGTTTATTTGAAATTATAACATGCGGTTCATAACGAAAATTTTACTCGAAATACTAGTGTTTGTTATCAAATTATTGATAAAAAAATTCTTTTTCCAAATTTGCTAATGAGCCACCGTCGTTCCATTTGAAAAACTTGAGATATGATTAAAAATACGATTTGGGCATCTTTTAACCGACCAGGACAATACATTAAAAACATTAGGCGATCAAATATATTTTCCTTGATTCCTTGATTAAAAATTAGTGTTTTTAACATAGCCATGGCACACTAGATTGAAATTTAAAATACGATTTTTTATTAAGCGAAAATGGCAAAAGTTGACATATGATGTCATTCTATTCAAAATGACATTTTTTATCGAATAAAGTAAAAAATACCGAGGGTGCCATTTAAAAAACAAAATGATGTCGTAGTAATTTCTGGTGAAATCAATCCTAATTTATGTCATATACTATATATATCAGATCTCGTTTTTTTTATCTGAAAAAATAAAAAAGTTATAGGGGGTGAGCCACTTTTGAGACACGCACCCCAAGTAACATTTGGACGTTATCTAACGTCGGGTATACGTCGCGTCCAATAAACCCGACGTCGGGTACCAACGTCGGTTCGACCGCCTGACGACCCTTATTTGCACCTAAATGGGGAATACAGATTCGGGTCGCCTCGACGTCGGTATCTGACCCAATAGGGCCATTTTCCACCAATTTCCAACGTCATATTACGTTGGATTTTAGTTACTTAAAATTCGTCGCTAAGCACTTCTGTTACGTTTGGTTTCATATTCGCTACCAAGAATACATAAAAACCTAACCAAACTACCTAATTACAAATGGATTCATAATAACTCCTCGAATATAACTATAAGTGCCTATCTAATTTCATATTATAATAATTCTGAATCATTAATCCAGACATCAGTTTTGTCAACGGAAGTCACTTTTTTGATATATCTGATTAAAATACTCCGGAAAACAACGAGCGCCTTCAAAATTAGGTAGATTTATGAAATAAAAATATCTATAAAAAAGTAACTCGCAATTTTTTTTTTTTAATTTTCTAGCTGGTTTAATCATAAAACTGTACTGTGGTTCCCCCCAAACTCAACCTTATCAATATTATTCTACTAGAAATCGGAATGTGAATATAAATTTTAAAAACAAAAAACTATTTTAAAATGGCTGACAATCGGATACTTGTTAAGAATGGCGGATTCCTGTATCCGACTTAATATGAACTACCAATATACCAATTCCGACCGGGTCTCCAATATTAGTCGTCTCACACGACGAACTCATCAAACCGGACGACCGGCAATCGTATCATGACGTATATAATTCCAACGTACGCCACGTAACCTCACTTTGCGTATCAGTGATTTGTGGATTTGTGCAAGTATATTTTATTTTTTGTTTTCTCCTTAAAAAAAATGGGCAGCCACTTTTTTAAGATAGTATATATACAAAATTTAAAAGAATTGGAACCAGTACCTCACATATGGGAAGAGGATGGGGTCTGCTGGTTTCCTAAGCTAAAAAATGAAATTAAGATGCACCAGTGTAATGCAGCATCTCTTCCGGATAAAAAGCATTCGTGGGTGGAGGCAAGACATCACTACTACTATTATTATTTTGCAAAAGCCTCGACCTCTTTCTGTAAAATGTAGATGAATCTTTAAATGCCCTTTTAGTGTTTTTAGGCATAATAAAAAAAATAAGTTTGTTTACAACTTTTTATTAGGTTATGTTCATGATGTTCATTAGGCCGCAAATGCTACTTAATGGGTTGTATTTACGGACGTAAATAGAGATACGTAAATTAGGTTATAAATATGAACATAAAATACAACAAAATATAATTGGACGTTACTTTAGGGATTAGCAGTGAGACGTATCCTATTCGGACAACGGGTAGACGTCGGGCTAGTTCAAGTATATGTACGTCGTGCAAGCCAGCGTGGGAACGACGTTGGGTAATTAATAAAAATGGTACGTTGTTATTTTGTACGTCGACAGATCGTTGGATTTACCGACTCGGATCCAACGACGTCGCTTTTAATAGGACGTCACCGGCCGTATCACCAGCACCCGACCTAAATTTGCACAAAGTCTGACGTCGCTTCAGGTCAGATTTAGTTCGAAGTCAGATAGATGCTACTTGGGACCCGGTATAATAATTGATATAGGCTTGTGTATTTTCCCCTTAATGGACTATACTATAACCACGTCTTCTCTATAATGTTAATTAAAGGACCAAATGCATTATACTTTGAAAAATATGAGTTCACAAAATACCGTTTAGTGCTAGCCGAAAAGAAAACATATCTTCAACATATAGTTCTACTCTTACTCAGTCTGTTCGAATTTCTACTGCAAGTCTCTAAATATGAACACTAACTAACTTGACCTTTCCGCTGATAAAAGTGAAAGTCAAAAGACAAAGCAAAATAAAATTTAAACGATCAAAAACTTAACCGATTATTTCCATATAATAATCGATACATGCAGGTGTATTTCCCACCGGACTGTACTCTATCCTCATCTCCTAAATCATTTTAATTGGATTAAAAACCAATCGATACGGGAATGTGGAAACTTGGAGGATTTCCGTCCATGGCTATGCCGGTTTCAAGTTACCACGTTTACCTCTTTCTTCCGTCTCATTATCGTTTTAATCAGGTAGGATATAGATCGTTGAGTGCCGGTGCAACGGTGTATTTATTCGGTGAAAATGAGTTCGGAGTCGCAGGAAAACTTGTTGGAGAAGATTGAGGAGAGTTACGGTACTGAATCGATGCGTAAAGATCCAGTGGAGAGACCGCTCTCTGAAATTGAGAAGGCTTTTCTGCTCTACGCGGAAAGAGGTGATTGTGCAACGGTGAAAAGGTAACAATATATAGACGAGCAAGGATAGACATAAGAGCATATTTAGAATATTTTTTTCAGTTTTCTCACTAATTCTGTTATTCTATACAGGGTGCTACAAATTCGTGGTACGAGCATTGGTATCTCGGAAACCGTAATAGATACGAATATATACATGGTTAAATTGGGGCAAAGTTTCGCCTTGGGATGTTCACCAACATGTTATCAAAAAAGTTTTAAAAATATGAAGGATTGCTGAGTTTTTTGAAAAAAAAAACGAATTTTTAAAAGAAATCAATTTGATTTTTTCCTGTAGTTACTTTTTAGAAAATCAAAAAACTAATTGCACATTATCATAACCACTTTATTATGGCTATCTGATAGTATTTTTAGATTTTCAAATTAGCTGATAATTTGTGAGATACAGGGGCCAACTTATTTTTTTTTAAATACGGACCTGCATTTTTTATTTCAGATTTTGAAAGAACACGGTCTCCCGAGTACAACGATGTGCGACACTTTATATTTTTTTTTGTTTTGGGTACCTTAATAACAACAAAACTAAACTTAATTATTACTTAAAATAATTTCAAGTCCGACTCTGGTTTTTTAAATTATTTACTCTGATTGTATTCATCGCAATAATATTGATCAGCGCTAATTAACATTAATAAGGAAAATAGAGGCAATAAAGATTCAAATAAATAATGTCCAGATCAACGATTCAAAGATACTATTTTTAATATTTTTTATTGTGAATTTGAAATCTCAGTGTACGATTTAATAATATGCATCATATTAATCGTAGCTATTATAAATAAATCAACTATTACAAACTAGTTTCTAATGCTCTAAATGTTTGAAAGAGTTACCTCTCTCCCTATTGCACAAATTTATTTTTCGTTCAATTTTATTTGTAGCTCTTTGACCACATGCATTTTGTACTCTTTATTGTAACTGTTAAGATGTATTTTCATTTCACTTGTACAAATAACGTCAAGTAATGCCCCCCGCCCTTTGGCGACAGGTCCGGGAATCTCGCTGGCCATTATACTGCTCTATACCATTTTCAATTTATCTTCCGGTGAAATGATTTTATTTTTTATATTATATTATATTTATATTATTTTTTATTATTTTGGCATTGCATTTGATTTTCCGTATTCAATGTTTTACCCCACGTCATTGTTATCAATATTGTGACGATGAATAGATTAAATGTTTGTACAATATATGGTTTGTATTTTTTCACGTGAATGCTCTTTAGAACGATTTGACTTTGTTGTCTGACAGTATAAGTACAGTTCGTCTGCTGGATCTGTGTCTATGAAAGGAATGCGGACAAAAAACATTTAAATAAACAGCAATATATTTTATACGTCGACTTGACGAGTACGTCACCGCAAATCGCCCCGCCCACGCATTTTATTGGCTACTTGCAAATTTGTCGAATGTTTATTGATGGGACGCGTCGTCTAATTTTTTACGAAAAACATCGAGAGAATATCGTTTCCCCTCTCACGGATACCCCGTAGCTACAGAACGGACAGACGTACTGTAAATGGGGGTATTTTGGTTCGACTTTTTTGATTGCTGGTTTGGATCAAATTGTAAAACAGCGTTAAAAACATGTAGATTAGTAATACAACATTAAAAACATGTAGACTAGTTAGATGATATATTAATAGCCAAATGTAAAAAGATATGTATATCATACGATCGAAATATTAATTAACTCTTCCTTCCTTACTTATATTTGAATCCGTTTGCCTAATACGTAAGCATGTATCAGCTTCTCAAGAAAGGCCATCTCACACTTATCCACTCAGGAACGCGGAGCAAGATCTTTATCTACAGTACGTTTGCTGGATCTATGTCTATAAAAGGAATGCTGACAAAAAACATTTAAATAAACAACAATCTATTTTATACGTCGACTTGACGAGTACGTCACCGCAAATCGCTCTGCCCACGCATTTTATTGGCTACTTGCAAATTTGTCGAATGTTTATTGATGGGACGCGTCGTCTAATTTTTTACGAAAAACATCGAGAGAATATCGTTTCCCCTCTCACGGATACCCCGTAGCTACAGAACGGACAGACGTACTGTACCTACCCCACGCTCAGGGTTAGTTAAAAGTTCAATATTATACAACTCGAAAAAAAATGCACAATGACCTGCCATTTGAAATCAAATCCATAACATCATTTTCTTCATTTCGCAAAGCATTGAAATTTTGTTTACTAGACAAGGCTTTCTACGCCGTAAATGACTTATATTTTGATAATCGAATTTGATCTTGTAAACACATTTGTCTAATATTTGCTATTACTAGTAGTGGGAACTATCGAACGAATACTATCGAAACATTCGATAGTTGCAATTCATTCGAATAATTCGATAGTTAGTAAGAAAACATTCGTTTAAAACTATTCGAATAAAAATTATCGAATAGATCCGTCATCTGCCTTGAAATATTGTATTCTAGTAATTCGGCAGCAAAAACCATTCATTTATAAAATTCATTCATTTATGAAATTCATTTATTCGTCAGGATCGATTATAATAAAATATTAACTGAATTTTAGTTGTCGCCCGGCGACGTAGGTTTCTTTCCGAGGAACCCGACAGCGGTCGGTGGCAATGCTATGAAAGAAGCCGGCATCTTTGATTTTTGCGGAGTCAGATATAGATAAGGACACATTATTTTTTTATTGAGGTGCTAGTATTTACACAGAAAATACATTATGAAGGGCGCTGTTGCCATATTTTGGTATTAGTTGATATTAGCAAAGAATATTATTGTTTGGCTTTAGTTAGTTAGGGATAGTATGTCTATATATTCTGCATTTTTTTTTATTAATATTCTGTTGTTACACTGCAATAATACTTGTTATTTTGGATGTAGGAAAATTATTTTTAATGTTTTTAAGCAGAGACTGGTTTAATAAATAATAATAACAGTTATAATTTGTTATACCTATTAACAACAAAATTTTAAATCATTTAATATAAATATTTTTTTTAAGCAGTAGCAAAATATAAACAACAAATTAGATGTCAAAATTATTTATATTAGATCCTATTTAAAAATAATATAGTCTCTAAATTTTTTGTGTGTGGCAACGTTGGTTTATTAAATAATAATAATTACAGAACTAATTTGTTATATTAACAACAAATTTTAAAATCATGAAATATAAACATTTATTAATTTTCTAAGCATGCAGTGTAATGGAAGGAAAATATAAATAAAAAATTAAAAATCAAAATTATTTATATTAGGTGCTTTATATTACTATTTAAAAATTATATTTACTTTTACTGGCATTTACTTTAAAAAATAAATGAAATATTTCTTTGCAAAAAACTACATGTAAGAGAATTAGCATAAACAAAATACGAACATCGTTAACTTTTTTTTTAAATTGGCACGTGTAAAACTTTCATTTTAATTTTCTCACCCCATAGTTTGAGTTCGATAACCGCATTTACTTAACCATATTACTTAAATATGATTATTAAGTTCAACTAATTCATATTATTAAAATATCTAAAATACAAATATGTATTTTTAAAATTAATTGTAAGTTCATCTCATCTTTCTTAACAATTGCTACTTCTCAAAATTTCCCATTAAAAAATAGACCATATACCATATAAAATTAAATAATTGAAAGATCGGATTACGGAAAACCACACAATGTTTTTTTCATTTACTTTAACTATTTTAATAAACGCAAAAATAGCACAGTATTTATACGGCGAAGTTATAAAAATTTGGAAGAACTAATAATGCACTGACGCATACAAAAATCAAACGAATACTAAATTTCATTTATCAAAAGCATTCGATAGTCGTGGCTCAACGATAACCATTTAGTCGCACGGCGAGGTTGTCACATATGCTTTAGTGTACAAATGAATGAATGATTTTATTCGAATAAAACCATTCGATAGTTGAAATCATTCATTCATTAACCATTCGATAGTCTAATTCATTCGATAGTTCCCATCGCTAGCTATTACTATATTTACTATACTTAAACTTACTAAATATTTTTGAATCTTATTTTTATTTTTTTATTCTTTGACATTGTAAACATTTATAAATGTTTATTTTAAACAATAAGACTAACTATGTAATTTGTATACTTGTTTTGTGCATTCCTTTTTAATTTTTTTTTAGAATTATCGATCAGTACAAAACTCGTCCTGAAGAGTTTGATATAAACTGTGTCGATCCGCTTACCAGATCTGCTCTTATATCTGCGATAGAAAATGAGAATATCGAGTTGATTAAATTGCTTTTGCAGGAAGGAATCCAAGTCAAAGTAGCCAAATACATTAAGTTTTGAAGAAAATTCAATTTTTATAAGATAGTGTTTTAGGATGCCTTGCTACATGCGATTAAAGAAGAATACGTTGAAGGTGTTGAAGTACTGTTGAATTGGGAGGAAAAATGCCATAAAGAGGATGAACCTTATGTAAGTGACATGTGGTCAAGTAATGGCCAATATTAACGCTGCCCTTACGTTTTAGTTTGATCTATATTATGTCTATTACATTATTAAGAGATTCACAATGATTTGTTACTTAACTCCCATTAAAAAAAATCAAATATGTACAGTATAAGTAGTTTACAAAGAAGAATCCATCTTACGGCTTACGGTACTTTGTATCTATATTCTATATTCGATGATTATCTTTACCAATGACGATTAAACTACTATTGGCTGTAATTGCTACTGTCAAAACTTTAATATTAAATTTATTTCGATAATTTAGTAAAATTAATTTTTTTTATAGAGCTGGGAACGAGTTGACAAGTCTGGAGCATCGTTTACAACTGATATTACACCACTTATTTTGGCCGCTCATAAAAATAATTATGAAATAATCAAGCTTCTGTTAGACAGGGGTGCGACATTGCCGATGCCTCATGATGTCCGGTAATACTTTTTTTATGTAAACAGGGTGACCCTGGCTGATCATATGTATTGGAAGTTTTCTGGAAAATACAATAAATTAAATATATTTTATTAAATAAAAAAATACAATATTAATTTATTATTAATAAATTATATCCATCGTCGTTTCTAAAGCGACTTGTTTTCGAAATTTTCGCCACATTGGAGAGTGTTAAATTCTATTCTACATTTTTAGAAAGTTTCAATAATATTGTTCAGCGATATTGTTCATGTACAGAGTGTCCCACTAGGAATAGAGTTCGGCTGTATCTCGGAAAGTACATATTAGAAAAGAATATATAAGAAAAAAATATTTATCACTAACCAACTTCAGGATCAAGTTCAAATAATAACAGATAAAAAACGCTGCTAAGACTATCAAAATGTTGATCTAATGACAATTTAACGTTTATACTATTACGTCAAAAGCAACTTTTTTCCAAAGCCTACCATGACTTCACTGAATCATTGTTTCTTGTTCACTGTTATTAATGTCTTAATTATTAGATATTAATACATCTGGTATTATGGTATTCTGGTATTTCGTCGATTTTAAAATAAACTAACTGTTTCTATCTTATTTTTTTGTTAGAATGGGCATAATCAAGAGGGCTACTGATACCGTATTGTAAAAATAAGGTAATTAAGGGCTTATTTTTTGGTATTTATTATAATTTTGCTAATATCTTCGGTTTGAAAAAATCAAGATGCGGTTTTCGCTGACTTTTTAAGTTTTTATTACTCTTTACTATCAGCTAAAATTACATATACAAGAAAGCGCCCCCTAGCGTCTACATTCAATACCTTATTATTATTATTTTTATGGTATAGTATAGAGTAAGAAACGCTCTTTTAAACGAGCCCTCGTTTATTGGATTTCGATCATCCAGTCCGGAGTTATTAACATTTAAGTAAAGATAGATCTAACCTTTTCCCCCACCACTTTATTTTAGCAGATAGGGGAAAATGGTTCTAACAAAAAAAATGCAAAATTTACTGAAGATTACGAAGCTATTATTTATAGTACCCATTATCTAGGCAAAATTCTGTAAAAAATCTTTTTTATTATTTTCCATAGCAGTTGCGCCCTCTAGCGGCCGTTTTACAAACTTGAAAATAATTTCCAGCAATTTCTCATAGCCCCTTTAGTTATAAATACTTTTTTCCGTAGGCCCTACTAATACTTTCCGAGATACAGCCGAGAGCTATTCTTAGTGGGACACCCTGTACATTGCACTTATTTAAGACTCACCCTGTATATATATTTTATATCCGCCCCAAAAACAACTACCTAATATAATAAATTATTTTTTAGATGTGGTTGTGATGACTGTGTATTCTCAACTAAAACAGATTCACTGAGGCATTCTCAATCCAGAATAAACGCCTATAGAGCTTTATCATCTCCATCATTAATATCTTTATCGTCCAGCGATCCATTGTTAACTGCTTTCGAGTTATCATGGGATTTGAGAAGATTGAGCCGAATGGAGAATGAATTTAGATCAGATTACGACGTAAGTTAAAATACCCTCAAACAGAATACAGGGGGGGGGCATGGGGCCCGATGTAAATCAATCAATCCTAATTTATGTCATATACTAACATACGAAATCTCGATTTTTTATCTGAAGAATAAAGAAATAAAAAAGTTATAGGGGTGAACCACTTTTGAGACGCACCCGGTATACTCTATAGAAGTAGGATTTACCTGTATATGCAGTAACATTTTATTGAATATTACATATTTTAGGAAATGAGAGCACAAGTACAAAACTTCGCTACATCCTTGTTGGACTACGTGAGAACATCTCAAGAACTGGAAATAATATTAAATTATAATCCACAGGGTGAAGTATGGTCTATCGGCGAAAGACAAACATTGGAAAGACTGAAATTGGCTATAAAATATAAACAGAAAAAGGTATTGGACTATTTGAATTGAGTAGTGTGTTATTTAGTCCATTCAGTACAATATTCATAAATTTAATATTGACAAAAATTTGTAAAAAGGATGAGTCTCAGTGCAAATAATTTTAGGGGTAGTATATTTCGACCCCAGAAACACGTATATGAGATTATTTTTGCGAAATGTTTTTTGGAATATTTTTTTTTCAAATTCAGAATTTTTTGAAAAAAAAATATTTTTTTAAATTTTAAGTTAAAAAACATATACAGGATGTCCCATTTAAGATGGATACAAGCCAATATCTTGGATGTTTGTTGAGCGATCTTTTTTTTTGTCCTGATGTCTTGGCCACTCAAAGAAAATACTGACACGGTTCTGATGCTGATATATTGAGAATATGTAGTAATCTTATCTAGATTAGTATCTAAATTATGCACTATTACAGATTTTAAATAATTTTTCAATAGTTTATAGCTCATCCGAACGTTCAGCAACTGTTAGCATCGATTTGGTACGAAGGATTGCCAGGATTCAGGAGAAAAAGCTTAGTGGGACAATCCATCCAAGTAGCCAAACTTGGAATGATGTTTCCAGCTTATTGTGGGGCCTACATGATGGCTCCAAACTCAACGATGGGTCAATTCCTGAAGAAACCATTTGTAAAATTTATTATACACTCTGCGTCGTACGGATTCTTTCTATGTAAGCAGCGATTTTTCTTTTCGAATCTACTAGTAATAACAGATCTTTTAAAAATAAGGCGGGGTACAGCATTGATTTTTTCGATACGTCAAGAAAAATCGCTGATGTGTCACATTGAGTGGTCGAAGTTTTGCGTACTTACGAAATACATGTAAGAAATTGATACCATCAATTGGTCCCTCAGTAATCGTAAACACTCTTGGAAAATGAGTTTTTGTATTCGGAAACTTCACACTAATAAATGGCTGATAATATTTAATGGCATCTACGGTCAAAAACGTGATTTCTTCCCTCCTACATGCTCCAAATACACCATCGATTAAGACAACTTTAGCTAACAGGAATTCTTTGTCATCGGCTTCTTTCATAAAGCGTTCTATTTTCAGTTTTGTAAATACTTTTGATTTCTTTGCCTGATATCCGGAAGCTTTTCTTTTTAAAAATGCAATAAGGTTTGTGAATTTGCTAATATCTACGTTTCTGTTCAGGTAAATCATGGTGCGGAGCATCGAATATTTACTCCACAGAGTTGACGGCTTTAAGGTAGTGGATAACTTCAGGAAATAAGCTAGCAATACCTTTTCTGTGAAATTCTCAACATGTTTTTCTTTTGAAGTTTCAAAGTTGTTGTAGGTGCTCGGTTCTCGAGCACTAACATGGATAGCGCAGTTTCAGTAGCTTGTTGAATATCCAAAGACTCGTCATTATCACTCATTTTTTCACAAAACTTTGTAGGAAATAAGGCGATGTTTGAACCTGACAGAACTTTGTCATTAAAATGTTAAACAATGCATAAACAATGCCTTAGAAACTGATTACCAGAACATTTTTTAAACATTATATAAATTTCAAATTATCCGCTTTCACAAAAAATCTTGTATGAAATTAATTTCGCAACTTCTTACATAAATAGCTATTAATACATTTATTAAATCCATTAACAGATTTCAATTCGTCCGATTGACTTGCTTTAACGTATTTATTTTTAATGTAATAAAATTTTATTTTCCAGCTCTTTTAGGAGCAGCATCTCAGAGGGTGGAAATAGTAGTTCTAGAGTTTTTTGGCTCTCAATGGATGCAGGATATTATAGATGAATGGGAGAGAAAGGAAAGGGGAGCTTTATTTGGTTTGGCTGAATGCGGAGTCATTCTGTATGTAGTAAGTAAGTTTCTGTTTAAAAACTGATTATTTTTTGGCTGACTAGTTCAGTTTATTGTTATTCTTGGATAATGGCCCAAGCGAGTTTAACTGAGGATAATAATTAATTAGGTATTGTGTAAGAGTTCCTATAGGCTTGGTGCATTCTCCACCAGTGCTGCCACCGCCGGGGAATATCGTAAATAACGAATACATATAAATACACGGGTTTAAATGGCGAGTGAACGAAAAAAATAGTATATAATTATTCTAAAAAAAGTAAAAAGATAAATATTCTGATATCTTCACAAGGTCTAACTTGCATTATAATTTATGATTCAAGTTAAAAAAAACTAAACGAGTTCAACTACGCTGGCGAACATAGTTTTATCACCGGTTTTGCTATATGGTGTGGCATAATTGGAGCTATTTCGGCTATGACGAAATTTTTTAAAGATACATAATTATAATTTTGGAAGATGTTCATAAAACATTTAATCACTAGTTGATTAAAAAAAAGTATACCATTAATATTGCAAATTATATTTCATCCTCTCATAGTATATGTCTATTTAATTTTATGATTATGTAACGAGCATTGTGTTTATTCACTTGTTTCGTCGAACTGCTTGAATCCATTTTGGCTATTGATCAAATCGGTGTGAGAAACTATGAAGCTATATAAAATGTTGTTCTGGGAAAGTTGAATATCCGGGAAAGTTGAGTTATTGAATGCTATTGCACCCAACAACGCCCTAATTACGCCTTCCTTTACGTGTTATCATTTTTTGACAATTTTATTAACACTAGAAATTGTCACAACACAACACGACGCCTAGTTCGAATTCTTTTTCACTTATTTTTTACTACTCGAAACAGCATTGCATCACACAAATCTCGTACCTGATTGTTTTATAGTTTCAATAACTGCACTAGCAGAAAACCAAAATACTATATTATGACAAAACCACAATTTCAATATTATTTTAATGAAAACATGACGGCGAGGCGGCGCCGGCCGGCGGCGTTAGTTATATATTGATAATTTCAGATTTTTTCCGTAGAGTGCGCTGCGGTCGGAATTTGTTGAAATCAACTGAAATGCGTCAAGCCTATACAAATATCAAATTTTAGGTTTAATATGGGCAGAAATTAAATCCCTATGGAATGACGGCCTTATGGAATATATATCAGACTTATGGAACATAGTTGATTTTATTACAAATATGATGTACGTTTTTTGGCTGGTTCTACGCCTAACATCTTGGTACATATGTTGGGTACGTTTCTAAAATATTTTGTTCGTGTATAATTTTGTAATAAATCGACTAATGATATTATTTTTAGAGGGATGATTCTTTGGGCAAGACAACATGGTACCCAAGAGAACAATGGGATACTTTTGAACCTATGCTGTTATCTGAAGGTGCTTTTGCAGCGGGAATGATATTTAGGTACCTATATATTGTAATTAGAAATTAATTATTTAATGAAAATTGGTTTTCTTGGGATACACTTAATAGAAATATATTTCCCTAACAAAATATCCAAATCAGTACAAAGTTGTAAAAGTCCGAAGTGTATTCCGAAAACTTCGGCCGCATATTCTGCAGATAAAAATAAGTAAAAAAGTTCGTATAAATGTATGTCCTAAAATGCTTACTTTCAGAAATACAGGGTGTAGAAGTATCATTTTTGTTTCGATTTTTTCTAAATAATTTCTGAAGTAACGTTTCTAAGAGTTTTTTAAGAATTTGTTGACATGAGAAATTAGATTTTGATGTCAATATGACTCCTACTAGTAGAGGGCGTCACCTACATGTGTTTTAACTGTTTTGAAGCGTAATAACTTTTTGTATTAAACCAAACCGTACCTGTATAAAACTACCTAGCGAAAATATACATTCTCTGTGACTTTTTACGTAAAAAATACCTCTTTGTAAAAATCGCTACGAGCAACCGTTCTTAAGATATGAATGAAGAATGCAAATAGACAATACGTGCCATTATTGATGAAAAATAAACACGTTGAGTAGATAGTTATTTCACTGAAATAAATAAATGGTATGAATTTTTAATTTTTTTAAATTAATAATAATTTTTTCTGCAAAAAATGATGATAAAACAGTTTCTGTTGAACTTTTGGCACAAAAACATTTCAAATTTATGATTTCAATCTAATAACTACATATTTAGTCAACAATTTATGTCAATAATGACAGGTATGGATAATTTCGATTTCAAATATCTCGATAACCATTCCTCATAGCGATTTTTACCAAGAGACTTTTTTTATGTAAAAAATATCGTAAATGTATATTTTTTTACTCACTAGTTTTATACAGGTACGGAAAAAAAGTTATTACCTTTCAAACCAGTTAAAAAATATGTAGGTGGCGCCCTCTACTAGTAAGAGTCATATTGACATCAAAATCAAATTTCTCATGTCAAAAAACTCCCAGATACCAATTTTCATCGAAATATTGACGTTACTTCAGAAATTATTTAGAAAAAATCGAAATAAAAATGAAATTTCTACACCCTGTATCTCTGAAAGTAAGCATTTTAGGACATACATTTATACGAATTTTTTTACTTATTTTTATCTGCAGAATATGTTGCCGAAGTTTTCGGAATACAGTTTGGACCACTCTGTGTACGACAAGGATTAAACTAAAATATAGTTGTTTTAAATTGATGGTCATTTTATTTGGAAATAGTCATTTTATTTTTTAATTAGCTCTCATTATCATTTCATATTAGTTGTACTGGGTATATCAAGGACTAAATATACTATCACAATTTATTAAAAAACACTAAATCACCACAATACACCAAAACACTTTTATTTTACACTGGACGCGCGTTTCGCTAACCATGTTAGCATCATCAGCAGATGATTATAAACTAAAGTACAATCTACAAGTTGAGCGTTTATATACTCGCTCAGTGGGCACCGAGTGGGCGTGGCAAAATCTAGCCAACCGAGTCAGAGCCAACTGACCGTAACAGTTAGATTTCCGCCACTAGAGTAGTAGGAACAAAGAACTTGAAGGAATTGGACCGTTGACTCTGTTCATACTATCTTTACATTTATTAATTCTGATGCTTTCATATGCATCTAATTGCCTGTAATTTGAGACTTATTTAATTCATTTTAAATTATTAAGATCTATACAATGTTCATTATCAACAATATGTTGCAACGCAAGATTTATCCGGTCTACCATATCTTATCTGAGCTAAGTGTTCTTTAAATCTAGTTAATATTGATCTTGTAGTTTGCCCAACATATTTCTGATTACAATCTTTACAAGAAATTTCATAAATACCCGACCTTTCCAGTGGAGGTGTTTTATCTTTTGGATTACCTAATAATTGTTGTAATTTATTAATAGGACTATATACAAGTTTATAATTGACATTCTTAAAAATTCCTTTTAGACCACGGGATAACTCTCTATCAAACGGTATCGAAAAATATTTAGACGTATCTTTCTCCACTTGAAAAGTCGAATTTTCAGAAATCATTAACCTATACCTACGTTTTCTAATTAATTTATCAACTAGTGAAGGAGAATATCCATTACACCCAGCTACATTCCTAATGTAATTTCTTTCTATTTCATATCTTTCGTTGGAAAGTGGGAAACTAATTAATCTATGAACTAAGAAATTTAAACTAGCCATTTTATGTTCAACACTATGATGTGATTCATTAGGAATATATCTGCGTGTGGTCGTATTTTTCCTATAGATATCAAATTCCAGGCAATTATTACTATTTCTAATAACTAATACATCTAGAAATGGTAATCTGTCGTTGTTCTCAATTTCATGTCTAAATTTAATGGAAGAAAACGATTATTTAACTTAGAAATAAAATTATCTATGGTGTCTGAATGTGTGTCAAAAACAGCAAAAATATCATCCACATACCTAAACCATACTCTTGGAAAATACTCAAACTGATTCTTAGCCTCCACTTCAAACCTGCTCATGAATAAATTAGCCAAAAATGGAGACAATGGATTACCCATTGCTGTACCTTCCCGCTGTTCGAAAAAGTTGTTATTAAATTGAAAACAATTTTGTTTCATACATAACGATGTAAGCTCAATATATTCACTCACAGTTTTGTTGTCGAGACCATTTGCGTTCAGTAATTGCCTAAAGTATGTGGAATTGGAACACTTGGGAACAACGAAGATACACCAAAGGAGACCAAAATTTCACCTTCATACAATGTTATATCTTTAATTTTGTTAATGAATTCAATATTATTTTTAACTGAGGAAGAAGGTTCATGATCAGGTAAATTTTCGAACTCCCTTGATAACCATTTTGCCAAATTATAAGTCGGAGAATCTACAGCCGAAACAATTGGGCGCATAGACTTGTCCGGTTTATGAATTTTTGGCAAAGCATACAATTTTGGTAATGAGGGATTGGATACTTGCAATTTCCTCTTTAATTTTTCATTTTTTTTATTTTTTTTTAACTTTCGAATACATATTTATTTTTATTTGATTTTCCCGTTTTGCAGCTTCTTGAAGTTGGTACACATATTCAGCGTCAATCCGCATTTGGGTCCTCTACAAATATCCCTGGGCAGGATGATTATTGACATTGTAAAGTTCTTCTTTATTTACACGCTTGTACTATTTGCCTTCGGTTGCGGTACGTTTTGTAAAAAAGTTTTTAATATTTTTTAACTTATTTAAATACACTTTACATAACATACAATAAGCATTTATTTGAAATTGTACAATTTTTTTAAATATTTAGAGTCTACTCTTTGTATTTTTGTATAAAAAACTAACCAACAATTAAAATTACTAGGTTTGAACCAGCTTCTATGGTATTATGCAGAATTGGAAAAAAATAAATGCTATCATTTCCAAAACGGATTGCCGGACTTCGAAAATAATGACAAAGCTTGTACTATATGGAGACGATACGCTAAGTAAGTCAAAGTAATAGATCATGTACAGGGTGGGTCAAATTCGACGCTTTTTAATGGAGACACCCTTTTCTATAGGAGATAGACAAAAACTAATATCGGTGTCTGGAGCTCAATTTTTATCAAAAACATAAACCGCATATCGATATCTGTAACCGTTTCGGAGTTCCGGGGTGTTTTTCAAAAATATGCATTTTTAACAAATCGCTGTAACTTTTTTGCTATGGAAAATTTTGTATTTTTATGAAAACATTTCCAAAGCAACTTTTTACGTAGAATTTAATGGTTTAAGTATATTTTTTTAAAATTAATAATTTAAGAGTTATCAACAGAATAATTGATTTTTTATTTGGGACACCCTCTATATTTTTAATTAACTGAAAAGAATTTAAAATTACCTTTCCAAAAATATAGCACACTTGATATTTTCTTATAATCCCCTTCGAAATACAGAATTTTTAAAAGTTTGTCACTTTTAACTAGTAGGCTTTGGACTCCTTATTGATGATCCTTAATGGAACTCGAAAACATATTTTTCCAGCAAGACGACGCACCGCCTCTAAACGTTGAAGTTATCAGCAAATTTTTGCAGCCAATTTCAAGAATAATTGAATAGCTAACCAAGATCCCAGCCGTTGGCCGTCGAGGCCGCATGACTTAGTGCCCATGAATCTAATCCTATGGATATATTTGCGGAAGAATAAAGGTTCCTTATTCTTCCATATAATATAAACAAGAATTAGAAATACTTAGCAGTTATGAGAGGGTATCTTTCACCCCCACTGAGTTAATGAATTCCGCGAGAATTGTTCAAAAACTGCCCCGTCTGTCCATAACAGAAGACGGTCGATATGTCGAACACCTGTAGCCAAATATCATGTCTTGGTTTGCTATTTATTTTTATTGTTATTAGATATAGTTTAAATGTGTTGATGTTGGTTAAATATATTTTAAATTGTTATAAAATTCTGCATCTCTCATAGCAAATATTATTTTCGTTTTAATTGATGCTCATAGCTAGATTTTTTTTGCATTACAGCCGGTGCCGTTCAAAGCCTACTTATTTAAAGCGGGCGAATTTTTATATACTCTATATCTCGAAGAGGAATCGAGCAAAATATCAAGTGTGTTATATTTTTGGAAAGGTAATTTTAAATTATTTTCAATAAAGTAAAAATATACAGGGTGTCCCATATAAAAAAATCAAATTTTCTGTTGATAATTCTTAAATTATTAATTTTAAAAAAATTATACTTATACTATTAAATTCTACGTAAAAAGGTGCTTTGGAAATGTTTTCATAAAAATACAAAATTTTCCATAGCAAAGAAGTTACAGCGATTTGTCAATAATGCATATTTTTGAAAAACACCCCGTAACTCCAAAACGGTAACAAATATCGATATGCGGTTTTCACCATCATGTTTCTGACAAAAATTGAGCTCCTGACACCGATATTAGTTTTTGTCTATCTCTTATAGAAAAGGGTGTTTCCATTTAAAAGCGTCGAATTTGAACCACCCTGTATGATCTGTACAGGGTGGGTCAAATCGACGCTTATTCGGCGCACCTTATTCGCCTCGGTTGATTATACGAAAACGGAAAGATGTAGAAACAAAATATTTTGTGTGGATATGTGGGAAGGCAATGTGCATAATTTAAAATCATTTTGAAATGTACAGGTTGTGTCAGAACTAAGATACATACCAAAGTTATATTTTTTCTTATAGAACACCCTGAATTTTATTTCTTTTTTGGATTCTTGGGCATCAAATAAGGTATATTATATTATAAGGGTTTAATATGTTTAAAAGCTTTGGTTTTTGAGATATTTAAAGATATTTAAATATGCATGCTATAATAAAAAAGTTAACCTTGTACAAAACACCTTGTACATTACTTTTCAGAATTAATCCTTGTGCTGAGTTTCAAGCCAGAGAAATAAACTTTACTAAAAAATTTGATTGCTTTCTCATATATATACCTGGGTATCAAAAATTGCTGGTCTATTTTGAATATTAATTTTACATAAAACTTTTTTTGATACGCCTGTATACATTTAAGCAATAACATTTTTTAAATTTTTATCTCTCTGGTTTCAAAGTCAGCACAAGAATTAACTCTGAAAAGTAATGTACAGGGTGTTGACAGACTTGTTTATTATAGCATGCATATTTAAATATTTTTAAATATCTCAAAAATCAAAGCATTTAAAGATATTAAACCCTTATAATAAAATCATATTTTATGCCCAAGAATCCAAAAATGAAATAAAATACCGGGTGTTCCAAAAGAAAAAAAAAATATTAAAAAATAATTTTATTGTCTAGAAACTTGTCGCCTCCCCATTTAAATTTTATTATAAGATTATGAATAATTGTGCAAAGGAAAGTTTCTTAGTGTGTTGAGGAAAGTTTCTTAGGGTCTTACTTTTTTAACTATTCCGTTAATATTTTTTAGTTTATTTGAGACTTCTCAATCACTGTTTTGGGCAAGTTTCGGATTGGTTGACCTGATGTGTTTTGAACTGACTGGAATCAAAGGCTTTACAAGGTTTTGGGCCTTGTTAATGTTCGGATCGTACTCCGTCATCAATGTAATCGTTTTGCTCAATATGCTGATCGCCATGATGTCCAATTCGTACCAAATAATTTCCGTAAGTCTCAAATTTTTTATCTTTTTCATGATATTCAGGTTTGTTCTATAGGAAAGATCTGATACGGAATGGAAGTTCGCCAGAAGTCGCTTGTGGATCAGCTATTTTGATGACGGTGATACTTTACCGGCGCCTTTCAATATTATGCCTCAACCGAAAGTTATGCTTAGAGCAATGGGTTGCAATAAATCTGACCGAAGTTCTGCCAGCTTTAAGGTATCCTGTATTTTCATATTCGTACAGCGTGTTCTGATGACTTGAATTAAATTTTAAAAATGTCACTTTTCACTGTTTTAGAAGCTTCTTTTGATATGTCCTTAATATTACTACATAGGCTCTATTTATAGCTCTATATTATTCTACCAATAGCATACTTCGTTTATACAAGGTGTCATTGAAATGGTGTAAAAAAATCAGGGGGTGATAGTACTCCTAAAAATAGTAAAAAAAAGTTCCTATAAGTATAGGGCGGAAAATGCATATTAAGGGAGTTAGGGGCACTGAAAGGGTGAATTGAAAAAACGGTTGATTTGAAATTGCAGGCTTAAAAAACGAAATAAAATTTCGAAAAAAATTATCTGCCATAAATTTTGACCCCAAATCAAATGGTGATTATGAAAATTCTGAAAAATTATTTGGAAAAGCGAAAAGGGTAGTTTTTGCAAGGGTAGAGGGTTTTTTCGTGAATAACTTTTTTGAGGTTATTTTTTTTGCAACGTGGCACGGTGGGGTATTAGCATGAAAAAGGTGATCGAAATTCGAAAAAGCAAATATGTTTAAAATTTCCCAAAAAAAGATAAATGATAAGTTAAATCATCTCTGCCATGAATGGCGTGGCTATGGGTGTGTTTAGTTGCATTCATTTGATTCAACGAAACGTCAAAGTTGTTACTTCTCACAGATAAGAGGTAAATGGCTAAATTTTATGTTTAAAATTATAAATTGTTGTTCTTGAGCTCTTTTTACGTTTATATTATTGTTTTGATTGAAAATGGCTCAGCAAGCTGCAGGTATGTATTCTACAAAAACGTATTATTTATTTTGATATTCTCTATACTAACGATTTTTTTGCAACTAAAAGTTAGGCGTTCAGAAAATTTGATTAAATTTGTGACATTTTTATTATACTTAGAGATTTAGCATGTTTGTGGAGGTGTGCTGGTTCGCCGGTGCGCACATTAGGTCGGACCAGTACGACCAGGCATAAATATTGCCGGTCATATTTGTCCCTGACCGACACGACCTGTTTTGACGGTCGTGGCTTGTGGCGGTACGTGCTGGTACTGGTCTAGTGTGCTCTACTCTATTAAATAACACGGTCACCTTCATCGGTAGATTTTACTGGTCTGGTCCGTGCCGGTCCGTGTAGGTATAGTGTGCGCGATCTTTTAATCGGCACTGAGTAAACCAAAGCTTTCAAGTGGCCCCAGAAGTAGAAATCTAGTGGATTATTTCGTTTTTTAAAGCAATAAGATGTTTTAAAAGTATGGGCATTGCTCGCGGATCAATCGTAGCATTAGTAGTAGTAGTTGCGATATTACTACTGGCACTGACCGTGGAAACACTGGAACAGTGATTTTTCTTTCTTTTTTTAGAATCGACGAATTATCCTTTATTTTGTTCATATTATTTCCTCTTTAATTGAAAATAGCAATAATTTATATAAGGTCTACATAAAAAAATTTCAACAAGAGTACCTTTTTTGTAGGAAAAAGTATGTAGTTTTCAAAAAATGAACCCACGTGCAAAAAAATAACCTCAAAAAAGTTATTCATGAAACAACCTCCCACCCTTGCAAAAACTACCCTTTCCGCTTTTCCAAATAATTTTTCAGTATCACCATTTAATTTAGGGTCAAAATTTATGGCAGAGTATTTTTTTTCGAAATTTTATCTCCTTTTCTAAGCCTGCAATTTCAAAACAACCGTTTTTTAAATTGACCCTTTCAGTGCCCCTAACTCCCTTAATATGCATTTTCCGCCCTATACTTATAGGAACTTTTTTTACTATTTTTAGGAGTACTATGATTTTTTTACACCATTTCAATGACACCCTGTATAATTCATATATACCGGGTGCGTCGCAAAAGTGGCTCACTCCCTATAACTTTTTTATTTTTTCAGATAACAAAACGAGATTTGGTATGTTAGTATATGACATAAATTAGGATTGATTTGACGTATTCAATTGTTTTTGGTCGCTTCCTGTTTTACCGGAAATGACTACAACTTATGATTTTTAAAGGGCACCCTCGGTATTTTTTTACTTTATTCGATAGAAAATGTCACTCTGAATAGAATGATATGTCAACTTTTGACATTTTCGCTTTAAAAAAATTCGTATTTTAAATTTTAATCTAGAGTGCCATGGCTGTGTTAAAAACACTAATTTTTAATCATGAAGCCTTGAAAAAATAGATTTGATCGTTTAGTGTTTTTCGTGTCTTGCCCTGGCCAGTTAAGAGATGCCCAAATATTATTTTTAATCATATCTCAATTTTTTTCAAATGGAACGAGGGTGGCTCATTAGCATATTCGCAAAAAGCATTTTTAGCCGATCATACCAACAGGTATGGTAGGCTATTAAGATCGGTAAAAAAAAGTTTTTTTAATTTCACTCAAAGTGAGTTATTTGGGTCATAAATGACCTAAATACAAAATATTTTCGTGGTGTCTGTCTGTCTGTCCGTCTGTAACATGATAACTCAAAAACCGCTAAACCGATTTTAACCAAATTTGGCACAAAAATACTGTGGCACCCGAGAATCTGGCCATTAGTTTTTGGTGGGGGTGTGGGGTTGGTAAGGGGGTATGGGAGGGGGTTAAAAATTTTAAAAAACTTCAAAATTACAGTAGCTTAAGCGTTTAAGTGTGATAAACCTTAATCAAATTTACCTTTATTTCAATCGTAGAATCCAAAAATGGCATAATATACAGGGTGTTCCATTTAAAAAAATACAACTATAATATTTTTTACTTATTTGGGACACTCTGTATCTTTTAAAAATAATTTTAAATTGTACCTCTAATAGTCTTTCAACGAACCCAAAACTTAAAATTTGTAAAAATCTAATCGTTTAGCTAGAATACTCCGTGTCGTATGTGGTGAACAACCCTGTATAATTGTCGTTATAAACCGCATGTTACAATCTCAAATAAACCATATGCGAAAATGTCAAAAGTTGGCATATGATATGTCATTCTATTCAGAGTGTCATTTTCTATCGAATAAATAAATAAAAAAGTAAACAATACCGAGGGTGACATTTAAAAATCAAAAGTTATAGTCATTTCCGGTGAAACAGGAAGTGACAAGAACAATCGAATACGTCAATCAATCCTAATTTATGTCATATACCAACATAACAAATCTCGTTTTTTTATCTGAAAAAATAAAAAAGTTATAGGGGGTGAGCCACTTTTGAGACGTAGGTACCCGGTATTTCGTATATCTATTTACCCAATAAACACAGTTTCTGTTTATCCTGTAGTCAAAGTCTAAAGAATTTGCTAGAGAAAGATACGAATCTGTGATGAAGTTGCTCGTGCGAAGATACGTAACTGCGGAGCAGAGAAAGAGGGATGTCTTTGGTATTACCGCTGACGATGTCATGGAAATAAGACAGGATATATCTTCTTTACGTTACGAACTCATAGATATTTTGAGAAAAAATGGAATGCAGACGCCAACAATCAGTTTAGAAGAGACACAAAGTAAGCCAATCTTTATTTACACCTCAGAGTTAGTTATTAGCTTATTCAACGCTAATAACTAACTAAGAAGATGCGCAACCTTATAGGCAATTTGAAATAACAAACTATCGAGAAAGGATGTACCTGGATGATAGGATGATTTTTAAATTTCTTGCTATTTTAAAATATTCCACAAGATGTTTCAAACTTTCACCAAAATAACATATTGTTTTCCCTCGTATAATTGACAGATTGGAACTTACATTTTTAATTTAGAGAGAGATACTAATTAAATTACTAATTATTTAATAATTTCGCTTGTGAATTTTTCTAAAATATAATTTTACCGTCAGATTTTGTTTTTTGATTCATGTCAATACATCCTTTGGTTAATTTGTAAGAACGAAATGAACTGATCACGATCAATTTGCAATTTTTTCAATTATTATTATTTTTTGATGTAATTTTTTAATATGACGAGATGGTTTTGGTGACTATTGTCGTCTATAATGTCATATTATTGGGTACTTTATACTAAGCATGAGAAAAAACAATATGCCGATATGTCAGCATGAGAAAAAAAATATGCCGATATTATTATATAACTTGGTAATATTTGAGGGGTAGTTTCATCTCTTTGGAATTTGACTTTCGAAAAATCCGTTTGCCAAAAATAAGCTTTTTACGTCAAGCAGTTTAAGCAGAATCGTGGTTAAGAAATTACCCAACTTTCTGGAACACCCTGTATGATTTTTTAAAATATTTCAAAATATGTAAAAAAACCTAATAAATTATGCTTGTCCAAGCGTTTTCCGAAAGACTAACCGTTTTTTAAATAACAAATATTGTAATATTTGAGGGGCGTTTACACCCCCTTGGAATTTGAGATTCGAGAAACCCCTCCTTATCGAACCTCTACACCCCACAGTCAATCCGTTTGCCAAAAATCAGCTTTAAACGTCAAGCAGTTTAAGCAGAATCGTGATTACTCAATAGTCATATTTTATGAAACACCCCGTATAAATTTATAAAAAATCTTAAAATAGGTAAAACAACAAAATAAAATATACGTGTTTAAGAGTTTTTCCGAAAAACTCACCGGTTTTTAAATAAAAAATATTTTAATATTTGAAGGATATATAGTTTCACCCCCTTAGAATTCAAGTTTCGAAAAATCCCTTCTTATCGAACCTCTACGCCCTAAAGTCAATCTGTTTTCCAAAAATCAGCTTTTTACGTCAAGCGTTTTAAGCAGGATCGTGATTAATCAATAACCAGATTTTTCTAAGCACCCTGTATACACCCAAGTAGCATTTTCACGACTTGCGACCACATGTTTACTAAACACAACGTTGGATTAGTTACAAAAAATAGTTAGCTCCCTACCTTGGGTATTAAAATAAATTTAAACGTTTTTATAACGTTGTGCCGACGTTGGACTAGTACTACAGCAAAGTAGAAGCTTCTGCGACGTCGAATAAACGTTGTCTTGTAACCTTTTTTGCTTAAGTGATCTTTAGGTGATTCGGACAACGTAGTTACAACGTTGGACAATATTGAGTTTTCCGACGTCAGTTTCAGGACCTATTCCAACGTTATGCAAACGTCGTCTGTTTTACTAATTCCAACGTTGTTTATATTTCCTTATTCTTACGTTGGTAGGACGTCGAGTCACAAACTTTTTGCAACTGTATTGAACCATAACCTTAAATCTTAAATTTTCACTTCATTGTTCTGTTCAGTCAGACAGTTCAGTGCTGTTTTTGTTTTTATAAAAAAATTTAATTAAAATGGGACATAAGAAAGGTACATATAAAACTAAATTTAAATATACATCGACAAATATTACCGATAGTTTATCCACTCCCTCGTTTATTTAGATTATAGAGGGCGGCACAAGCTAGACTCTAGGATGACTAAATTAGGCAATCTTGCGACTAGTATACTACCTGTTAAGGCCGAACTGCGACTTTATTAGTCCAGTATGCGACTACTCGCACTACTCCATCTTAATCTCCAAAATAACAAAGTGAAAGCCGCCATGTTGTTAAATAAGAAAATGTTTCGTTCCTAAAATAGCAATTCCTGCTTTTGAATACATTAACTTGAAATATTTGACCCTAAAAAACACGCGGAAACAATTTTTTCGACTGCGAATAAATTATTCTCATTTTCCTAAAAAAAAAATCAAGAAAATTTTTAAAACTTCTTTAATTTTAAGGCCCATTAGTATTTTTCAAAGTAGAAACAATACATTTATCAATAAAGTTGTTTGCGTTTAACTTTTTTGCCTTGGGTAACGAGTTACAGAGTCGGTTAAAGTGTTTAAATAATTATGATCTTCAAACATCCTCCACACTTAAATACTTTTGTTTTGTTTTCCTTCACTGCCATCTGACTTATGTCTCTAACTAAATCATAAAAATAATATTTTTACTATAATTATCCCAATTTAGGATAAAACGCGACTTAGACGCCATATTAGTTTTGTATTTCTATGAATTAGGATTTTAAACAACGTTGCAGTTTGTACTAAATTAGGCTTCTAGCCAACGTCGGTATCCAACGTCGTTTCGACCCAAAAATTATTCTCCAAACTAGTGCAGACTAGGGTTGGCACGAGGTTGTGCCGACGTTGCGCCCCGACGTTAATTCGCGTGTTACAACGTTGTCCCGACGTCCAAATGCTGCTTGGGCATTTTTAAAAAATCTTAAAATATGTAAAAAAACAAAATAAAATATACGTGTTTAAGCGTTTTTTCGGAAACTTGACCGTTTTTTAAATAAAAAATATTGTAATATTTGAGGGGTGGTTTCACCCAAGGTTTCATCCTCTTGGAACTGGAATTTCGAAAAATCCCTTCTTATCGAACCTCTACACCCTAGAATCAAGCTGTATGCCAAAATTGAGCTTCTTACGTTGAGTGGTTTGAGCAGGATCATGATTAATCAGTATGTCAGTCACTTAAGGATTTTATATCGTCCTATTGCTGCCAAAAGTCACTAACTAACATTTTTCCGAACAACCAGATTCAATCACTATGTTTTGAAGCGGAGAATCGATTGTAAAAGTCATTAACTACGATTTCTGGCTATTTATGTTTTATTTTAATACCGAATAGTTACTAATTATAACATCTTTATGCAATGCAATTCATCTTTAGACGCATTTTTCTCGGAAGTAATAAAAAGTAAGTTAGTGACTTTTGGCAGCAATGGGACGATATATTAGTAGAGATTGTTAAAAAAAATAATAAAAATAGGACTAAAAATAACACTTTAAATTTGACCAAAGATTTCTCCGTTGCCTTTTTTTGCACCTGAGTGTACATAAAAATCCGTCCATTTTTCGTACAGTATTTTTTTGATATTTTTATGTAGGCAATATGATTACTGATGTATTAATTCTAAATCTGTTATATTTTCAGTATCTGGCAAAAAGGGAAAAGCCATGGAACGTCGTATCCTCAATGACTTCCACATAGGAATTAAAGAAGGCCTGGTCAACGAAATCCAGATGAACCTGAAAGAACCGAAAAACGTGTTTTCCGAAATAGCGAGGGCGCTGAAGAAGCGAAGCAGCATGAAGTCCAGCAAGAAAAATTGGAACGAACTGGTGAAGAAGAACAAGAGCAATCCAATTGGTTCTGCGCAAGAAGCTGAACAGCTGAGGCAAAGGAGACAGAGTTTGAGACAGTACATCATGTCTACGGCTAATAAAGTTGGACCTGTTGAAGATGATCATAAATTAATAGGTGAATATAGTATATTTTACATCACAAAATGAATATGGTATTTTAAAAATTATTTTTTCTCACATGTTCCAATATCTGTTTTTCATACTAAGCAACCTTTCCAAATAGCTTTATCTAGAATATATAATATGTTAAAAATCTTATTATGCAATTAAATATTTTTAAATTGATTGGGTATATACAGGGTGCTACATTGGTAACTCGGTAGCAGTAATAGATACGAACATAGTTAAATTGGGGCAAAGTTGCGCTTTGGGATGTTCACCAATATGCCATCAAAAAAGTTTTAAAAATTTCAAGGATTGCTGAGTTTTTTGGGAAAAACGGATATTTTTGAAAATCAATTTTATTTTTTCCTGTCGATACTTTTTAGAAAATCAAAGAACTAATTGCACATTCTCATAGCCACTTTGTTAGGGCTATCTGATAGTATTTTTAGATTTTCAAATTAGCTGATAATTTGTGAGATACAGGGGCCAACTTAATTTTTTTAAATACGGACCTGTATTTTTTATTTCAGATTTTGAAAGAATACGCTCTCCTGAGTACAATGATATGCCACACTTAATTTTTTTTTGTTTTGAAAATTTGGACACAATTTATTTAAACTAATTTCAAGTCCGGCTCTGTTTTTTTTCTAATATTTAATATATTCATCGTTACAATATTGATAAGCTTTCAAACTTAACAGTGACGTGGGTTGAATACGGAAAATCAAATGCAATAAAATAATAAAAAATAATATACATAAAATGTAATATAAACAATCAAATCATTTCCCCGGAAGATGGATTGGAAATGGTAGAGCAGTATAATGGCCAGCGAGGTATCTGGACCGTCTGATGACGTCAAGTAATTCGACAGGTCCAAATTTTACAAAAACCCTAATGAACCCTTTCGAACATGTAGTAAGGTATTAGAAACTAGTTTGTAGAAGTTAATTTATTCATAATAACTACTTAATATTGTGCAAATTATTAAATCGTATACTGAGAATTTCAAATTCACAATAAGAAAAGTTAAAAATAATATCTTTAAATTGCTGATCTGGATATTATTTTTTTGAATCTTTCAATTGGCTCAATTTTCCTTATTCAATGTTAATTAGCACTGATCAATATTGTTGCGATGAATATAATAAAATTAAATAATTTAAAAAACAGAATCGGACTTGAAATTTTTTTAAATAATAATTAAATAGTTTTGTTGCTGTTAAGGTACCCAAAACAAAAAAAAGGTATAAAGTGTGGCATATAACTGCACTCAGGAGACTGAGTTCTTTCAAAATCTGAAATAAAAAATGCAGGTCCGTATTTAAAAAAATTAAGTTGGCCTCTGTATCTCACAAATTATCAGCTATTTTGAAAATCTAAAAATACTATCAGATAGCCCTAATCAAGTGGCTATGAAAATGTGTAATTAGTTTTTTGATTTTCTAAAATGTAACGACAGGAAAAAATAAAATTAGTTGTCAAAAAAATCCGTTTTTTCCAAAAAACTCAGCAATCCTTGAAATTTTTAAAACTTTTTTGGTGGCATCTTGGTGAACAGTCCAAGGCGCAACTTTGCCCCAATTTAACCATCTTCGTATCTATTACGGTCTCCGAGATACCAATGCTCGTACCTCGAATTTGTAGCACCCTGTATATCTATAAAAAATCTCAATTTTAATTTTAGAATACAATCCAAAATTAGGAGCTTTGCCTAAAGGTGCCAGGTTAGCCTATGTCAAATTTATGTCGAAGAAAATAGAAGAAGAAATTAAAAATGAAGAGCTTACATCAGAAGAAGATAAATCAAAAGGTAATCTAAAAACGTAATTTTAAACTGTGTATTACGTATAAGACAACGGCTTGTTGCCAAATTAAAAATATCTATTGAATAAACAAATAAAGGAGCGTATATTTTTAAACCGTATTAAAATATAAAATAGGGTAAACTACATAATATTACTGGTTTTGTTTTACGTTGCGTCAATAAATGTTGTTAGTTATTAAATTTGATAAACAAATACACCATGGACACAGGGCACAGAATAAATTTTAATAACGCCAAAATTATAATGAAAGAAGCGATAGGTAGCCTCTGAAACCAAATACCGTGTGAATGCGATAAATTTTACATTGGTGAAGCATCTAGACCCTTAAATGTTCGAATTAAAGAACATAAAGATTATTCAAGAAGCGGAGATTTTCACAAATCTAAGATTTGTCAGCATTCATGGGACACAGGGCACAGAATAAAGTTTAATAACGCCAAAATTATAATGAAAGAAGCGATAGCCTCTAAAAGAAAAATAAAAGAGGCTTTTTTAATACAATCTAATTAAAATAAATGTATTAGCATCTGTAGATGTTAGTAATGTATGGCAATCGCTTCTTTGATTTTAAAGAACATACCATAAATTAGGACGTTATCTAACGTCGGGTATACGTCGCGTTCAATAAACCCGACGTCGGTTACCAACGTCGGTTCGACCGCCTGACGACCCTTATTTGCACCTAAATGGGGAATACAGATTCGGGTCGCCTCGACGTCGGTATCTGACCTAATAGGGAATGTAATTCTACCAATTCTACCAAACCAACGTCATATTACGTTGGATTTTAGTCACTTAAAATTCGTCGCTAAGCACTTACGTTACGTTTGGTTTCATATTCGCTACCAAGAATACATAAAAACCTAACCAAACTACCTAATTACAAATGGATTCATAATCACTCCTCGAATATAACTATAAGTGCCTATTTAATTTCATATTATAATAATTCTGAATCATTAATCCAGACATCGGTTTTGTCAACGGAAGTCACTTTCTTGATATATCTGATTAAAATACTCCGGAAAACAACGAGCGCCTTCAAAATTAGGTAGATTTATGAAATAAAAATGTCTATAAAAAAGTAACTCGCAAAATATTTTTTAATTTTCTAGCTGGTTTAATCATAAAACTGTACTGTGGTTCCCCCCAAACTCAACCTTATCAATATTATTCTACTAGAAATCGAAATGTGAATATAAATTTTAAAACAAAAACGATTTTAAAATGGCTGACAATCGGATACGTGTTACGAATGGCGGATTTCTGTGTCCATTAGTCGTCTCACACGACCGAAGTCATCAAACCGGACGACCGGCAATCGTATTATGACGTATATAATTCCAACGTACGCCACGTAACCTCACTTTGCGTTTTGCGTATCAATGATTTGTGGATTTGTGCAACTATATTTTAGTTTTTGTTTTCTCGTTAAAAAAAATGGGCAGCCCAAAGACGTTTAAAATAAAGTATACGGAGGGTACCGCTTAAATTCCTGTCCCGATATTGAAGGATGGCTATAGAATTTCAATGCATTTCCTACATAAGTCTATCCTTGGTTTGTAGGAGGTTTGACTAAACAAGGATGAACCTATGTCTTGAACATTCGACTCGATTTTTTGTCCTCCTTCAATACTGGGACGTAAATCCTCTCATTGCTCTTATGGGAAGGCCGTCGTATATTTTATTTAAACGTATTTGGGGCAGCCACTTTTTTAAGCCTAACCTCACATGTCGGAGGAGGATGGGGCCTGCTGGTATCCTAAGCTAAAAAATGAAATTAAGATGCACCAGTGTAATGCAGCATCTCTTCCGGATAAAAAGCATTTACGGGTGGAGGCAAGACATCACTACTACTATTATTATTTTGCAAAAGCCTCGACTTCTTTCTGTAAAATGTAGATGAATGTCTAAATGCCTTTTTAATGTTTTTTTAGGCATAATAAGAAATTTAAATTTGTTTACAAAAACTTTTTATTAGGTTATGTTCATGATGTTCATTGGGTCGCAAATGCTACTTAATGGGTTGTATTTACGGACATAAATAGAGATACTAGGTTATAAATATTAGGTTATAAATATGAACATAAAATACAACAAAATATAATTGGACGTTAGTTTAGGGATTATCAGTGAGACGTATCCTATTCGGACAACGGGTAGACGTCGGGCTAGTTCAAGTATAGGTACGTCGTGCAAGCCAACGTGGGAACGACGTTGGGAAATTAATAAAAATGGTACGTTGTTATTTTGTACGTCGACAGATCGTTGGATTTACCGACTCGGATCCAACGACGTCGCTTTTAATAGGAAAGCGACGTCACAGGTCGTATCACGAGCACCCGACCTAAATTTGCACAAAGTCTGACGTCGCTTCAGGTCAGATTTAATTCGAAGTCAGATAGATGCTACTTGGGAACATACGTAAAAATTAAAAATAATCATACAGAAAGTTTGGGGCTTTTTGGTTTTACCTTATTAAGTAATTGTTATCAGGTAGTAATTGTTAATTTTGAACTTTAACTTGATATAATGTGATTTTAACAGAACGTCAACGGTTTTTGTAGACGTATCTGTTTTAAAAAACTAAAGTGTTCTCGAATAGTCCAATTTAAATATTTTAAATAGTTTTTTTCTTTATTCTTTGTATTTTTTTTGCTTCCGACGACGGAAAGAGATAAACTTTCCGAAACGTTAAGCATTTTTTTGTTCGTTAGGCAAATTTGTATGTCTGTAAACCCAACTTCTGACAAGTAGTTTCTATTTGGGATTAAGGCAGAAGTGTTTAGAAAAAAATAACTATTTTGTTTTGTAGATTTTCTTGCAGTGGCGAAATACCCATATAGGATTTTTTGCAGAATTTTAGTGAAGTAGTAAAATACGATAATTCAAGAATAAAGATATAATTAACTTTAAACGAATTTCATAAATGATGTAAAATATATGTAATTATTTACTAGTGAAAAATGGTAACGTTTTTCATATTTTTGTGTCTGCGACCGCCTGCATACTGCACGAGTAACTATTTTTGCAGCATCATCCACACTTCACATAAAACCAATTATGAAATAAAGAAGAAATAATAAAAATAAACACAGAAAAGAACAACACGCATAATTGAAATTCAAAATTACTAAGAAAACAAGAACATTTTATCGGCTTACCATATCTTCGTTCGCGATTCACATCACTAATACCGGAAAAATAATATTCTCTCGCTATTTTTAGTTGTAATAAATGCAACTTTAAAGAAAAATCCATTCGCAATAGGATATTATTCTGGATTTATTTATAGGATCCACTTCCGTTATGCCTAAACGGATTAGTATCAGCAGCAAGAGCGCCGCGAGTTTGAAAAAAGCTCCCAAGCCGCCATCTCCAGGCGAAAATACCGCATCTGAGGTAAGTATACTAAGAATTTTTTGAAGAGGCACCTCAGGGAATTAAGTAATCTAGAAGAAATTTCTCATTAATCTGGCAAGATCCAGCCCGGAAACAATTTTTTTGAACAAGGGTAAGAACTTGATTTGTAGCGTCTACTCTCTCCATAGTTTGAAACAAACTACTTAAAACTATATAACAAAAATTATAACATATACCGGGTGCGTCTCAAAAGTGGTTCACCCCTATAAAATTTTTATTTTTTTAGTTAAAAAAACGAAATTTGGTATGTTAGTATATGACATAAATTAGGATTGGTTGACGGTATTCAATTGTTTTCGGGAAATGACTACAACTTTTGATTTTTAAATGGCACCCGGTATTTTTTTACTTTATTCGATGGAAAATGTCACTCTGAATAGAATGACATATCATATGTCAACTTTTGACATTTTCGCATATAGTTTATTAGAAATTAAAATTTGCGGTTCGTAACGAAAATGTTACTTCAAATACCAAGTGTGTGGCGAATAATAAAAAAAATACCAAGGGTGCCATTTAAAAATCAAAAGTTGTAATCATTTCCGGTGAAACCGGAAGTGACCAAAAACAATTGAATACCATCAATCAATCCTAATTTATGTCATATACTAACATATCAAATCTCGTTTATTTATCTGAAAAAATAAAAAAGTTATACACCCGGTATATTATATTATTATATATTATAGTTTATTTTATATCATTAATTTTCATTTTATTTAATATACCTATTGATGTCGCACAAATAATATTGCTCTGTTTGCTTATGTTCCTATGTTTGTTTATTTTTTTTTTGGAGTTTAACAGTAAAACTAAGTAACATATAAAAAAAAAGAAAATATAACTTTGACATAAGTATCTGTACAGAAAAAATAAACTATATATAGTTTCTTGACTAGTTCAAAGACACAAATTCGAGTTGCATTTTCAAACTCGAATTAAATAAATATTTACTATCCATATATTTTCATATGAAAGTCTTGATAAACTTAATAAATTTTCTCGGTTATTTTACGGTCGAAGGTAAAATTATATTTATAAACCTATACACGATATTGTATACAGTCGGTTTTTGAATTTTATGGAATTTTTAAAGGTCAATTTTATAATTCCCTTTCCTATTTTTTAAAAAAATTGTTTTGATTGTTTAAAAATTAAGGATTTCAAGCTCTAAGTAATGTTTTATAAAAAAAAACCGTTAAAGAAGGCTGGGGAAAGACAATCGATAATAATTTTGACGAGGTCAGTCTCTAGATGCAATTTAATAAAAATTGACATAAAACTTGCCAAAAATTAGCACTAATTATAGAAAGATTACAAAAGGATAGAGCGTTTCTACCACGAATCTATTTCCAGAAAAATATTTTTCTGAGATTTTTGCTCAATACAAAAATAAATTACAACCTACTTAAATGCCTCGCCAAAATTTATATCGATTGTCATTAACCAGCCGTCCTTGACGCCGTTTTTTTTTCGATCGATAAATTTCGAATTTTTAAATTTTTTTTTTCGCGAAAAAAATCTCATAGGCGTGTTTCTGGGGTTGAACCACACTACCAGTTAAAATACTTGCACTTATTTCTGGGACACCCTGTATAAAGCACACGAACACAAAATACCAATCGCCTCTTCCTTTTTTCGAAGTTGTTTTCTATCATCATTTTGTATAAATTCTAATTTTATTTATCGTATAGTAAACTTTAGATAGCTTAAATTTTATCCAATAATTTCTTTTAGGAACCTAAGAGTACACCTGACTCATCTACTTCTACCACTCAACTACAAACTGAGAAAAAACCAGAAGGTATAAAGAAAAATTATACGTTTTAAATTGTTAATATCTGCTTGTCTTGTAATAGTAGTAAAACACTCAACTACAACTACCTCTGCTATAATACCTGATACTACATCAGTTGCTAAAGAAATTAAACCAGGTAAAACATGCAAATACTGCTATATTTGTAGTTCCTTTTTTATATTTTATAAATAACATTTAACATTTATAGATCCAACGTCTACTATATCTTCTTCTACATCATCTACAATAACTACTACTACAGTTTCAACTGAAAAAACGGATGCAATATGTAAAGGTAAATTATAAATTATAAATAATTATTTTTTAGATACTTTTATTATTAATTATTCATTCCTATTATTCATATATATTAAATATAATTTTAATATTAAGAAAATTAGTTTAAACACTGCTTTAAGCTTACCGGTAACTTTAAGCAAAACATATCTTGTAGATGTTCCGCCTGTTGCGTCTACAACACCAGCAACATCATCAGCTTCTACAGATCATTCTTCAAAAGAAAAAAAAGAGCCAGGTAAGAATAATGATTAAATTAATTTATTTTTTAACGTGCTATTTTTGTAAGGAAACGACAAATCGAAAAAAATGAAATAGTTATAGGAAAATTCTTATTGTATAAAAATTCGTATTTTTTTATTGAAATGGCCCAATTTTTTAACACATATTTGTTTACATTTTATTCATAATACATCTTTTCTTATTGCCTTTATTTTTTAGCAAAAACACCCAGTGAAGCAACTTCAAAATCATCTACAGTAGCAGATGTAGAACCTCCACCAGTTCCTAGTAAGCCTAAAAAGAAGCAACCCCAGTACGGATGGATTTGAAAAAGAAAACATATCTCCTTTTATTTAATTGGGAAACATTTTAAAAAAGAATTATTTGAATACCTATTATTATTTGTAATAAGTACGTACCTGCAAGAATATATTCCTATTAGAAAGTATCGTAGAACAGCAAATAAATGCCGTATTATCGAAAAAATAACGGCATCCAGTTGGCTTGGAAATGAACACCGATGATATTCCCCATCTGATACCGTTTTTTCGATCATACGGTATCTACATCTTAAGAATATTTTTTTCTAAAATAATTATAGATTTTGACTGTATATTAATTCTTTACAAATTAATTATACTAGTAGTAATTAAAAATAAAAAAAAAATCTTATAATATATTGTTTTATTTGGTTTTCTTAAAAAAAATAAATGATAAAAATGTTCCAATTAATGATTCCAATATTATAAAATAGTAATTTTATAATATTGGAATCAACTACAATAATACACTTACAATAATAATTTTACTTTGGATTGGGTAATAATTTATTACCCAATATTACCAGATTATGAATTATTTATTACTAATAAATAATTTATAATTCACTGAAAAGACAATCGAAGTTTATTTTATTCGATACTACTACCCATCTCTTAATTTGTGGCTAAAAATCTACATTTATTTTCAAAATCTATGGTTAGTCAGAAATGTCAGAAATGACAGTGACAGAGACAGAAATACCAAAAAGGTGGGGTTATGTGTAAAGTAAATAAATTTCTTTTATTTTAAAACAATGAAACCCAATTTTTTGATACTTAATTATTGTTTTATTTAATACTAAAAAGTGTGGAGTATGTCTACTTCAAGTGAAGATGTTTTGCTGCAAGTGCCCAATGTGAGATATAAGAAAGGAGATGGTACATTATTTCTTATGGACCAACGTTTGATATGGATGGTAGAAAACAGAGATACTGTTGCTGTTTCTCATCCATACGCTGATATTAAATGTAAATGTTCACAAACACTCTGTGCTATAAAGATTATACTTTTTCAATGAATAATTTCATTGATTTTTGACCTAACCAACAAAACAAATCATTGTCATTACTCTTTTAGCTCAAAAAATTTCACCTGAAGGCAAAGCAAAAGTTCAACTACAGGTTGTTCTTCACAGTGGAGTTTCTTCTACGTTTCATTTTACCAATAAAAATGGCATACAAACACAAATTGCTGACAGGGATCGTGTTAAGGAGATGTTACAGACTTTGTTGCCAAAGTTTAAAAGAAAGGTTGATAAGGAATTAGAAGAGAAAAATCGTTTACTATCAACGAACCCTACTCTTTTACAATTATACAAAGATCTGGTAATGACGGAAGTAGTTTCATCAGAAGAATTTTGGTCTCAACACGCTGTCAAATATACTCAGAAAAGGAAACAGCAACCTCAAGAAATAGGTTTGTTATAATATATTATTTTAAATGATAATTTTTAATTAGTTGTTTTTAAGGTGTATCGGGAGCTTTCTTAGCAGATATTAAGCCTCAAACTGACGGATGCAATGGCTTAAAGTACAATATTACAGCCGATATTATAGAGTGTATTTTTAAGACATATCCAGTTGTAAAGAAGAAATATATTGAAAATGTCCCATCAAAATTGACTGAGGCACAGTTTTGGACTAAGTTTTTTCAATCTCATTATTTTCACAGGTAATATATTAGTTACTTTTCAATTTATATTTTTCTATGACTAAAATTTATGATATCTTTCGAGTAAAATATTTTAAAATTTTTAGAGATCGAAAATATGCAGAGAGCAAAGATTTGTTTACAGATTGTGGAAAAATTGATGATCAAGAAATGAAAAAAGATATCCAAAATGGCGTGAAAGATCCATTAGTTAATTTGACAGAATTTGAAGATAAATCTTTAGATGAAGGATATGGAACAAACAGTGACAAACCATCGGGAAATGTGGGTACCGTTAGTCAGGCTATGATAAAGAGATTCAACCAACATTCGATTATGGTTAGTAATTAATGAATTAATGGCTTTATTTATTATTTTAAGTAACCAATTTACATTTGTGCACTAGAGTATATCTAATGTTACCTAACTGAGCTAACTAACACAGCAGTCTTTGTTAGTTAACAAAAATTTCGTTTTTATCCATTACAGACAGTATTTTTTTGTGTTGCATTATTTTTTTTTATATATTAATTATTATTAGCTTATTGTTAAAACTTAAATATGTAGTATAATTTTTATGTTAAATGTTAAAAAGCAAAATAAAACACTAAATCACCACAATACACCAAAACACTTTTACTTTTACACTGGACGCGCGTTTCGTTAACCATGTTAGCATCATCAGCAGATGATTATAAACTAAAGTACAATCTACAAGTTGAGCGTTTATATACTCGCTCAGTGGGCACCGAGTGGGCGTGACATGATCTAGCCAACCGAGTCAGAGCCCACTGAGCGTAACAGTTAGATTTTCGCCACTAGAGTAGCAGGAACAAAGAACTTCAAGGAATTGGACCGTTGTCTCTGTTCATACTATCTTTGCATTTATTAATTCTGATGCTTTCATATGCATCTAATTGCCTGTAATTTTTGACTTGTTTAATTAATTTTAAATTATTAAGATCTATACAATGTTCTTTATCAACAATATGTTCGGCAACGCAAGATTTATCTGGTCTACCATATCTTATCTGAGCTAAATGTTCTTTAAATCTAGTTAATATTGATCTTCTAGTTTGCCCAACATATTTCTGATTACAATCTTTACAAGAAATTTCATAAATACCCGACCTTTCCAGTGGAGGTGTTTTATCCTTTGGATTACCAAATAATTGTTGTAATTTATTATTAGCACTGTACACAAGTTTATAATTGACATTCTTAAAAATTCCTTTTAGACCACGGGGTAACTGTCTATCAGACGGTATTGAAAAATATTTTGACTTATCTTTCTCCACTTGAAAAGTCGAATTTTCAGAAATCATTAATCTATACCTACGTTTTCTAATTATTTTATCAACTAGTGAGGGAGAATATCCATTACACTCAGCTACATTCCTAATGTAATCTCTTTCTATTTCATATCTTTCGTTGGAAAGTGGAAAACTAAGTAATCTATGAACTAAGAAATTTAAACTAGCCATTTTTGTTCAACACTATGATATGATTCATTAGGAATATATCTGCGTGTAGTGGTATTTTTCCTATAGATATCAAATTCCAGGCAATTATTAGTATTTCTAATAACTAATACATCTAGAAATGGTAATCTGTCGTTGTTCTCAATTTCATGTGTAAATTTAATGGAAGGAAAACGATTATTTAACTTAGAAATAAAATTTTCTATGGTGTCTGAATGTGTGTCAAAAACAGGAAAAATATCCACATACCTAAACCATACCCGTGGAAAATACTCAAACTGATTCTTAGCCTCCACTTCAAACCTGCTCATGAATAAATTAGCCAAAAATGGAGACAATGGATTACCCATTGCTGTACCTTCCTGCTGTTCAAAAAAGTTGTTATTAAATGTTATATATTTATTTACAGCCTGTCTTGGTCTTTAATCTTACATTAATATATTGACATTAATGACGTTATTGACTACAATTTATCAGTGTGTTAAGTAGTGTTTGTAGGTTTTCTTATTTCTCTCTTTATTTTTAACCACCTTGTTTTAATAGGTACTAAAAGCTACTAAAAGTAAACCAGCAGCACAAGCAAACGAAAATCAAAAATCGGAAACCAGTAATGACACACAAGCTGAAGGCCATATTAACAAGAAACAGAAGATATTAGAGAAAATTACTTACGATGATTTAGAAAGCAACGAGAGTGAGCAAAATGGCGGCATACATTTGAGTTTGTCAAAAGTAAGTTTATTACAAGAATTAAGCTCCTTAAGAAATTTTAATATTTCTTTGTAGGTTGAAAGGTACCTACATGGTCCAATGCCGGACTCTGTAACTGAACATATCAATCAAAATCAGGCTGCCCATATTATGCGAAATGTGTTGCAAGAAACAAGACAGTGGCAGAGCAGACTTCACAATCCGAACCATGCACTGGTAACGCCATCCGCCGCGATTGTGGCTTTAGGGGAGTTGTCACCAGGGGGCGCTTTGATGAAGGGATTCCAGGAACAATCATTGGCACGTAAGTATCCGGGGATAGCCTGAAAAGTTTCCACTAAATATTTTTTTATGTTTCTATATTCACTACACTTTTTTCTATGATCCTGTCAACTTTCAATCCCTCCAAATAGCTATAAGCATTTTTGTCTGCAAAATAGTTGTTTACAAAGATGATGAAATCTTATTAAATATCTCTCATGGTATAGTCTAATATGTAAAAAATTAACTATTGTACTTTAAATCAAATTAAAACTTGGTCCAAAAAGTTATACAGCGCGAGACAAAATTAATATTGAACATTGTTCACCTTTAAAAGCATGTTACTCTTTTATTTTAAATAGACCACCCAGTATATTATTCCGATACTCAATAGAGAATTCATGTCTCTTTAAAATATTATTAAGGTTGCCTACCCCTCAAACAAAGATTTTCCTAGATATTTTCATTTACATAATTTGATCTGAGTAAATCTTTATTATTTGATAAAATCTAGGTGGCTGTCATATGTCTGACGTTACTTTAACATAGCTGTCTAATTAGTCCAACTTTAACAACTAGTTAACATTTTGTGTCAGCCAAAACACGAAAAAAATCTCTACAATCTTTAATGTTTGTTAAATTAACAAAATCAGCCACCTAGATTTTTTCAAATAATAAAGAACCACTGACGCAAAATCATAAAAATTAAAATATCCAAGAAAATCTTTGTCTGAGGGATAGGCAACCTTAATAATATTTTGAAGATATATAAATTCTCCATTGAACACCCGAATAATATACTGGGTGATCCATTTAAAATAAAGGAGTAACTTGCTTTTAAAAGTGATTAATGTTCCTATATTAATTTTGTCTCATCCTGTATAACTTTTCGGGTCAAATTTCAATTTGGTTTAATATACAATGGTTACTGTAATTAAATATCAGGCTATACAAGGTCAACTAAAATTTAGGTAGTTGTTATTGAAATTTAAAATTTACTCTTCATTTTCACAAAATGTGAAATATGTCAAAATCCTTAGATTTTAGGTATATGCTTCTTTAATAAAACTCACTTTTATTTATTTCCTAGAATCCGAAAATGAATTAATATATAGGGTGTTCCATTACAAAAAACATAACTTTGATATGTAACTTTTGGGGACACCCTGTAGAACTCTCTATATTTTTAAAAAAGTGCTCTGAATTAACCTACATATGCTCACAAAATGTCATTTCAATACAAACTGTCGTTCTCCTTGGAGCCTCCGCGGCGTATGAGAGGCGCCACCCTGTATAATATGAGGTTGAAACCTTTTCAGATTACCCTTATATCTACAAAGAAAATAATTGACCATTTTGGTTGAATATGTCTTAAATCAACCCTACATTTATTTTTTTACTTTATATAAATTATAATAAGACTTTTGTGTTGACGTATCTAAGAATAATGCCATATTTTAGTTCTTAATTTATTCTTTTTAGAACTAGTTCCTTCAGACATTGAACAAGAAGTCAGAAATTTATATTTAGCTCTCTGCGAGTTGCTGGGTCATTTTTGGAAATGTTTTCCCCCAAATCCTCAGTCAGACCAGAAAATTGTTAAAATGCACGAAGCACTGCAACGATTCCAATCTGCAAAACTTAAACCATTTGAGGTGGGTATAAAATTACAACTCTATTCATTATTCAAAAGGGATTAAGGACTGAGCCTAACACTATTTTTATACTCATACATTAGGTACCGCATTTGCTGTCCTCCATTCGCGAACTTCGAGTTCCGGGCTTTACGCCCTGGGGCTACTCGAGAACGGTTCTGAAAGGAGCTGTGCGCCGATAGCCTAGTGCCACCATATGGCGCGGAACAGTTCTGGGACTTTATGACTCAATTGAATGGAGTGAGAGTATCGCGTTCTTGAACAGTTCAGAGCTGCACAACTGCGTGAATGGAGGATAGCAATTGACGGGTAGTTTTTTCTGATATTTTACTTGACAGAATTGACTTTTATTTGTATTTTGAGTAAGTATTCAGGACAACAAAGCGGACAATTGCATTTGTCTTCCGTTTTCTTACCGAACCCACTGACCTGGTGAAATTTCCCGTTTCCTTATACCAATTCCAGGCATCCTGGACTGTTATTCGAAATATACCCAGGGTATCGGACGCATAACGTTGACTTCGGCCATCCTCAGTTAAAGCAACAATTGCTGTCCTCCTTTCACGCAGTTGAGCAGCTCTGAACTTTTCAAGAACGCGAGACTCTCACTCCATTCACTTGAGTCGTAAAGTTCCAGAACTGTTCCGCGCCATATGGAGGCACGAGGCTATCGCGCACAGCTCCTTTCAGAACCGTTCTCGAGTAGCCCCAGGGCGTAAAGCCCGGAACTCGAAGTTCGCGAATACGAGCAACATCCGTCACTGACTTTGAATAAGAAGACTAAGGAAGGAGCATAATGCTATCCATGTATTCATGCATGGTGGGCGGAAAAGCCACCATAAAAACTCTCTAGGGTGGGGATCCTTGACAGTTCTGTTTGACGATTCATTTGACACATTTGAATTTGATTTGAAATTTCGTGGATTTGTCAGTCTTTACGGAGCTTATTTTATGTTATTTATTATTTATTCTGCTACTGATAGTTGTATAAAGGTAGTAAATCTAGATGGAAATTGTGGCAGAACTTAAATTAACAGTGACACTATCGCGATTTATCGAAAAAGACTCTAAAATAGTTGGTTGTGTAGCGTGCGGTAGATCTCGGCAAAAATTGAGTGAAATAATGGAACAACTTTTCGCTAGTAAGTGAGTATATAAAAAAAAACCGATCATTTATGAAATTCACTTAAATTAACTAAATTATATATTTTTCTTGCATTTTAGCTTTTATTTATTACTTGTCAAAGAATTTAGATACGTTAATTTGACTTACCTGCTTCAGTAGCGTATCGGATGTTTGTGTTAATAAATACTTATTATAACTTATCTATTTTTATTAGAATTATATATTTTTATAACAATTTTAATAACTACCAACATTTATTCACAACGTAAAATAAAACAACAAATTATTGAGTCTACCCCACGTCTACCCTACATCATAGTTTTACATTTTTTAAATAAAATTAGAACGACACTGATAAACCGGAATTTAAGTCGGCCATATTTGAGGCCCATCGCGGTGAACCTAACATTTTTGATATGCTCCTTCCTTAGTCTTCTTATTCAAAGGTCACTGATAATGGCATTTTTTAATTTGACAACCGTTGTTGTCATATTGCAAATACTCAGAAATCCGTTTTCGCCTATGTCGCCTTTTGATTATTTACACATAAAACTTTCTGCCTGCGAAGCATTTTTCCGAGACTCGTTTTAAAGCAGCGTATCTCCAATACAAACAGAGATAATGTCGTGATTAAAAAAATAAAATGCTCACAAAAGATGAGGCTACAATGTGATTTGATTTAGTAATAGCTACTACAGCTGCTGCAGCCTACAGGGTGTTACAAAGTTCGGGCAAAAAACTTCGTCTTATTGTTGTGCCCTGTATATGCTCAAAATAAATTCGGAATAAAAATTTCTGACGTAGCATCCGTTAAGAAGGGATTAATTTAAAATTTAAAAAAAATCATCAAAATCTAACGAGTGGTTCGCGAGAAATCCAACTTTGAAATTGGGACTAGTTTTTAGTGGCCGGTTTTTTTGCCGGTGAGTTTATCTTTGAAATTACTTTTAGTTTTCTAATTAAATGATATTTTTGGGAAATTACAATGACAACTAGCGGCATCGCTACTGATTCATCTTTACTACGAAATTGTCGAAATCTGTAGGAATTACGCTGACATTGGACGTTTTCATTTGTTTTCATTCAACTTATATTTGACAGTTGTTGTGAGTTTTTGTAGCTTTTGAATAACTTTCTAATAATTATTACTATTCTAACTCGGAATTGACATTTCGACGGTATTTGCGTTTTTTTACCTTTACCCATGCTTACAGTAGCGTATCTAGATACTTTTAGTTATAAGTAGATTATTATAAAATACGTAAATTCTCTTATTTGTTGGCGCTTTTGATTGTGAAATTAGAGTTATAGTCTATAAAGCAAAATAAAAACACTAAATCACCACAATACACCAAAACACTTTTACTTTTACACTGGACGCGCGTTTCGCTAACCATGTTAGCATCATCAGCAGATGATTATAAACTAATAATAGTTTATAATCATCTGCTGATGATGCTAACATGGTTAGCGAAACGCGCGTCCAGTGTAAAAGTAAAAGTGTTTTGGTGTATTGTGGTGATTTAGTGTTTTTATTTTGCTGTGTAACACCAAAGGTTCCAACCCTCAACTGTAATATAGTCTATAAAATGAATAACTTTGAATTTTGACCGTTATTTTTTACCAACATGGCAAATATAAAATCGCTCTGTCAAAAAAGTTACTGATATTCTTTAAATTAAAATATTATTAGGTAATTTTAATATTTTTTTATTATTATTATTAGGTAACCCTTTTTACTTTCGTGAAATAGAAAAGGAAAATAATAAAACAAGTGACAGTTCTTCCTCTTGCAAAAATCAACACTATATGTCATAATTGTCAAAAGTAAAATGTCATCAGCTTTTGATATTTCAGAATATCAGACCAATGCCGTCTCTAGTAGAACAGCCTCGGAGCGAGATTTATGACGGCACGCTAGTTAGATACTACGGATTAATAAATATGTTGTAGAATACATGGAAAACATAATTATTCCTCGTATTTTTTGTTTGTATTTTAAAAATGATATAGTTTACATGAAATATACATAATATACAGTTAATAAATACAATATACCTATTTTAGGAATAAATACTTTGGCAAATAAACTATGAACCATACAAATGCAGCAAATGTTTTACAATATACAAATAATGAATAGGTATATAAGATAATGGGTAAAATGTAAAATATATTTTAAATTTAGGGGTTTGAAAATCGATCTTATTTTTACAAAAAATATTCAATATTTACTAATAATGATGTATTGTTATTAATGCTCGAAAAATTATATTTGCAAATAATACAATATCATAGAAAAAAGGCGTCAGCGATGGCTATGAAATAAAGATCGCTGTCATTTTATATGTAAAATTATTCTAAAGATTTTGATTTTCTTGGGATTTAGGTTCGGGAAAAACGCTGATCAAATTTTCATTTGGTTTTTCATTATTTTTATTTGGTTAAAAAAACGTTTCGACTAACATCATAGCCTTCATCAGTGTTGTGTCATATGAAAAAAATAGTGTCAAATATAATCCAAAAAATTACATATAAAATATTCACCCCACACACAACATAATGTTTACTGCAATTAATAAACTAATATAAACTTATCAAAAGATGACCACATATTTTTTAAAATTATTATTCTTAACACTAAAACTATCTACATTGACTATGGAATATGATTTCAGCCATACTGTAAAACATTTGCGGCATTTATATGGTTCATAGTTTATTTGCTAAAGTATTTATTACTATAAATAGGTATATATATTGTATTTATTAACTGTAAACTATATCATTTTTAAAATACAAACCATAAATACGAAAAATAATTATGTTTTCCATGTATTCTATAACATATTTACTAATCCGTAGTATCTAACTAGCGTGACGTCATAAATCTCGCTCCGAGGCTGTTCTATTAGAGACGGCATTGCGTCAGCATGGCCGCAAGTTGCTAACCTAATAAAATTATCACTAGAAAAGCCCGCGGGAACTGTCAAATTCAAAGTTATTCGTTTCACAGACTATACCCTTAGTTAGACCTCAAGCAAAACTAGTTATAATGGAAAATTAGTCTGAGGCAATCCCAATCAATTTTTGATAAAAAAAACATCACGCCACTGATAGACCCAATTGACAGAAAGAATAGACGAAACTCAACCGTGTTGTCATATATATTACCTATCTCTTTTTAACTCTCATGAAAGTGTCAAACCATGTATGATTCTAAAAAAATGAGTTTTATGAATGGAGCGTTTTCTCTGCTCATTTGGATGTCTTTGCTTTGTTGCACTTACTTAGTTTATTTTATGTTATTTTTTGTTTATTATAATTGGTTTTATGCAAAATTTATAAATTTGGAAGGTTATTTTGTCAGGACTTGAATTTCTGTGAGATTATCCTGAATACTAACACATTTTTATTTTTTTTACGTTTAAAAAATAGAACGTCATTGACAGACCGAAATTTCCGTCAGCCATATTAAAGTTCCTTCGCGGTTGTGCTAATTTTGTTGATATGTTCCTTCCTTAGTCTGTATATCTTTACTAACTACTTCTTCATATTTTAATTTTATTAATCTTTATTCTATTTCAGGACAAATTAATTAGAGAACTGACTCCACTGTCTCAATACTTAACGAAACATTTGAATCAGCTTCTAAACGCGGCATATCAAAAGTTCAACAATTGGCATAAAATTCGGGCCAATCTGCGAGCCTAATATATAGATATAGTTTTAGTTTTTGGAAATTGTAGCAATAATTATTGTACGTTTTTATTGAATCCGTTTTTGTGATACCGATCCTTTACTTTTGTATTTATTTGTGCCTTTTTAGTAACTTAAGTTAAATATATGTTTATATAAATTATTTTGAGTTTTTGACTTCCGATTTGGCGGTGTAATTGAAAAAATTGTGAGAGAAAAATAAGAACGAAACAAAAGTATACAGGGTGGCGCACCTCATTCGTCTGTTTTAAATATTTATTTTACATAAAAACTTCGTTATTTTTATGTATTTTTTTAAATAAGTCGAAGCAGATTTAAATGCTCTTTCAAACTATATTAGGGTTTCATATACCCCTTATATCCATGGTACAAAGAAAACAAGGTATGATCGATAGCGGCTCCAATTTCGTTAAGTTTGCGCATACCACCTGTGACGTCATACGCCATACAAAAAAATATCCATATTGTTCAATTGCCACTAATAAAAAAAGACCTAAAATAGGGAAGAATTAGGACATAACCCCAAAAGTTATGTTTTGACATCGATCTTGACATTTGAAAAATTATTTTCACATTTTGACACAATCAAATTTCACAGATGACACAATCTGTTTGCCAATTTGAAATTGGCGCACAGAGCTTGCCGACCAATGGTGCCGTTTATCACCTGTGACGTAGTGACCAACCTGCGCAATATCATACCTTGTATTCTTTGTATCACGCCTTATATCTATCTGGCCAGTATTTTGGAAATGACAATCGATGACATTTTCCATATAAATTTACAAATAAAATGACAGCGATATTCATTTCATAGCCATCGCCGACGTTTTTTTTTTCGATCATACGGTACATATATTTTAATCTCTTTTTTTAATTATTTAATTCTGATTTTATTTATAAAAGTACATATTATTAAGTATCGATATAAAAAGCTGCAACATTCCTACTTGGTTGTGTATGTTTAGTTGCCTAATAATACCAAACGGAAGGAAAATCAAAGTTTAAAGCTGGTTTAAAGTTTTTTCAATTTATTAAGAAAAAATACGTACAATATTAAACCTTAACTATAAATTTTGGAACACTTATGAGAACCTGGCTTAACATTATTATTATTTTCAAATTTTATAAAATAAATACATTGTTATTTTTATTTTATATTCTTTTTTATAAAAGAATTTTTGAAAAAAACAGGTCTCAATATTTCTTCCACAACATTTAAATTAAACAATAAATTAAGTTTTATAGATAAATACAGAAAGGTAAAAAATGTATATGTTACTAGTTTTGCAGCACATTACAAAATCAACAAGATAATACCGTATGATCGAATAAAAACGACGTCAGCGATGGCTATGAAATGAAGATCGCTGTCATTTTATATGTAAAATTATATGGGAAATGTCATCGATCGCCATTTCCAAGCCAACTGGATGCCGTTTTTTTTCGATCATACGGTATAATATATAATAATATTGTTACATTACAAAAAAATTTAATGTAATAATAATAATTGTTTTGGCTTGAAATAATCCTTTTTAATATGTAGAAAGTTGTATTAAATAATAATGAGGGGGGTGGGAGATATCGTACTTTTCAAAAATAATTAACAAACTATTACCAGTATATTTTATGCTATTACTTATTATTATTATTGACTCTCACCACTGAGTTGAATCCAAACAGAAACCAGCTTGTCAGTGGCTTTTTATTAGTAAAAAACTATGTAAATTTTAAAGTTAACTATTATTTGTTGTATTTTACAAAAAAAAAATACTTTTTATTTTTAAGGTTTCTTATTCAGTGGCGAAATATTTTGGATTTTTTTCAAGAAAGGAACCCGCTACAAAGGTTCATCATAATTAGTGATATTTAACATTATTATTAGGTACCTACTTGATTGTTTCAGTGCTGACCAAACTTGATAATATTTTACATTTTCCAAATTGCAATGAATTCTTATTTAATTTTCTGTTTTTATCTAACCATTTCTTATCACAAATTTTCACAATTCCTTTATGATTTCGTATTAATTAGTAATAATAGTCTGGAATTCTACCCCTACTCGTTACAAACTGTTCGCGATCCAACAAAGGACTTCTATATTCTATGTCTATGTAGTCGTCTGAGTAGTCGTCTGATCTTCGGTATCTCGGGTCTGAGCGGACGTATCGAGGGTCTTCGTAGATGGTTATGTGTGGTTTCTGAGGCAAATGTATGGGTACCCTGTAGGGTTCTTCACGGTAATAGGGTAATGGTTGTGGATGGTGATGATAATGAGGTCTAAAATAGAAATATATAGTATACCTATAATAATAGTATACCTAATATATATGTTACAAAAACTTCAACTACTTCAAATAATAAAGGCATTTTAAAGCAAAATAAAAACACTAAATCACCACAATACACCAAAACACTTTTACTTTTACACTGGACGTGCATTTCGCTAACCATGTTAGCATCATCAGCAGATGATTATAAACTAAAGTACAATCTACAAGGTGAGCGTTTATATACTCGCTCAGTGGGCCCCGAGTGGGCGTGGCAAAATCTAGCCAACCGAGTAAGAGCCAACTGAGCGTAACAGTTAGATTTCCGCCACTAGAGTAGTAGGAACAAAGAACTTGAAGGAATTGGACCGTTGACCTGTTCATACTATCTTTACATTTATTAATTCTGATGCTTTCATATGCATCTAATTGCCTGTAATTTGAGACTTGTTTAATTAATTTTAAATTATTAAGATCTATACAATGTTCTTTATCAACAATATGTTCGGCAACGCAAGATTTATCCGGTCTACCATATCTTATCTGAGCTAAATGTTCTTTAAATCTAGTTAATATTGATCTTCTAGTTTGCCCAACATATTTCTGATTACAATATTTACAAGAAATTTCATAAAAACCCGACCTTTCCAGTGGAGGTGTTTTATCTTTTGGATTACCTAATAATTGTTGTAATTTATTATATATTAAGGCTAAGAATCAGTTTGAGTATTTTCCAAGAGTATGGTTTAGGTATGTGGATGATATTTTTGCTGTTTTTGATACACATTCAGACACCATAGATAATTTTATTTCTAAGTTAAATAATCGTTTTCCTTCCATTAAATTTACGCATGAAATTGAGAACAACGACAGATTACCATTTCTAGATATATTAGTTATTAGAAATACTAATAATTGCCTGAATTTGATATCTATAGGAAAAATACGACCACACGCAGATATATTCCTAATGAATCACATCATAGTGTTGAACATAAAATGGCTAGTTTAAATTTCTTAGTTCATAGATTATTTAGTTTCCCACTTTCCAACGAAAGATATGAAATAGAAAGAGATTACATTAGGAATGTAGCTGAGTATAATGGATATTCTCCTTCACGAGTTGATCAATTAATTAGAAAACGTAGGTATAGGTTAATGATTTCTGAAAATTCGACTTTTCAAGTGGAGAAAGATACGTCTGAATATTTTTCGATACCGTTTGATAGAGAGTTATCCCGTGGTCTAAAAGGAATTTTTAAGAATGTCAATTATAAACTTGTGTATAGTGCTAATAATAAATTACAACAATTATTAGGTAATCCAAAGAATAAAACACCTCCACTGGAAAGGTCGGGTATTTATGAAATTTCTTGTAAAGATTGTAATCAGAAATATGTTGAGGAAACTAGAAGATCAATATTAACTAGATTTAAAGAACATTTAGCTCAGATAAGATATGGTAGACCGGATAAATCTTCCGTTGTCGAACATATTGTTGATAAAGAACATTGTATAGGTCTTAATAATTTAAAATTAATTAAACAACTCTCAAATTACAGGCAATTAGATGCATATGAAAGCATCAGAATTAATAAATGTAAAGATAGTATGAACAGAGACAACGGTCCAATTCCTTCAAGTTCTTTGTTCCTACTACTCTAGTGGCGGAAATCTAACTGTTTTGCTCAGTGGGTTCTGACTCGGTTGGCTATATTTTGCCACGCCCACTCGGTGCCCACTGGGCGAGTATATAAACGCTCAACTTGTAGATTGTACTTTAGTTTATAATCATCTGCTGATGATGCTAACATGGTTAGCGAAACGCGCGTCCAGTGTAAAAGTAAAAGGCTTTTGGTGTATTGTGGTGATTTAGTGTTTTATTTTGCTTTTTAACATTTAACATAAAAATTATACTACATATTTTAGTTTTAACAATAAGCTAATAATAATTAATATATAAAAAAAAATAATGCAACACAAAAAAATACTGTCTGTAATGGATAAAAACAAAATTTTTGTTAACTAACAAAGACTGCTGTGTTAGTTAGCTCAGTTAGGTAACATTAGATATACTCTAGTGCACAAATGTAAATTGGGTACTTAAAATAATAAATAAAGCCATTAATTCATTAATTACTAACAGGCAATTAGATGCATATGAAAGCATCAGAATTAATAAATGTAAAGATAGTATGAACAGAGTCAACGGTCCAATTCCTTCAAGTTCTTTGTTCCTGCTACTCTAGTGGCGGAAATCTAACTGTTACGCTCAGTTAGCTCTTACTCGGTTGGCTAGATTTTGCCACGCCCACTCGGGGCCCACTGAGCGAGTATATAAACGCTCACCTTGTAGATTGTACTTTAGTTTATAATCATCTGCTGATGATGCTAACATGGTTAGCGAAACGCGCGTCCAGTGTAAAAGTAAAAGTGTTTTGGTGTATTGTGGTGATTTAGTGTTTTTATTTTGCTGTGTAACACCAAAGGTTCCAACCCTCAAATGTAAAGGCATTTTGAAAAAGCAATTAAAATATAAAAAAACGCTGCTAAGACTATCAAAATGTTGATCTAATAACAATTTGACGTTTATACTATTACGTCAAAAGCAAATTTTTTCCAAAGCCCACCATGACTTCACTGAATCATCGTTTCTTTTTCACTGTTATTAATATCTTAATTATTATATATTAATACATCTGGTATATTATGGTATTCTGGTATTTCGTCGATTTTAAAATGAACTAACTGTTTCTATCTTATTTTTTTGTTAGAATGGGCATAATCAAGAGGGCTACTGATACTGTGTTGGAAAAATAAGGTAATTAAGGGCATATTTTTTGGTATTTATTATAATTTTGCTAATATCTTCGGTTTGAAAGAAGATATCAAGATGCGGTTTTCGCTGACTTTTTAAGCTTTTACTACTCTTTACTATCAGCTAAAATTACATATACTATCGTACTTAACTTTTTTGAAAAAAACGCGTTATGTTTGTTAAATTGTAAGAAAGCGCCCCCTAGCGTCTACGTTCAAAACCTTATTATTATGATTTTTATGGTATAATATAGAGTAAGAAATGCCCTTTTAAACGAACCTTTGTTTATTGGATTCTGATCATCCAGTCCGGAGTTATTAACATTTAAATAAAGATAGATCTAACCTTCCCCCACCACTTTATTTTAGCAGATAGGGGAAAATGGTTCTAACAAAAAAAAATCCAACATTTACTGAAGATTATGAAGCTATTATTTATAGTACCCATTATCTGGGCAAAATTCTGTAAAAATTCAATTTTCTTATTTTTCATAGCAGTTGCGCCCCCTAGAGCTATTCTTAGTGTGACACCCGGTACAATGCCAAAAAAATGTACAATAATCTGCCTTTGAATATCAAGTCGCTTTCATTCTTTCCCGCATTTCGCAAAGCTCTGAAATCATGCTTACTGGAGAGAGCCCTATATGCAGTAAACGACTTTTCTGTTGATGTTTAATCATGAACAATTTTGAATTTTAAAATATTGATCATCTCACACACTGGTCAAAAGTCGAGTATTTAATATTTCCCGCATTTCGCAAAGCTCTGAAATCATGCTTACTGGAGAGAGCCCTATATGCGGTAAACGACTTTTTTGTTGATGTTTAATCATGAACAATTTTGAATTTTAAAACATTGATCATCTCACACACTGGTCAAAAGTCGAGTATTTAATATTTCCCGCATTTCGCAAAGCTCTGAAATCATGCTTACTGGAGAGAGCCCTATATGCGGTAAACGACTTTTTTGTTGATGTTGAATCATGAACAATTTTGAATTTTAAAACATTGATCATCTCACACACTGGTCAAAAGTCGAGTATTTAATATTTCCCGCATTTCGCAAAGCTCTGAAATCATGCTTACTGGAGAGAGCCCTATATGCGGTAAACGACTTTTTGTTGATGTTTAATCATGAACAATTTTGAATTTTAAAACATTGATCATCTCACACACTGGTCAAAAGTCGAGTATTTAATATTTCCCGCATTTCGCAAAGCTCTGAAATCATGCTTACTGGAGAGAGCCCTATATGCGGTAAACGACTTTTTTGTTGATGTTGAATCATGAACAATTTTGAATTTTTAAAACATTGATCATCTCACACACTGGTCAAAGTCGAGTATTTAATATTTCCCGCATTTCGCAAAGCTCTGAAATCATGCTTACTGGAGAGAGCCCTATATGCGGTAAACGACTTTTTGTTGATGTTTAATCATGAACAATTTTGAATTTTAAAACATTGATCATCTCACACACTGGTCAAAAGTCGAGTATTTAATATTTCCGCATTTCGCAAAGCTCTGAAATCATGCTTACTGGAGAGAGCCCTATATGCGGTAAACGACTTTTTGTTGATGTTGAATCATGAACAATTTTGAATTTTAAAACATTGATCATCTCACACACTGGTCAAAAAGTCGAGTATTTAATATTTCCACATTTTTCACCAAAGCTCTGAAATCATGCTTACTGGAGAGAGCCCTATATGCGGTAAACGACTTTTTTGTTGATGTTTAATCATGAACAATTTTGAATTTTAAAACATTGATCATCTCACACACTGGTCAAAAAGTCGAGTATTTAATATTTCCCGCATTTCGCAAAGCTCTGAAATCATGCTTACTGGAGAGAGCCCTATATGCGGTAAACGACTTTTTTGTTGATGTTGAATCATGAACAATTTTGAATTTTAAAACATTGATCATCTCACACACTGGTCAAAAGTCGAGTATTTAATATTTCCCGCATTTCGCAAAGCTCTGAAATCATGCTTACTGGAGAGCCCTATATGCGGTAAACGACTTTTTGTTGATGTTTAATCATGAACAATTTTGAATTTTAAAACATTGATCATCTCACACACTGGTCAAAAGTCGAGTATTTAATATTTCCCGCATTTCGCAAAGCTCTGAAATCATGCTTACTGGAGAGAGCCCTATATGCGGTAAACGACTTTTTTGTTGATGTTGAATCATGAACAATTTTGAATTTTAAAACATTGATCATCTCACACACTGGTCAAAAGTCGAGTATTTAATATTTCCCGCATTTCGCAAAGCTCTGAAATCATGCTTACTGGAGAGAGCCCTATATGCGGTAAACGACTTTTTTGTTGATGTTTAATCATGAACAATTTTGAATTTTAAAACATTGATCATCTCACACACTGGTCAAAAGTCGAGTATTTAATATTTCCCGCATTTCGCAAAGCTCTGAAATCATGCTTACTGGAGAGAGAGCCCTATATGCGGTAAACGACTTTTTTTGTTGATGTTGAATCATGAACAATTTTGAATTTTAAAACATTGATCATCTCACACACTGGTCAAAAGTCGAGTATTTAATATTTCCCGCATTTCGCAAAGCTCTGAAATCATGCTTACTGGAGAGAGCCCTATATGCGGTAAACGACTTTTTGTTGATGTTTAATCATGAACAATTTTGAATTTTAAAACATTGATCATCTCACACACTGGTCAAAAGTCGAGTATTTAATATTTCCACATTTCTGCAAAGCTCTGAAATCATGCTTACTGGAGAGAGCCCTATATGCGGTAAACGACTTTTTTGTTGATGTTGAATCATGAACAATTTTGAATTTAAAACATTGATCATCTCACACACTGGTCAAAAGTCGAGTATTTAATATTTCCCGCATTTCGCAAAGCTCTGAAATCATGCTTACTGGAGAGAGCCCTATATGCGGTAAACGACTTTTTTGTTGATGTTTAATCATGAACAATTTTGAATTTTAAAACATTGATCATCTCACACACTGGTCAAAAGTCGAGTATTTAATATTTCCCGCATTTCGCAAAGCTCTGAAATCATGCTTACTGGAGAGAGCCCTATATGCGGTAAACGACTTTTTTGTTGATGTTTAATCATGAACAATTTTGAATTTTAAAACATTGATCATCTCACACACTGGTCAAAAGTCGAGTATTTAATATTTCCCGCATTTCGCAAAGCTCTGAAATCATGCTTACTGGAGAGAGCCCTATATGCGGTAAACGACTTTTTTGTTGATGTTTAATCATGAACAATTTTGAATTTTAAAACATTGATCATCTCACACACTGGTCAAAAGTCGAGTATTTAATATTTCCCGCATTTCGCAAAGCTCTGAAATCATGCTTACTGGAGAGAGCCCTATATGCGGTAAACGACTTTTTTGTTGATGTTTAATCATGAACAATTTTGAATTTTAAAACATTGATCATCTCACACACTGGTCAAAAGTCGAGTATTTAATATTTCCCGCATTTCGCAAAGCTCTGAAATCATGCTTACTGGAGATGCGGTAAACGCGTTTTTGTTGATGTAAGTGTGTAAAAAGTGATGTAGTGTGTAAAAAAGGACTTTTTCAATGAGCGAGAGAAAAGAGAAGACTTGTCCTCTGTAGGTTCACATATTTCTCTGAAATTTTACCTTTCAATATATTTTTCTTCTGCATATCTGCCACCTCCTTGGTAGTTATTTCCACTGTTTCTTCTCCCATAGTCTTCTTTGTTGTTGTAGTAATTGTTTCTGTTGTATCCTTCCCTGTTTCCGTGGTCTTTCAAGTACTTTCCTTCGTTATCGTAGTACCCTTGCCTTCCTTGATCTTTCGCAAATTCCCTGCTATCGTACTTGCCACCGTTGTGTTGGTTTTGGCCAGCGTCTCCATAAGCACCTAGAAATACCAAGATATATAGGTACTTTTTTAGAAAGAAAATTAAATAATTAAGAAAAATAATAAAATGCGTCCTAAATAAGGCAAAAAATCAGAAGACGATTTCTCAAATTATTTTATGAAGAGAATATTTACATACAGTGTGTCCCACTTAAGATGGATACAAGCCAATATCTTGGATGTTTGTTGAGCGATCTTTTTCATTTTTGGCAGGAGGCTGTATGGCTATAAGACCTACATTTTGCCCAGGGTAAGAAATGTGATACCTCATAGACGTACGTTTTAATGGGCTTTGATATTTTTCGAGTCAAGAGTAAACTATCTATAGCACAGTATTTATTTCAAATCTGATAAATTATATTGAATCCTCCTTACCCAAGATGCTTAAGCTTTCTAATTTTGATAAATATTGACACAGGGTGTGTTATTAAAATAAGACATTTTTATTTTTATTAGGTATTATTTTTTAAGTACTTACGACGCCACTGGATAAACAACTGGTTTATTATCAATAACCAATTATAACCAATTATCAATTAATAATCGATTTAAGTTTTCAGATAGCTTCCATAATAATTAAGATACGATACAAAAAAACTAAATATTTTCTATTTATTTTGTTTACTTTAAAAAATTGTTTTTTTTAAGTTTACTACAAATGAATAAAATGAGTTTTCAATGGAATCTGAAATATGATTTTTATTCGTTTTATTGAGGAATATTTTAAAAAATCCAAATAGTTATTTAAAACAATCACTATTAACTTTGAAAAATATGCTCTAAACAAAGATTTATAAACCTATAACGAACTAAAAGTCAACATCTTCGACCATCTTCGACCAAACTTAAATCGATTATTAATTAATAATTGGATATAATTGGTCATTGATAATAAACCAGTTGTTTATCCAGTGGCGTTGGAAGTACTTAAAAAATAATAATAAAAATAAAAATGTCTTATTTTCATGACACACCCTGTATCAATATTTATAAAAATTAGAACTTAACTATCTTAGGTAAGGAGGATTCAATATAATTTATCAGATTTGAAATAAATACTGTCCTAAGGGTAGTTTTTCTTGACTCGAAAAATATCAAACCCCATTAAAACGTACGTCTATGAGGTATCGCATTTCTTATCTTGGGTAAAATGTACGTCTTATAGCCATACAGCCTCCTGCTAAAAATGAAAAAGATCGCTTAACAAACAATCAAGATATTGGCTTGTATCCATCTTAAGTGGGACACCCTGTATAGGCCAGTAAGCGAGAATAAAAATAGGGTATTACCTCCGAATTCTTGACACCCGCACCGATTGAGGTGAAATTTTAACAGTGGATAGAGATATATGTAAGAAACAAAAGTTACATAGTAGAGATGTGTGCTTTCACCTTGGGGGGTGACTGCCACCCCTTCTCGGGGGTGAAAAATAAATCCCATTTTAATTGCAAAAACCAATAAAGAGACGAATTCTAAGCAAAAAATGTTCTATAACATTTTTTCAGAAAATTAATATTTTCCGTGTTATTTATGATTGAAAATGTTGATTTTTCAACTAAAAACTGCATATTTTTGTGCAATTTTTTATAAATAACTCGAAAACCTTGCGTTTTATCGCAAGGTATTTCCAGAAGTGCCGCCATATTGAATATATTTTTAATCGATATATCTCGTTGTGAAACTATGACGTGCAAAAAATCTTCGAGCTAGATGTTGTAGTTCTCTAGAAAGTTCTAATGCACGCACAGCCTGGGACACCCTGTATGTCTACTCATTTGTCTGAAGTTCTATCCATATGCCGCTAATTTTCTAGGACACTTACCTTTGTATCTTTTGTGGACTAGTTCATCACCCTCGTCGCTTCCATCATCAAAATAACTGGAGTTGCTGCCGGTTTCGTCTTTGTGATACGAATTGTGAAATCCTGCCTTGTGATGGCCTTTTTTATGGGCTACCTTCGAGTCCACGTTACCCAAATGTTCACCGCCGTTTTGATGGAAGTTTTGGTTGTTGTAATTGTTGGCGTCTAAATGAGTATTCTTGTCAGCTGAATGTTCACCATATCTACCACATTAAGAAAAAAATAACTAATCTTTTATAATTCAAATCGATTTTGTCAAAAAGTTATTTATTAAAATTACCTCATGATAACAGAATATCAAAGAGAAACATTAATACAGAAGGCTTCCTTCTGTAAAAATTGTTTATGTAATAACGAAATTGTTAAAACATGTCCCAATCTACAACACAATGAAAGGAAATGATATTCTACTTTATCTATACTAATATATAAAATCCTAGGCGGGTTCTCACTTGTCAGTTTCGCTGACGCAGTCTGACTGATTCAGTGATACTGAACAAACAATGAACGTCAGAACACATTTTCATGTTAAATGATCAGTAAATTCGTACTTTCAGTTAAAGTGAAAACCAGTTCTACTTTTTTCATTTTTGACTGATCATTATCGAATAATGACTAGAAACTGAAGCGTGAGAACTACATTTTCGTGATTTGTTCAGTTTACAAGTTAAAGTTAATTAATTATTTTAATGTATATCTCCAAAAAAAATCCTTTATGGGTATTTCGCCACTGCACTGCAAGAAAATCTACAAAATAAAATAGTTATTTTTTGTAAATACTTCTGCGTTAAACCTAAACGGACACTGCTTATCAGAAGATGTTTACAGTTATACAAATTGGCTTAACAAAGAAAAAAATGCTTAATGTTTCGGAAAGTCTATCGTCGGAAGCAAAAAAAATTCAAAGAATAAAGAAAAACAAACTATTTAAAATATTTAAATTCAAACTATTATGAGAACACGCTTTTTTAAAGCAGATACGTCTACAAGAAACCGTTGACGTTCTGTTAAAATAGAACGTCAACGGTTTCTTGTAGACGTATCTGCTTTAAAAAAACGTTTTCTTCTTTTCTGATTCACCAGAATATTCTGTAATTCATTTGCTAATTGTAAACTTCGCGAATTAAAAACTTCGCGAACACCTGGTTTCAATTTTGTTTTAACCATTTTCATGTCTGCGAAATCACCACCAAAATGTTTGGACCAACTGAATACTGAATGTAGCAAAACATGAAACGTGTGAATACATTCGTTGATTTTTATTTTTCATTGATAATGAATCAGTCAGACTGCGTCAGCGAAACTGACAAGTGAGAACCCGCCTTTCTGACATACTGATTAATCACGATCCTGCTCAAACCACTCAACGTAAGAAGCTCAATTTTGGCATACAGCTTGATTCTAGGGTGTAGAGGTTCGATAAGAAGGGATTTTTCGAAATTCCAGTTCCAAGAGGGTGAAACCACCCCTCAAATATTATAATATTTTTTATTTAAAAAACGGTCAAGTTTCCGAAAAAACGCTTAAACACGTATATTTTATTTTGTTTCTTTACATATTTTAAGATTTTTTAAAAATGTATACAGGGTGTTTCGTAAAATCTGGTCATTGATTAATCACGATCCTGCTAAAAGCGCTTGACCTAAAAAGCTGATTTTTGGAATACGGATTGACTTTAGGGCGTAGAGGTTCGATGAGAAGGGATTTTGCGAAACTCGAATTCTAAGGAGGGTTTCGCAAGTGACCGGTGAGTTTTTTGGAAACACTCTTAAACACGTATATTTTATTTTGTTGTTTTACATATTTAAGATTTTTTATAAATTTATACAGGGTGTTTCATAAAATATGACCATTGAGTAATCACGATTCTGCTTAAACTGCTTGACGTTTAAAGCTGATTTTTTGCAAACGGATTGACCGTGGGGTGTAGAGGTTCGATAAGGAGGGGTTTCTCGAATCTCAAATTCCAAGAGGGTGAAAACGCCCCTCAAATATTACAATATTTGATATTTAAAAAACGGTTAGTCTTTCGTTAAAACGCTTGGATAAGCATAATGTATTTGTTTTTTTTACATATTTTGAAATATTTTAAAAAATCATACAGGGTGTTCCAAAAAGTTGGGTAATTTCTTAACCACGATTCTGCTTAAACTGCTTGACGTAAAAAGCTTATTTTTGGCAAACGGATTTTTCAAAAGTCAAATTCCAACGAGATGAAACTACCCCTCAAATATTACCAAGTTATATAATAATATCGCCATATTGTTTTTTCTCATGCTGACATAAATGTGTGAAAATTTTATCCAGTTTGTATGTTAATGGGAATTCTTGCTTTGATTTATCATCACCATTACAAATGATTAATTCGACGCGGACGAAGCCGCTGGTACACGCTAGTTTATCTATAAAACTGCTTCTGTATTATCTAATTTAATTATCCGAATTTGAAAAATTACAATAAAACTGAAAAAATTGAAGTCCATTATATTTATTTTGGAAAGAAACATCACCATTTTTATTTTTTATTGTACAGTCTACAATCGCCATAACAGTATTATGGTAGGAGATATGAACGATATACCATATTTCAAACAAAATCAGTTCTGGTTAGGTAATTTTCTGATGTTTTTCAACCTGTGTCATTATGACTCTGAACTCTGCAAAATAGTTGGGTATGATATTGGCCGCAAACTTATAATGGAAATTATAAGTTTAATATAAAATTTTGAAATATGTATTGGCTAGTAGGATACCTCCCCAACATGTCAACACATACTTTGCCTTCAACTATGGACACAGGTTCAAGCATCATCAGAAGTTGCGCCCAGAATATAAAGTGTATTAGTGTTTTATATTTTTTAGTGAATTAGTAGTGTTGTTATATTTTTCTGTTTAAGGCCAATAATGGTTCCGACCTTAACTGTATTTATTGTCAATATACAACAATAAATACATACTGCCATTACTCGCTGGCGAGTATTTGACATCTTTATTTTTTTACTAGAATCCAAAAATCTATTAATATATAGGGTTAGGTTAGGTTAAACAAAAACATAACTTTGATGTGTAACTTTTTTTGGATACACCCTGTAGAACTCTACATAATTTTAGAAAATGCTTTAAATTGATTTACATAAGCTCACGAAATTTCACTTCAATATAAACTTTTGTTCTCCTTGCAAAAACCGCGTCGTATAAGACGCGCCACCCTGTATAATTCGATTTCAATCAAAATTTCAATGATTAGAATATAGCAGAATAAGTATAGTTTATGTATTAGATTAATTTATTTCAATAAATTTACTTAGAAAAAGAATTAAAAAAATCGAAAAATTAAGAAGGAAATAATTAAGAATTTACTAAAATTACTAAAATAAAAAATTAAAAGCAACGAAAAAAAATGGGTAAACATTTTCGTATTTTATCTACAGGCTTGTTCACCACATACGACAAGGAGTATTGTAGCTAAACGATGAGATTTTTACAAATTGTAAGTTTGGGGTTCGTTGAAGGACTATTAGAGCTACAATTTAAAAATATTTTTACAAGATACAGAGTGTCCCAGATAAATAAAAAATATCAAAGTTGTATTTTTTTAAATGGAACACAATGTATATTATTACATTTTTAGTTTCTACGAATAAAATAAAGGTAAATTTAATTAAGGTTTATTATACTTAAACCTTACCGTTTTTGAAATATTTTCAATTTTGTGAAATTGCAGTAAAAATTTTAAAGCTTCATTTCTCCAAGGGTATCAATGTTTTTAATACTAAATATTTAATGAAGTTTATTTATTGATCAGTTATTGTGTTGCAACAATAAAAATAATACTACCTTATACAGAGTGTCTAAAAATTTATTTTAAATAATTATTAGCTTCAAACGGCAATAACTTCTTTAATTTAAATGGAATGCCCTGTATATTTTAGGAGAATCAGATGCACAATTAAATTGTCTATCAAATTGTATTATACCATTTTTTACCTATCCCTTCAAGTTTTCGTATAAAATGCATTTTCTTATAATTTAGACCTCATTTATCAATATATCAATGGAATATTGACATTTTAGATTGTTTTTAAAGCAACAAATGTACAAAATGTACAGACTAGTAATATTATCGTTTTTAGCAAAACGATAATATTACTAGCCCATTTGTATGCAAAAAGAAAACTATTTAAATCTTTATAAAAGAGTATACCATTAATTAAATATAACACCATTATTTGCGCCCATATACTAATTAATTACATACTTAATTGTGTTCGTTATTAAATTATTATAAATAAATGTGGATTTGAGTCAGAAATCAATATAATAATAAGTTATCAAATTAAAGTCTCTGTAGTTATAAATAAGCATTTATTAAAAAATGAAATATCATTTTTAAGGTGTTACTTTTTATCACACTGTCTAATGCCCATACAAAATTCAGTTTTTTAGTATTTGGAGCAATTATTATTAATCAAAGCAAACAGTCAGTTAATGTTGTTTGAATACTGGAATCATATTAATTGGTCCTCTTTAACAAATATTTAAACAGTTTTTTATTTTTTAATGAAATAAACGAATTATATCGACAATATTAGTATCTGTACTCTTTAAAAATTTGGTACATCTTTAAAAATAATCTAAAATGTCAATAGTCCTTGGGTATATTGATAAATAAGTTCTAAATTACAAGAAAATGCATTTTCTACGGAAACTTAAAGAGACAGGTAAAAAATGGTATAATATAATTTGATAGGCAATTAAATTGTGCATCTGATTCTCGTAAAATATACAGGGTGTTCCATTTAAATTAAACAAGTTATTGCCGTTTGAAGCTAATAATTATTTAAAATAAATTTTTAGACACTCTGTATAAGGTAGTATTATTTTTATTATTGCAATACAATAACTGATCAGTAAATAAACTTCAGTAAATATTTAGTATTAAAAACTTTGATACCTTTGGAGAAATGAAGCCTTAAAATTTTTACTGCAATTTCACAAAATTGAAAATATTTCAAAAACGGTAAGGTTTAAGTATAATAAATCTTAATCAAATTTACCTTTATTTTAATCGCAGAAACTAAAAATGTAATAATATACAGGGTGTTCTATTTAAAAAAATACAACTTTGATATTTTTTACTTATTTGGAACACTCTGTATCTTGTAAAATTATTTTTAAATTGTACCTCTAATAGTCCTTCATCGAACCCAAAACTTACAATTTGTAAAAATCTCATCGTTTAGCTACAATACTCCGTGTCGTATGTGGGGAACAACCCTGTATAAAAAATAATACAAAAGGTTTCACATTAATATCTGTGTTAATATATTCGCAGTAACTGAATTCCGAGGTAAAATCTCTGGGCACTCCACTAATATTCACTTACCGCCCGGAATCTTTAGCCACCGCCACTTTAGCTTCACCGTTATTGTTAAATCCCTCAGCTCCCTCGTAGTTAGCTATTCCTTTGTGAAACTGCACGTCCTCCAGGTTCTCACCCTGCGTCTGACCTTGGTCCTTTTGCACCCCCGACTTGATCACTATAGAGTTAGCCCCGGCACCACCGCAGGCCCAAAACACTAAGCCACACCACGACACTAGTGACACTAGCAGCATTTTGCGCGAGGAGCACCGTTAAAATGACGAGGGGGCCCCATTTTCGTCTCGTTTTTATATCGACCGTGGACCGTATCGGCCTTCTTCTTATTCTTCGATTAACAATCGATCTGCGATATCCTGTCGGCGAGTGTGAGATTTTTACGCTTTAATCAGTCGATGAATGTCGACGAAGAGTGGATTGGATTATTCTCGGAACCAAAGGCCGTCCTGCGAGGAACGCTGAGTAACGATCAAATCATCAAGAAACGATGGACTTTTTTGTCATTTTATCGATCTTTGTTTTGGTGGATGGGTCGGATTAGGAACGGAATACAGCAGATAATAGTTATTTTTTATACAAGACGATAAAATTAATTTCGAGAGACGATAATGCAATTTTATCGTCGTGTATAAAACAATATTTTTTTCCATAGCCAGTTACGTTTCAAAAAATATTCAGAAATTATTAATTCAACGAATTTATTACAAGTAGAAAAAATGTTGTGCTGGGTTGGCGTTTGTTTCTACGTAATTTGACAAATAAATAAATCTGTCTCTTTAGTTGTCAGTTTTGAGCATAGACAAACAAATAAAAAGAGACTGACAAATCCCATGGTAAAGAGCGGGACCGCGTTCCCGTAGCGCAACTCAAAATAACAATTTTGAAACCAATTAGCAGGACCATGGCAGGACGTACGTCTTTATTGCTATCTTTCTTTATTATGTATGCTTTATATGAAAAAGAAAGAGATAGGTATAAAACGTATCGTAAGACATTATCGCACATTCTGGATGGCGGAAAATTTAAATAAGCCATTATTAGTAGTATTCTTTCATTCTGAAACCGAAAATTTTCACTTAAACTGATTTATTACCTATACCACGTAAAGGAAACGTGGTGTAGGGAATAAATCAGTGTAAGTGAAAATTTGCAGTTTCTTTCAGAACGAAAGAATACTACTATTATAAGGGAAATTAAAAAAAAGCAAAAATTGTACTGTTTTATTAACATATTTATTTATACATAAAAATAAATAAATTTTTTTAATATAATAACAAAAATAACACTGTTTATTCCACCCACCTACCAATTTTAAATGCAGAAGAACTGACTGTTGCAGGAAACGATTGGCTAATTTTTTTTAAAGGGCGTTAAAAATCTCATTTTCGAAAAAACTGCCTAATTGCAATAACAAAGTGAATATCCAAGCAAAGAAGACTTTACGAGAATCATGATCTTGAACCATTTTCAAGTTCAGTTTTAATCCTAAAACAAAAGTAAAATAGGTATATTAATAAAGTTTCTGGTTACTATAAACCAGCTATAAACTACCTACCTCAAAATGAAAAAAAAAATAATTGTATTAATTTGTTGTAGGTTCGAAATATTTTTGATACTACTTCTACTTTTTCTTAATAAGATGATAAATATAACTACTTACTTTTATCTTACCGGGCGTCTTTAACATATCTATCAGAGAAAGGGGCACCAATACATGTAACAAAGTTTATACAAAGTTCACTACACACAACAAACTATTAAAAATCGCTAAAATTGTCGCTGGTGACTGGATGATGACTCACTGTTTGGCATCAAACGAATGGCGTCTAACGTCACAAATTCTACTACAGCCCGTACAGGGGCGTTACATGTCCTTATATTCTTTAGTCATTGACGAAAACTATAACGAAAACGAAAGGCGATTGTTCTAATTTCTATTTAGAAATTACGTTTTATATGGCTGCTTCTTTCTCTCTTGTTATATTAGAATGAGATAGTGGGCCCAATGGACGCAATGCGCAGATCAACATAAATAGAACGAAATTTTGCGTTCTGAGTTGCGCTACGGGAACGTTGTCCCTCTCTTTGTCATTTAATTTGCCAGTCTCTTTTTATTTATTTGTCTATGGTTTTGAGTCAATATTTTTAATTCTCTTTCGTGTCGTTTGCTGATTGAATTGGAGGCAGAAATGGCTCAAAACGCAATAAGTAAATTACCAACAGATATTCAGGCTGAGGCGACAAACGCCATATCCAAATTACATCCATTTAAATCCCGAACAACTTATGAAAAGGAATACTAAGATTTTCAAAAATGGAAGCAATTAAAAAACGTACGAGAAAGAATAAAGTTTTTAACGTGTCCTCGCTGTTTAAGTATCTATCATTTAATCTTCCCTTGAAATTGTTTTATACACGACGATAAAATTGCATTATCGTCTTTTGAAATTAATTCAATCGCGATTTCATCGTTTGAGAATTAATCTTTTCGGTGGACGATAAAATACCATTCTTGTATAAAAAATAACTATTGTTTTCCTTATTTCAGCATGCTGGTTTTGCGACAATCTTTTGTAGAAAATATATCGAGGGTTCCTAAATTGTATTAAGTCAAAACAACAGACAACGAGACAGGAATGGAAACGAACGAGAAACTCTGGAACCGGGGAGATTCGAAATTATCTGCACGAGAAAATCTTAGTCGACGCATAAATCTTGCGTTCGATCCGCTCGACCTTAGTTAGCAGTTTCGGAGAGGATAATCACACTTTTGTTTTCCACTGTTTCCGTCGATTATTAGCTTGTTATTCCCCTAATAGCACCGCTGCTGCCGCTCCCGCAGTCCCTATCTTTCCCGCTTCTCCAGATTAAGGACTTACAAATAAACGTACTCCTTCTTGTTCCATCCCGTTCTTGTCCCTTACTCCTTTCTTTGTTCTTTCCTTACAATGTCGTTTAGAAAACGGGAAGAGAACATGAAAAGAAAGTTCTTTAAGATAGCTTTGAATTGCTTTATTGTTCCGAGTTGTAATCGAATTAACAAAGTGCCATAGATGTAAAAGGGAATAGTCTAATCACGTATACGCTGAGTTGTTATTCTTAGCCTATGCGCTGACATGCAATTTCAGTCGGCCGACTATTTAGTTGAAAAAGTAAAATCAATACATTTTTATGAAGCCGATCGGCGGACTATTTGATTGTATGTGAGGGCGGTTTGGTCTTGCGGTCTAGGTCTTCGTCTTGCACAAAAAGGAAGACCAGCATGCAAGACTCTTGCGATCTTACATTTTTATGTAACAGTGACCATTGTATGTTAAACCACATTGAAATTTGACCCGAAAAGTTATACAGGGTGAGACAAAATTAATATGGAACATTAGTTACTTTTAAAAGCAAGTTACTCCTTTATTTTAAATGGAACACCCAGTATATTTTTCCGGTGTTCAATGGGAAATTTATGTATCTTCAAAATATTATTAACGTTGCCTACCCTAGATTTTATCAAATAATAGAGATCTACTCAGATCAAATCATGTAAATGAAAATATCTAGAAAAAAATTGTTTTAGGGGTAGGCAACCTTAATATTATTTTGAAGAGACATGAATTCTCCATTGAACATCGGAATAATATACTGGGTGTTCCATTTAAAATAAAAGAGTAACATGCTTTTAAACGTGACCAATATTCAATATTAATTTTGTCTCACCCTGTAAAACTTTTTGGATCAAGTTTTAATTTGATTTAAAGTACAATAGTTAATTTAACTACATATTAGGCTATATTTAGGTAAATTCCAAAAATTTTGTTTTTTATTTCTAGAAAATATGTCAAAAACATTACATTTTAGTCATATACTTCTCTTAGAAAACTCACCTTTATTTTTCTCCCAGAATCCGAAAATCAATTAATATATAGAGTGTTCTATTACAAAAAAACAACTTTGATGTGTAACTTTTTTTGGGGGCACCCTGTAGAACTCTCTATATTTTTAAAAAAGTGTTCTGAATTAACCTACATATGCTCACAAAATTCCATTTCAATACAAACTGTCGTTCTCCTTGGAGCCTCCGCGGCGTATAAGAGGCGCCACCCTGTATATTATCGATTGTTTATTAATATAAACATTTCTTATACTTCAAATTTCATACTTATTGTCTGTTCTGTTTTCTATTTTCTTTTATAATATTTTCATATTATACTGCCGTTCGAAATGTCATACAGCGCTATTCCCCATAATGAAAAGGTAAAGGTCATTTCTACCCCGATACTCCCTGATTAAATTTTAATGGCAATGAGGAAAAAGGTTATTCTACATTCATATCAATTGACAGAAGCGTTTATTGACGTTTCGGCAAAGGTTAATTCGATGCATAAACTCAGTTTTCATGACTTTAATGCCAATTATTCACTTTATCAAATAGAGTTTTAAAAAATTGCCGCCGGGAGGCACGTAGATATAGCCGCCCATACTAAAATATGGTAATAAAAAGTTGGTAGGCAGTTCTTTTAGTTTCAATTATCTCAAAAACTGCGACTTTGACTGATTTTGAAGTTATTACAAATTTCGTAGCAAACATTATTCCTAATCTTAAATTGAAAACCGCGTTTCGCTAGCTACTGTAATTTTGGAGTTACGATTTTTTTAAATTTTTAACCCCCTCTCATACCCCCTTACCAATCCCCCCCCCCACCAAAAACTAAATTTCGCCAGATTCTCGGGTGCCACAGTATTTTTGTGCCAAATTTTAATTATAAATGACGGCAGGTTGAACAAAATAGGACCATTTGTTCTTTCTTGTAATCACGAAGGATGCGAGGAAGTGAGCGTAAGAAAAATAGTTAGCGTTCAAACTAGGGATAATACAATTAATAACAGGCAGGAAAATATATTGCTTGGCATTGAAAATCCCAATTTTCCTTCCCTTAATTCAATTTGCTAAAGTAATCCTGATCTGAGTAGTTTTAGCTGATTAGTTACAAGGCAAGTCAATACTTTTTAAAGAACTCAAACATATAAGAAAGATATCTATACTAATCTATACCTTTGTCTATACTAATATACAGGGTCCGGCAATAGTGCGTCGGGCATCTGTAGCTCCTAGAATAAAAAAATTGAGAATTTTGTTTAAGTGAAAACCTAAAGTATGTACCAGGATGTATTTCAGGAAAATATTTTAACTTCTATAGGGTGGCTCAAAAAAGTGTGAGTGGACCTGGATGATTTTTTTTAAATGGAACACCCTGTATATTATTGCATTTTTGGCTTTCTTTCCGATCACTTTACATAACCCTAAGATATGAATAAATACATTTCGATAGTTTCAGAGATATTAAAAATAAATC